AGTTTCAAAAATCCAATAGATTTCGTTCCACTTCACAATTGTGTCCCACTTGTTGGTGATTCTTCACATAAAATAAAAAATGTATATCTTTATGTTTGAAGCCTGAAATGTGGCAAAAGGTTGAAAAGTTCAAGGGGGCCGAATACTTTCGCAAGGCACTGTAATACCGAGGTCCTGACTCTCCATGTTCATTAAAAATCCAAGGGTATTTCTCGAAAAGAGTTGGGTGTATTATCCTGGTGTCTGGGCAAAATTGCCCTCAGGCCTCAGTTGTGGCCTGGTAACCCCCATCTATAAACTGACATCAACTCTGTTCTCCACCCCACTGAGAGCTTGTGTGTGGGGAGTGTACTGATGCACTATGTTTGCTGTTACATCATCCAGGTGGGGCTGCACACTGATGGTGGTGGAGGGTAGTCCTCATTACCTGTAAAGTTCTTTGAATGGAGTGTCCAGGAAAGTGCTATATAAGTATAAGGAATTATTGATTATTATTATTGTAAATTGCAGAAGATAAAGATAGCATAATTTTGTTTAAAGAAAGCAATTATTCATCACTTCTGTCTTAAGCCTCCTTTTTATTCTTTGTTATGTTTGTGTCAGATGTGTAAAACAATATATTGGTTATTAATAGATTAATCAAGCTGTGCATTTCTTTCCACTGCTTCACATTTAGCTTATCTGCACATTTTAAATTAACACCCTTTTACAGGTTGGAAGGAAAAATACACCAAAACACCTATGAATGACACATCCAACTCTTGTGAAATTCATGTGGATTTACAGAAATCTTTTGCAATCTTTATTTAGACTTGCTAGTTATTTTTGTTATACCTACCCAATTTGGATTAGCTGACTGTGATCGCACTCAGCGTGGATTAGGGAAACTGAACTGCCCACTCTTCTTGTGACACGTCACATGCAATCGCAGGTGATTGGCAGAGGTTTGTGTGTCCCCCATCAATGCCGGATTCCTGCAAGCACCCAGGTGGCTGCAGGGGTCACAGTGTCACAGAGAGCTGAGTGAGTTCTGTGGAGCTAATTCCACCCTACCATCAGCGGGACTCAACCAATAGTGCGCCACCTCTTGGGGAATCCTAGTGACAAGCCCCAGCCTCAAAGCCGTCATCACAGAAATCAACCTGTGCTATCCCATTGCCTTTACCAGTTCAGCCACATAGGAGTTTCCCCTCGTGTTTCCCCTCCTTTTACCTTTTTTCAGAGCAGAAATGGTAGCCACATTGCTGTGATCCCCTGTTTTTAAAGAATTTTCAGTTTAGAAAAACAGGACTCTCTTTCGATTTACAATAACCTAAGCCAATCTAATATATTTTCATTTTTTCATGATTGTTGTTAAACAGTTGAACGTTCCTAGTGTCTATTTCCAACATAAGTTTCATATAAGTGTATGTACTTGTATTTCCTCACTTTTACTAATTAAGTTGCCACTGTCGGGTCCTTCAGACATTTTAAATCCTCCTACATCAGAAGTCTTTGCTGTTTATCCCTCTAACTCTGAATGTCTTAAGATCACACAGGTATCCTTTAGCATTTAAAACTCGGGGCTGCTTATTCTTTTCCAGCAATGGGCAATGAACTCATGGCTCTTCATTCATATTACAGTAAAGCATGTTGAATGTCACTGTTTCACCCTCTGTCTTTGTGTTTCTTCTGTTACAGATAATGGGTTTATACCTGATACACTACTGGAGGATGTAATGAAAGCCCTGGACCTTGTCTCAGAGCCTGAATAGTAAGTCATTCTGTGGGGGACTTGCCCGTGATTTTAACTCATGACATACCTTGTGTCCTACAGGTATCTGTTAATCTCAGAATCCTTTTTTTTCCAACATTTGTAAAAGGAACTGCTAGTATTGTGTATTTTATATTTATGTTCGATTATGCAAAGCGCTAACTCAGGTTTTACATTCAGATTTACGTAAAGAGGTTGAAAGTTTCGAAAGTTGTTCAGAAAGAAATTTAAAGGAATAGATGATGTAAGGTGAACTTTATGATCATATTAACAGCTGTACTTCAAAAAACAATACCCCACAGAAAGCATTGTGTAATTTGCAGAACATATGGTGAACTGTGGTTTAATCATCATTCCCAGAATATTTTTCTGACAGGTAAATCCCAAAACAGCAAAAGGCATATATGCCTAACATTTAGCAAAAAAGCTGAAATAACTAAAATAAATTACAATGTTGTATAGCAGTTTAATTGTACCGTTCAGTACAGTCATTTATGAAGTGAATATTTCCCTTTAAAGAATACTAATTCACTAATTTCACACAAACAAAATACTGCTACCACCATTGGCGCTGGGCGTCCTTAACGGCATACAAAACAATTTTAATTAAAATGTGATTGATATTATGAAGAACTTTGCTCCTAGTGCTGTCTTTTGTGGAATAAATATGAACTTCTTCAGGTGTAATTGATCCTTGGTGTGAACAGTTGGCAGTCCGCTGTTCTGTGAACCAGTTCAGCAACCTTATGGGTCACCTATGAGCCTGTCTTCTTAGGTTTCACACAAGTCCAGAAGAACTGTAAAGTTAATAGGTGTGGGAGGGGGTTAAAAGACCTCCTTCAAACAGAGCTGCACTTCAACTCCAACTGTTAAACTAGACCGTTTTGTTCAGAGTCTCTTAATTTATTTACCAGACATGATTCTTTTGCAGTGTAAAAGTATATATACAAAAGCAACACAGCCCTTTTTTATTTTTCATATGCTTTGATTTCTTAATATTTCTAAATCATATGAAGTTTGATCAGATCTACAGTAAGTTAGATCTGATTGTACTGTATATCCAAGGCTCACCTGCAGCCTTGGTATGTGATCTACTGTCTGACTGTAGCAATCCAATGACATGGTGAGATATTGTTAGATTAATGTGCTACAAAAGTTTGTAGAGAATTGTATTCCTCTTTTTACTTTGTTAAATACTGTTTTGAATACAAATACCATAAAGCTTTCAATGACACACACTAACTAGAAGAAAACTAAGGTAGGGAAACATTTTTTGTGTATGTGGGTAAAATCCAGGATGAAGAGGTAAATATTTAATGTTTAATTCAATAACTGAATAAAAGATAATCAGTTTTAAGCATTGCTGTATAAATCTCTCTATATATAGCTACAGTTATCAGTGGTCTTTACCAAAATCTTTGAACGTGTTTGTGTCTTTAAAAGGAAACTTTTTTATCAGTGTCACTGCATTAAAATAATAAGTGGTTAAGCTTTCAAAAATTGAACTGGGCAGTTGAATTTAGCCTCTTAAAACAGTTCTTAATCATTTGTGCTACACAAATATGTTATTATATATACAGAAATAAATGACTTATTTCTTGCAGTTGTTTATTCAGTGTAATAATAAATAATAACCTTTTGTATTTCTATTCCCTCCCCCCTTTTCCAGCGTAAACATCATGAAGAATAAATTAGACCCGGAAGGTTTAGGGATCATATTGCTGGGACCATTCCTACAGGAGTTTTTTCCTGATCAGGTAATAGAGTTGCTCTTAATTACACAATGTGACTTCATTAATCGACTTTTGTGTTTAGTCAGTCTGATTTTATGTAAGGTATATTATGAATTATCCTATTGTGCTATTAGGTGCTTAATTGATATAGTTCATTTAAACTTATACTTTTGTAAGATCAGGTTGGTATACGGAAACGTGCAGATAAAGAGAAGACATTCTGCCCATGTAGCTTGTTTAACTATTTGATCGGAGGATCTCATCCAGTTGCGCCTTTCAAGTCACCTAATATAGCTGTCCTCCGTATATTCAGTTTGCTGCATTGTGTGTGTAAGAACCCTACTGTTCTTTGTACTCCCACAATAATAAGCCAGTCTCAGGTGTCTTGTTTTCTCCTACTTCAAGTTGTATTTCAACAACTCAGGAATTTTTACTCCATTAAAATAATGAAACATTCAGATCCTGTATTTTTTATTAAATTGTTCTTTCTGTTTTTTCTTCCTTTTGAACGTTTGCGTAATAATCCATCGTAATAGTTGTTTTTATCTTGTGGCTGTTTCGAACCTGAGATGGGTGCTGCATTTCAAATTTAGTTTGCAGTTATTTCTTTGTTGTTAAATTGTTCCAATTCAATGTTCCCCTTCAAATGTGAAATGTTTCCATTACCAATTGCATTAATATATGAATACTATATACGAATGGTATAACTGAGTTATACCATAACTGAGTCTGTATACCAAAGCCGCACAACAAGCCCCCTGAACAGCTGGCTAGGATCTAGACAGGTACAGTAAGTGCCTCTTATCAGCTTCTCTCCTTTACCTTCAATACTCTAGTTCCATACACATATATTGTAGATTTCCCTACGTACATATTTGCTTGTATTATTTACTTTAGGTTTGTTTAATTTGGGGATTTTGCCTAATATTGGCGTTGGAGGCTGTCACGCTCTTACTCTCTCACCCTGGAACCCAAACACCTCTGCAGGCTGTTCTCATCCTTTTTTGCTCCCTGCTTCTGTCTTTCTGTTGTGTTAAATTTACATTATTCCAATGTTGAATTTCAGCAGGATTGATTTTTTTTTTTCCTTTTGCAGTTTGTTTTGTTTTGTCCCATTTTCCCCAGGGTCCTACTTCCTGGTGAGGCTTTTCCTAAGGGGTACACAGGCTGCAGCCTCCCAGGACACACCCGATCCATGTGGGCGTTTAAAATATCGTGCTTGTTTTTTTTTACCAAACCAAGTTGATCTAAAGCTTTGTCTCTCTAGACTTGCTTTCCTGTTGCCTTTCACTTTTTAAAGATGAATTAGTGAGCTACAGGCACTGTCTGTAGCCAGGTTGTGCCTCTTTTTCTCAGTAGGCAGGCCAAAGGTTACCCTTCTTTGGAACCTGGCCTTCCTGCCCAAGTGCATTCAGCTGCATTGACCTGTCTGCATTCTCTAGTTACTGCTTTGGTTTGCGTATCCACTTGATAATAGGGACATTTTGCACATGTAATAATTAGGTTATGTTGTTTCTGTGCTCCAAGTACCATGATGGTTAAGAAAAAAAGATGAATAGGTCCTCATTGTGTGCTGAACTAGTAGTGTCCCAGCACACAGTGTGCAGGGAACCTTTTTGAGCAACTTTGGTAAACAGACTCTTAAAAATTAATTAATATTAATCTGTTTAGTAATATAGCAAAATTCAAATTCAAAGAGCAAAGAGTATGCCAATAACCCATCTTTTTGAAGATGAACTGTATATTAATGTATTTATTGTGATGACTTAGAACAGTATAGTGGAATGTGGCCTGCATATTCAACTTTCTTTACCAAAATATTAAATTGGTGCATATTCAACATTTCACACAATCCCAAAGAAATTGGGATTATAATAGCTATCTTTGTGCTACAAGTGCTTTTATTTAATGCACAGAATTATTTTAATTATCTGAATGTTGTTATATTGATATACTGTACATTATGCACATGTATGTATAAGTGTATATACATGTTCATATTTTTAATTAATAATCTCTTTTCTATAAGTTTAAGTTGGCCATGGTGTCCTTGAAGAAAATGTCCCGTTGACAAATTTCCTTTTAGTTGTTTCCCAGAAGGATCAGAAAGAGAGTATAGTTTGCAATTGCCAAATCAGCACAGTGCTTTTTCAAGGTCTTAACACTACAGCCTTTTTTCGTTTCTGTTACGGGTTTTACTAGTTATAAAACATCTGTTATACGGCTTACAAAGTTCAGCTGATGATAGTCTAATGGAAAAATTACTCTGATAATGAATCAGGTCTGTCATGTAATTCAAAAAAGACACCTGGCTAACATCATGTTCAGTGTTCATCAGTTACAGACTCTTACACCGAAGTTCATTGAAGATAAACAGACAAAGTAATATTTGGCAGGAAAAGGTTAACGTAGCCAATGGTTTTAAAACAATGGTTTTGAAGATCTACAGAGATCATCATTATTTCACTGCAAATTACAGAAAATATGCCGCAGTGATTTAAATAGGATTTAATATACATTTCAGTGAAATATCTCAAAGCACCATTAAATTAAACAGGTTCAGTTTATTTTAATATTCTTTGTTTGCCTTCAGGCAATGGTAGAACAATTGCAGTTTGTACATTTCTGGGGCTGAAAGCTGAATTTGAAATTTCAGCAAAGTAATTTGACTATGTTCACTCTTTGCCAATATGAAATAACTATCCAGAGCCCTTAATTGTTCCAGCTAAGTGGTCCCTCACTGTAGCAATTTTAACAGACTTTCTACTTTAATTTCAGGACTCTGGGATTCCAGACTCATTTCCTGTCTTTCACTACAATGGTCTGAAACAGTCAAACCACAATGAAAAGGTAATAAATAATCATTTTTTTTGCACCTCTTTCTAATCAACATGTATCTTTTGTGTATTCCCGTTATTCTTTTGAAAACTCTTATATTTGAGCTTTCCCAGTAAAACACTGCATTTCATTTCATCAAAAGAAAAATGTATTGAATCGGTTTGTCTTTTTCCACTGTTCTTTCAGTGTGTTCATAATGCTTTTTATCCCTGATCAAGCGCCAAACTCTCCAGCTGTTAGGCGTGGTTTGTTGTTTGCCATGAGGTAAAGAACAGGAAAGTCGAAAAGGAAATCATGAGATTTCAAAGAATTAGAAGACATGTTGACAAAAGAAAGCAAGTGGGGTGGCCGCAGGTGTGGCCATAATTGTGAAACAGGAAGGTGTTGGAGATCCTAAGACAGTGCAGGAAGAGTATGAGTGGGTGTTGAAGAGAGGTGGCGTGTGAACTGCAGAGTGGTACAGGCAGACAGGTGGCACTGATGGAATGGGGACAGACCTTGAGAAGGCATGTCTCTTGACACAATCTGCGCCAGATGGGAAGGTCATGCAGGATTATCACAGAAGAGCTAACTCCACAGCCTTCAGTATACAAGGATTTATGTTTACTTGGGGAGACAAAGTAGTGAAAAACATCCAAAATACTCCAGGCAATGCTTGGATAGCAGTCATGCAGATTCCGTAATCATTTTTGGAGCAGAAGAGCATTTGCTGAATTAAATTGACTAAGTTATTATTTTGAAAAATAGTTTCCTTTGAGCACAGCACCACTTCATAAGTGGAAGGACAGATTTTGTACAGCTGTACATTTTGTCCTTGATCTTTAGGGGCTCCTAATTACGTTTAAGTACCAATCATGGGTGTCCTGGAAATATCTAGATCTTTATATAAGCCATTCAAATCAGCCCATCTCAGATTATTTACATATATATACTGTATACAGAGAAGTTTATAGAATTGAACATTAATCAAAAATTTGCTGGAAGCTGTTGTAAAACTGGTTGAAACCATGGTATATTGCCTAGATGACAAATCTTTCCCATCTAAGAAGTACAGGTTCCTGGGGTAGTCTTCCTGTGTGCCTCAACTCTGACCTTTTCACAGGAAGCCCAATACTGCTACAGACAGACATTGCTGATCAACTGAAACAAGGAAAGTAATTCATTAGCCTGCAAAACTCATTAGTACTGCAGAGAAGTGTGCCTGCTTTGTTCAGAGATTCCCTGCAACTCCACAGAATCTCTCTAAACCCCACACTGACTTCTTTGGGGGTAAAATCTCAGAGTTCTGGGAATTTGAGCATTCTGTATCCAACAGTTAAAGAATTGTTAGTGCTCTTTGGCCTAGTGACTTATGATTCAGTCAAGTCTTATTTTGAGAGCTGTCTGTTCTTGAAGGTTCTCTCTGCTTCTTAAATCTCTTAGGCTCATAGAAATATTAATTCATTAGTTGAGAAGATATTAATTAAAATTTCCTCCTGCAATAAAATGTAGGAGTTTTCAGAATTTGCACTTAATTCTTGTGGCAAAAACATACGTAGACAGCACTGTTTAAAACGTTTTTTAAATCAGCCCACTATGACTGCTCATCACATAATAGTATGGCAAGTAGTGCTATTAGTATGGTATAGTAGTAAGTGGTACAATAGTATGGTATACAATATATGGCAAGCCAATGAACCCAGAACACATAACATAATACTATAACTGGTTGCTTTGAAGCTGTGAAGATCATGCAAGAGTTTCCTTCTTACACTAAAAAGAAACATACAGTATGAATTTTAAATGTTATGTAATTTCTTTGGGAAAATTATTAATAATGCACAATAACTTTAGCTGCAAACAACCTAATAAAAGATCATTTATTGTTGTCCAGAATAGTGACCCTAATTGTATGGCTCAGCATAGTTTCAGATTAAAGGAACATGGAAAAGCAGTTACTTAAAAAACTGATGAATAAAACACAAAACACACAGACTATTGCATACAAATTATTTACAAAGAGGTTGAATTTTAGGGTGCTGATGTTTTATAGGACTAAACCAAACCATTTTTGGACTCAGCAAATGAGATGCTAATACATTCATAGTTCGATACAAATATTTATTGCTCACATACTTTTCAAATGCGTTTGAGAAGGTTATTATGTGCAGATCTCCCAGAGCCTTTCATTAGATGATAAGTATACATTTCTACAAGTCTGACAAAACATGCATTCTAATAAAGTGTGCTCTTATTGAACTTGAACTTGAATTTATAACTATGCAATTGCACATTAAGACACACGGGTTTGTCAGTTAAACCATAGCAATACCAAAGCTCAGGGGAAGGGAATACTCTCTAGGAAAGATATAGCAAAAACATCTTAGATGTGAAGGTGCCAGGGCATTTACAACCTACCCATCCACAATCACTAGGACCTCACTAGCAGAACTACCAACTAACAGGACAACCATAGTCAAGCCAAACATGATCAGCTGCACGCTGCAACTCAGTAACAGGCTTATCAGATTCATAGGTACTGCCTAAGGGACCTCTTCTGCACAGCAGCAAGTAAAGCTGCTAACATTTGGTTGCTGTTGAATGTCTATAAGCTCTCAATTGTTAGGAAGGATTTGATGAAATTTGTAAAATGATGGGAGTAATGCAGCCTTATTTTTTTTATCTTATCTGTTCTGTTTTGAAAATGTCATGAATGCCATGAATTGGTGTTTATGACTTGTGAGATGATGCTGTATCTGACATTTACAGCATTAACACAAGTTATGGAGTAACTCATAGAAACATTCCTTCAAAAGAACAAGTAATAGGTTTATTCCATGCTGAAAAAAAAGAATAAAGAAAACAAAACGTTTCGGCCGTGGAGCCTTCTTCAGGTGTGAGGGCTGAAGGCTCCACGGCCGAAACGTTTTGTTTTCTTTATTCTTTTTTTTCAGCATGGAATAAACCTATTACTTGTTCCTTTGAAGGAATGTTTCTATGAGTTCAGTTCATAATGAAGCCCAAGTGTAACTTGGATAAATCTCTACGCTTGTATTGTTTGCTGTGGGCTTTCACGGATTCTGAGGGTTGTACATTTGTGGCCAGAAATGTGCATGCCAAATATGAATGAAATAGAATAAAGCTTTACTTTCTGATTTATGCATTTTAACTATAAAGAAAACAATGTAATTAAACATAAAATTGTTAAACTACCTAGAATGACTACCTCTGAGCTGAATAATTTAACTGCAGATATAAGCAGACTTTCATCATGTTCTGGTAATAACAAAATTAAAACATTTAATCTTGAAGTAAGGAAGATACATTGTAAAAGAAAGGGAGGCTATAAAGAAATTATTTTGGTCATCATAGTACATCATAAGTGTGGAAATCTCATGTATGGGGGCTGTTTCAGATATCATGGTACTGATCAGCATTACCTCATAGGAGATGGTATAATAGCTTAAGTGTCAGGATATTTTAAACCTTCACTCCCTTCCTTCAGGAAAAAAAAATACAACAGGGTGCTCATTCATTTTCCAGGACAGTGTCTCTGAATGAACAGCCAGAGATTTTTTGTTTTGGAAAAAATAAGTGATATTGGGCTGGATTGTCACTTAATTGTTTGTTTTTGACCTAATCTAGATGTCTAGGAAGGATTTGATCAAATTTGTAAAATGATGGAGTAATTCAGCCCTATTGTTTTATCTAATTAGTTCTATTTTTAAAACGTCATAAACGCCATGAATTGATGTTTTAAGAAATTATCCATTGTGTACAGAATAGACATGCAAAGCATTCCTCCATCATACTTGTGTAGTATGTAATAAGTTTACATATTGTGTCATTGTGTGTGACCTCCGCAGCATATCCCCTTTGTTAAAAGAAAGTATTCCTGAAGTTTTGAAAGTCTTGTCAGTGCTGAGTTAATAAAAGGTTACCCGTTTCAGAAACATTGGTTTTAAGGGAAGCTAGTTCTTTAAACTGAATACTGTATAAGTCTCTAAAGGACTGTACTGTATTTGTATTTCGAAGGAACAAATAGTTCTTTAATGTTACATGAAAAATGAATATATGCAACTGGTCCAGCTACTGTGCTTTCCACTAGGGGGAAACATAATACTTGAAGCGGGAGTGTTTCACACACATGTTTTATTTAGAGCAGAGGTCTAAGGAACAAAGTCCTTTATTGGAGAAACAATTACACAATAAGCCAGTGTTAAGAAAGATTACTTATCTTAATGCTTAATGGCAAAATGCTGATTTGGTTTGTTTTATATTCATGCTGCATTATGAAAATGCTACTGAGATTTTATGAATCTCAGTTGTAGTCTGAAAACGACATAATGCTCCATTTATTTTCAAGTCATTTTTCTGTAACCTCAATATATTCTATGAATGTAAAGCCTGGCTTCTATATTTAGGACAGGTCATGTATACATATAGAAGGAATCTAAGGCCTGCACATGGAAGTAATCATGGAACAATCATTTGATGATGTCATTGTATGAACCCATGCAGTTAATTGACTCTCATATTGAATGTCTTCTTGACATTTAGTTTGTCACGTCTCTTTTTGATTACAAGGTCTTCATAAGCAAATCTTTTTCAGTATTTTCTGTAATAGCATCTGCATCTTCTTAGCATCTGTTTGCTATATATTTCTTTTATCTGTTTTACAATATAAAATTTTTCATGAGAAGAATTACTGTTACCGAATTTAAACTCCTTTTACACTGAGATGTGACATTAAACTTCTGTTTCATTTCGGTTTTTCTAGTCCAGATTGGAGCTATCTTTCAATTTTGAGAACTCTGGGGAACGAAGAAACCCCAAAATACACCTTTTTGTTCTTTACCTACAACATGTTCAAGGAGTGAAGTTAAAAAAGCAGTCTCATGCCTGCCACTGAAATCTGAAAATACTGACAGTGTTTATTTGTATTACAGGTCATGTATGTTGAAGGAACATCCTTGATTTTAGGATTTGAAGACCCGATGGTACGCACTGATGACACTCCGATCAAGCGATGCCTTCAGACTAAGTGGCCATATATTGAATTATTGTGGGCCACAGATCGGTCTCCTTCATTGAATTAATTCTTACCTCTGCCAGAATATTCCTTAAAAACACAAATGCTATGAGCAAAATATTTTTCACTTTGTTTAAAAAAACCTGTTTCAGTTTGGAACATTGAGTTTTGTTTGTCACTGTCTGTTTCACAAAGAAAAAATAGTGTGTACTTTTACTTTAATTTTCAAAATAACTTGTTTTACTTTGAAATATTGAATACTAATGTTCTGATTTTTTTCATTTGTTTTATGCTCACCAAAATGTATTTATTGTCATTGAAAATTAATTTTGTTCATTGCAGTGAGTCTGTTTTGTTTCAATGATTTCACACAGGATTTGTTTGCTTAAAAATATGTTTTAAATTTTCTTGAGGGGAAAAGGATTAAAAATAACATTTTCAAACCTAATCAAGCTTTATCAACAGAGCTGAAGTCTATAAATATTACTGCCCTTCTTAAAGCCAAGGTTTTTTGCAGGACTAGAAAATTGTATTGAATAAATGTAATAGAGAATAAATAAAGTTGGCAATGTTTGACAAGTTAAATATAGTATCTTCTTTGGCCTTGGAATCCCGAACTAAGACTATGGTTACCTTCCCAGTTTGTTTTAAAGGTGGAGGAAAATACTTAATACCTTAATACTCAGACCCCTAATCATCATTCAGGGTCTGAAATTATATTGCAAATGGTTCTGTCCTCTGTCCAGATTGTTCTGTCTGCCTACTCATATCTATTCATTGTATCGTTTACTGCATGGGGAAAAAGATATTGTCGTCAAGACATCTAAACTCATTTATTTTGGTCCAGTGGCTTGCTCAAAATAAATGGCTTACTCAAAATGTGTCATGGTGTATATTGGGTTTAATGATGATTTTTTTTAAGCAGTTCGCAGAAAACGTACCTTGACAAGCTTTGGTCATGATTGCTAAATGTATAATGTATATGAAGTGATAATTAGGACAAATAACCCTTTTCATCATTGTTTTGTAAAAACGCATCAGTAAAGGTATTTTTCCGTAAGATTCACAAAATGTTAAATTTTGTTGTTATGAAAGAATTAAGTCCTACAATACAATGCATTATTGTTAAAACTGTCTGTGAGCAAGATAAGGCATTCACCGCTGTTTCTTTGTGCTACAAGTATTCTAGTAGACCAGTGGCCATCTTTTCCATACAAAGCCAAACCGCTTAGCTTTTTTCTGCCTCTCCATCTACTCATTTTTATACTATTTTTTAAAATATCAATTGAAGATCCATTGTATTAAAAAGTATTTATTTTGCTTAATTTATTACTTCTAGAGCAAGAGATGCTTTTCATTTTCAATGACCTTCACAAGTCTATTTTTACACCTAGAGCTGTATTCTTTGAAGTGTTTCTTAATTATATAAAATACATACTTCATTTCCAGCTATGGACTTGAAAGATCTATGAGGTCCAAATTTTCACTGGTTATGAAGAAAAGATAACCAAGCAGAATTCCCTAACGTTCCTTTAAATAAACATATTTAAAGTGATTTATTTATATTTTAGCTCTGTGTCACGTGGTGATGTATCAGTTGATATGTTGTATTGTTCTCGCAGAGATATACTCTATGCATTGAATATGAAGTGTTCACTGAGTATGAAATAGTGCTCTGTAGTTCAGTTGATTCATTTCATGAATTAAAAAAAACATACAGCTGTTTAAGCATCTTGTCCAAATGAACAATTGTCTACTTAGAAAATCAATACAGTTACACCAAATAGTCATCATGGGGTCATGCGTTTAGAAAACCAGACAGCAGCTGATAGCATTCACAAAAAAGGTACTGTACTATTGCTTTCTCAGAATCGCATCAAATGAAAAAAGGCTAGTTTTTAAATGCCTTTGCCATTTGTTCATAAGACAAAAGCATTTAATGGGCAGACAGTTCCTTACAGTGATAAAATTCTGATATCCTATTTACAGAGCACATTGTTTCTCATGTGGTTCATATACAATATGGAGGATATTGTTACTGCCAGTTGTTATGTAAAGTACTGTAGTTTACTCCAGGAAAGCAAGGGTTGTTAAAACACTTCATGCTAGTTATATGGCTTCAATAAATTTACTTTTGGCACAAGATCATACACGTACCACTCATTATTTTCTTCTTTATGCAATTTAGATCAAAATAATTAATCTAACACTTAGCAATGTGCAGAATGTTAATGTATTACACCTTAAACTCTAATTGAGTAAAATATGTCCTAAAAAGGGTATCAAATTTATAGGGCCCCTGTGCAAATTAGGAGATGGTCCAGTTGATTATTAATACGAAACAGATTCACAGGTACGTTAAATATATTATTCCCATATGATGGTAGTATTTCATCATATACTGTAGGCTCTGGTGCTATGGAGTCACTCAGAGACTTGATTGCAACTACCATGAAAAAAATGGAAGTAGCTCGTTTATGAAAAAAACAGCATTGTCAGCTATAATTCTGTTGGACCTTCCAAACAAAACTGGAAATGGCAAGTTAGTAGCAACTCAGAGTGCCAAAAGCTGCAGCACTTAAATAAAATATTAAGTCAGAATACTTAACTTTGAAGAAAAATACACATTAAAACAACGTCATACCATTAAAAAAACACTTTATAGCTCAGAATGGGTTACTTGCTTTTCTGAGTAAACTTTTCTGAGTTCCTTCTGGTAAATAACAAATAGATTTGAAGAAACATTTATTGAAAATAAGAAAATCATAAAGATTATCTTTCTTTGAAGGAAATTTCCCAACTGGAAATTCAAGTCAGTTTTGGATACTTTTCTTAAATGACTTTAATATGTAATTTTATTTTACAAGGCAGTAAAAGGCTGTATTTTTTAAGAACTGAAACCATAAAACTGGTTCAACATCTGCCCAGAAGATGCTCCTCACAGGATCATGAGCTAGCTGAAGTAAGGTTTGTCATGCTTTTCAAGGGCCATTTTAATTTTCTAAATCTGGTGATTGATATGGAGTAGAAGTAGTATCTTGGAATAGATCAAGCCTTCTAAAGCAAAAAACAGTTATTTGCTGCCAAATGAATGTGAAGCATAAACTCTGTGACTGAAGAGATGTGGAATGGAATTAATTAAGTCTTAATTTAATAAGGCTACTAAGAGGAAATGGTTGATATGTACTTCAGTCTGTGTGCTTTTACATGGCATGGTTCCTGTGATGTGGAATCACCAATAATGTTAGGGAATAACATTAGGCCTATATCCTCTACATATTATTGAAATGAAGATTGGACAAATGCTTATCACAGTAGGTCTTCCTTTATTTTTTGGGGGAACTTTTCACAAAAACAATTTGATTTCATCCTTGGCGTTCCAGTATGCTCCTGCTTTCCACTAGCAAATCCTGTGCGAGAGAAACGTCTTACGCCTGTGTCTTGGCAGTTAGGCTCCCGTCTCATTCCCTCTGTTCAACGGAGTCGCGTTCCGCAGGCATCGAAAAGAGGAAAATAGTGTAGAGACCGAGCTGCACTCAGTACCGGTAGCTCCCACTTTCAGAAGATCTGGGGGATGTTTTGGTCAGGAAAGGGGTTGGAAGTCAACCCAAGCGCTCTTTGTCTGCCATTGAGCAAGCGTTTTCAGTTGGCAAGGAGGCTTGCTAAACTTGATTTTGAAATAGCAACCCGAGTGAAAACTGTTACACACCATCGGAGAAGATTGAAATGCTCAATACATGCCGAGCTTGATTATAATCTTGCTAGGCAGTCCAGATTAGCAATTTAGTGCAATGATTTCCAGTTGTCCAGATTCTTACTGTTCTCGCTTTACATTCAATCTAGTCCCTTTTGTTGCTCTGCTATTTTTTTCTAAGCTTGAAGGTTGTTTTTTGCCTTGACTATATACTGTCAGTATTCTGCAATATATTAGATAACCCCTCCTATTTCTCCTTAGAGCTCTTGCATGGCAGGATAGAGCACATCAAATGCAAGAGACACTTCAAGCCAGAATCAAATTGCCTACATTGTGTTCCTTGTGGTCCTTGTGGTGTGAAAAAACTGATAGGTCTAATGCACAATATAAGGATAATATATGAAACTCATAAAACTCTTTTAGTATAAGTCATTTTGAACTTTCAAGTAATTAACTGTTTATACATACTTTTATTGTTTTAAACATGCAGCGCTTTATTTTTGTGTAATGTGCTGTACAGTTTTATTCCAAGCTGAGGCCTTTTCTGAAATACTTGGCACACATACACAACAGCACTGCATGGAGTCTCCATCTAACATAAACCAAAGTGACTGAGTTGCAAACACATATCGGAGTTTCTTTATTACATCCTGATTGAAAACTTGATGTTTTTGATTCCTAATATAGTAACAGTCCAGCTACGTAAAACGAGCCAAAATGAACAGATGTAGTATCAAAATAAAAGGGCGAACTTAATTACAAAAAAAAGCTGCATGGTATCAAATAACAGCTCAGAAATCAAATTCTCCTTGGTGTAACAAAACAATCCCTCCCCAAATAGTTTAGGATAATAGTGATAGGATAAGATGGCACATTGGCCTCAACTAATATCGCCAGAGTTCATTGAAATAAACTCTACAAACCGAGATCAGGGCCCCACAGAAAACTGATTCAGCATAGAGAGGTGACAGAGAGGTGTGAATTAAGGGTATAAATATTAATTCTCTATTCGTCTGATCACAACACTACATTAGATGGAACTGTCTTCACTTCATCTAATTGCATTTACAGTCTAATAGTGATGTCTCTTTTTGTTTAACTGCCTAGTGCAGCTAGTCTAGAGTTAGGTAATATAGTGAACCCCTGATCACCTACAGGTACATTTAAATCTAGCATTTAGATCTGATTTACAGGAGACCTGTACACAACTTGAATTATATTCTGTTCCAGAAAAGCTTGAGTCTTAAGTTGCATTGAAAAAAGGGCTTCCAGGCATCCAACTCCCAATGCTGAGCCTGGAATAGCGAGAGCACCAGGCTTAAATAAGGAGGGGCAGGACTGGGGGCAGGTGAAAGTAATCAGATAAAATACGAAAGAGCTGGAGCGTCCTTAAGAGGAGGGATTACGATCGTGACAATATCTCCCCCAAGAGATGGCAGCCCACACCATTATAGATGGTCCTGCTCTGTGGTCTCTTTCTACAGTCAGATTCAGGGTGGCAAGCAACAGGTGCAAGGCAGGGTACACCCTGGACAGGACGCCAGTCCATCACAGGGCACACACAGACACCAATAAGCCTGCCAACATATCTTTGGATTGAGGGAGGAAGCCGGAGCACCTGGAGGAAATGCGAACTAGGGCAGAACATGTAAACTCCACGCAGATAGCAGCCCAGGAACTGAAGCCAGGGCTCCAGCAATGCAAAGCAGCAATGCCAGTAACTCACCACCGTGCCACCCTGAGTTAAACATGAACCAGTATAATGAATTATTTGCAATTATGCAGCACTTCTCATCCCAAAGGATTCTAAAGCAATTTACACACAAGAGTGAACCCACTTTATTCTCTATCTGCATTACGCGCATTAGCCATTATGAGTAATTTCATTGTACAGCCGATCTGGAGAAGTGAGAAATCGTCCCCCCAATTGAATTAGGTAAAAACTTTTAAGGAGGACCAGATGGTGCCAAACTCAGTATGAAATTTAGCCGAGACACGGAGGATAACCCTCCTACTCTGACGGACAGCGCCACGGGATCTTTAATGACCAAGTGTTCAGGGCATCACTTAAATGTTTTATCCAAAGGACCTTTCCATCTTAAAATGTTGTCCTTTCCTTTAAAAACATTGCATATCTGTTTCTGTTAATGCATTACCTGTATCATGCACGTTATTATTCCACAGAAAGTTGCAATCCTGATGATTATTACAAGAAATATCCATGCTCTAAATATCAGTATGCTCTATGATTTAAAGCTCTTACCTATAAAGTTTACTCTGAAGTTGACTTTGCCAAAAAAATACTCCCATTGCGTTTTGAGAAATAGCATCATGTCATGTGGCGCTTTGGGTGTAAAAATGTCTGAGTGTCGCACGGCGTCGGGCTCTGCTTTTCAGTTGTCTTGTTTAGTCTACAAAAGCTCTATACGCGCCTAGAACATTTCGTTTTTTTATTCGTTAAAACGCAACTTTATTATAGAATAGTCTCGTTCAGGAATACTAAACGGAGGGTGGTTTCTCAAGGAGAAAAGGAAATGCATCCGCTTTTTGTTTAATTAATCCTTTGATGTAAGGAAATGGGTATTTTATTCTCAATAACGCCCAAGAAAAGTAAAATTAGTGTAAACTCGTTTGCCTTAAAAGGGCTTGTCTGGCTGACGTGTGTTGTGTTGTGATGTTGTCTGTAGCTGTCTGATGGAAGGGGTTTTAATGCTTGTCTGCCGAGTCGGTTACAGAAGAGGAGGCGGTGAGAGAGTGTTGTGCAGAGTCAATGAATGGAGTAAGCAAATCTTCGGAAACTTCATTCTTGATAAGAGCCTGCAGCCTGTGAGGTGCCGCGGAACAGCCTACTGCAGTTCACCTCTGCTAGGAATCTTATTTAATTTCTTGGATTAATATAGACGACACCTGGTGCCGTAGCTATGGTTTTCTTTTCTCCTTGGGTGTTATTCTGTTTGGCTTCCTATTTTTGTCCTGTTTTAATCGGAGTTGCTGCTTTTAATCTGGATGTTGAAAAACCGACCGTTTACAGTGGTCCTGAAGGTAGTTATTTCGGATATTCGGTGGACTTCCACCGACCTGCCTCGGACAAAAACACGTAAGTTTAATTATGTCCTGAAAACTTTACTTCTATAATCGTGCAGTTTTAATTAAATTAAATTCATTCATACACGAAACAATATTATTAGTATTTTGAATTATGAAAGCTTTCAAGCATGTTGATTTTGTAATAAACACTTACAATGGCTTAACACTTATTATTGTTCATTTCGCAGGGAATAACTGGTATATTTCTAGTCTGAGCACAACTGAGTGTAGTTTTTGTAAAAGTGTTTTTGCATGGTTTCTGATGCGAAATGGCTTTCGATAGCAAATTAAGCATTACAGTCCAAATGTGTGGGACGTTTGTTTAGTATTCCTCTCACGCACGCAAATGAAGGGGCTATATTCACATTTCTAATTAGCTAAATAAACCCGGGCATCCCTGGTTATTACTATACAGCATATACTGCTGTTTATCCCTCCGTCCTAACATGCTTCAGAGTGAATTTAAAAACATGCCATTCATTTGCTGATCGGGGTTTTCGTTTGTGCAATTCACTTCCATGTTTCTCGATGTCCATCGCAATTCCAGAATGAGTGTCTTGGTTGGGGCTCCAAAAGCCAACACGTCCCAGCCAGGAATAGTGGAAGGAGGAGCCGTGTATTACTGTCCCTGGCCGCCTGCGGAGTCCGCTCCGTGCGCGCAGGTCCCCTTTGATACCACCAGTAAGTAAACGCGCGTACTCGGACAAGACAGCCGCACGGTCACAGGTACCAGCGCGGCGCCGTTCACAATCACTTTGTCAAAAACACGTACTCCTTTTTCTGGTGTCTTACAGTTTAAAAAATACATTGCAATTGTTAGTCTGGCTTGGCATACATTGTTGTCTTTAACTGAGACTTAACTTGGATTGTTACTGAGGATGGGTGAAGAGATGGAAAACACAGAGCCTAAATACTACAGGAATCAGTCGTTTGTTCACAGTGTTGCTGTGTATGTGTAATGCTTTAATGTAGGGGTTGGACTCTTGGTGAAACAACGTGAGTAGAAGTGTCGCCTATTAAAATGCCAAGGTAATACGGCTTTTAATCTAAGCGACTGAATCACCGTCCCCCTGCTTCCACACTTTAGTTTAATGAGACATCTCCACCCTGGGGGACCTGACTCCACGGAGCGCAGTATTTAAAAAACACCAAGGTACGAAATAGGCAAGGTATTATATTGTTTGTCCTCTATAGATACAGAAAAGTGTACGATTACATATTCATTATCCACACCCATATCCAGTCAATGGTTAAACCTCATGCATGTGGTTCGTTTCAACTTTCAGGAGCAACGTAATTTCCATATGTTGCTCTCGAACTCCAGTAATTTCACCCTTATGGATATTCTGGCACGATCCTAAAGTCTGTACAAGTAATATGTCAGGGGGCGGCTTGCCAGTTCGCTTTTATGTACTTCACTGCTGCACGTCTTTGACAGCGTAAAAATAGTCTTCAACAACTACTGTAATTACCGATATTTTGTTTAAGTTAACTTGCATTTCGTGCATTTTTCTAAAAGCAATTGGATTGCAGTGTAACATGATCACAAATTAAAATTTGATTTAATCCTTAGCTGCAAACGTTTTAAAAAGTACTATAAAAGCTTTTGGTTGTCCACGTATTAGAAACTTGACATGAATACACTTAGGTGATGTTAAAGTACTTTAATATGCGTGATTTACGATGAAAGCTACTGGATAGCTGTCAATCGGATTATTTTACACGCTGCTCTCCAACCTTTAATTCTGTTCAGAGCTGTGCTGTAATTCCAGGACAAAATCCAGACTGGTATTCTGAGTGTTCACTTGGGGTACTTCCTAGTGGAATATTTGACTTTAATGTTGTCAGGTTTAAATTCTGTAAAGTAGCTAATTTCATTTTATGGCAGCACTTAACATTGGGTAAGAAAGAACAAGGCTTTTTTATATGGGATGGGAAGATAATCGATTTTCACATTTATTTTGGTGTGTTGGTAAAAAAAAAATAATGTAATCAAATAGTCGCCATTAAGTTTGGGATCTACATGTCCTACAAACACAACAAAAGGACTTTCCTTTGCTTTCCTTCTGGAAAGGAAATATTCCCCCTAAGTTTTCACTGCAGTGATGACATGGCCGTGATATGGAACTTGTGCAGCTTTCCTAGCCATCATACTTGATCACGTCAGGCCAGCGCATACGGGTGTTGTGAAGCTCAGATACCGTATGGTATTTTAAAGAAGATTTTTTTTTTTGTCTCAGTTTGAAGAGACACATCTCATTGCCAGGTGCTCTCTGTGGCGTAGGTAGCGGCTCGCCGTTTGACCGGGTGATATCTTTAGCAGCGCTCCAGCATGTCTGCCGTGAAGCATGTGAAGGAAGTGACATTAAAAGGGTCTTTGGGGTTTAATGGCTTGCGATGCAGACGGAAGCTCATGCCGGGGCAGCACTGGAGCAGGCTGGGGGTCGGGGCGATGAAGGCTGGGGAGGTTGGGGGGGTTGAGCAGCGAACACGTGGGAAATCAGTTAACTTCAGAGGCTTAGGGGGTGAATTAAGGGGATGTCTGCTTTTTATTAGATCTTGAAATTCATCATAATTGGGCTGTGCTTTTCCCCAGATGGTCCCTCTCCCTAGGCTGCAGTCTCCACAGTGGCCTTGCTGTATTTACATGCCTCTTTGGATTGGCACTCCCCTCTATTGGCTAATATTTCCAAAGACAGTTCATATCTTAAAAGAGATCAACCTCTGTACTCCCCTGGCACCAGCTGAGACTTATGCCCATTCTTGTTTCTGTCTTGTAGTGGAACTGCTGGTCCAAAGACAAAAAATAACTTGTCCTTCAGAGGAATAACATACTTCAACAAGTAAACAATATTATACATTTCACATAGTTTATACTGAAATTCACCCGATAAAATATATACAGTACAGTACATAAACAGTTAGTTACTCTTATACAATGAGAGAAATATAATATCTATGCAAGTTATGTATAATTGCTCAAATAATTACAGTTAAATGATTTATGCATGGTACATATTTAATAGCAGTGGAGTAATAGTAGTTTGAATCGATTCTGTCATTCAAGATGCTTGATAGACAGGATATTCTGTCTCATACAGTAAGAGTGGTTATTTGCTTTGATTAGTGCTGGAAAGATTAGTCATAAACACTATATGGTCCAGGTCTCCCCATGAACCACTCGCAAAGCTAGAAAGGGTTAAAATTTTGTTTGAGTTCTTAAGCCACAGTGAATGAGATTTAGGGGTCAATGAGTGAGTTCTGAGGTTTGACAAGTGAAATTTTCCATAGCTTACAAGAATCTATTTTACCTACTGTAGTATTGTGTCAATTACATGAGAACCAATTTGTGTATTTGCTTTATTGACACCTGGAGATATCATAGGAGCACCAGAATATAATAACCATACATCAGTTGGATTTGCATGAATGTTGATTTATTGGCTGAAAATCAAATAATGAACAGTATCTTTACATTAGCCCTCCTTCCTCTGTGGAGGATATGGTGTGTGTACCTGTGAACTCTATTTCATCACTGCACATGAGGAGTTCATGGAAATCACTCAGCAGCACTCAGAGTAATTCTAACAGAGAGGGAAGCGAGCAAAACCAGTAAGCTGATACACAAGTTCAACTGGCTGACAGCCACTGTTAACCCAGATCACCCCGTTATTAAGAAAACATAGTTTTGTTCTGATAACACTCACATTCAGTCACTCACTTGCGCCATTTCTATTTTAGCATGTATGTATTACATTGAGTAGATGCATGAGATGCGTGACATTGTAGTGCCAGCGAGTGGGAGGCCCAAAATGTGCGAGCTGTGGCAGCTATGTCTGTGAGGAAATGAATGTTTCCTTCAGGGATCACAAATCAGAATGCTGCCATTCCAATCCCGTTGAAAATGGGACACTTTAAATACTCATTACACTATTAATCTAGCTAGAGTTTCACAATGTAGAGTTATTAAGCACACCTTTTTCATCTCCTCTACTGCTTTTCTGACATGCACACAGATGAAAAGAATGATCTCAGAAGAGACTGGAGACTGAGAGGTTTTGTGAGGTGTGGTCTGTGTACTGTAGGTTTCTATTGGATGATAGCTCTGACTTACCAATAGTGTATGGCACACTGATAAAGGCACACTATATAGGAAATAGCCAAGATGCATTCCAATAACACTTAAATAATGGTCTGGAGGTCTATTAAGTGAATGTGGAAAACCTTGATATCACACATTGTTGTTGTTGTTTGCATTCTTTGGGCTGTCTAACTACCCCTGCTGCAGGGATATTGATTTTTGACTTTCATTTCATGGGTTATTGAAGGTCTTTTAAAATGAACTCCTATTTACAATACTCAAAACAAAGAGATACTCAATTCTTTAACTTTATGAACTAGAGCTTCCTGCCTCGTGTGTTATATAAAATATTACTGCAATAGCGTGCCTGCTACCAGAAGCATTTCAAGCAAAGTTTTCTTTTATATATACTGTAGAAACATCCAATATACTGTACATTGCACAGTCTGTGAAGATATGTTTTCTGATAAGATCACAGTACTCTTGAGAATTCTGCTTTATGTATACTGCAAAAATGTGTTTTGGGCATTTTTCTGTACTCAGTAATTTATATTTTGTTTCCCCTTAATTTAAGATAACAGAATGATCAGAGTGAATGGCACCAGGCAACCAGTGGAGTACAAATCCAATCAGTGGTTTGGAGCTACAGTCAGAACTCATAGAGGAAAAGTAGTGGTATGTTTATTGCAAATTTATTTTAAAGGTATTTTTTTCAGGTCTCCTGGGAAAAGACCACTTCATCATGGCTTTTGTAAAGAACAAGTAACTGTTTTTGTTGGCACGTTTAACTGGCATGAAGGGATTTCTATGAAAAGCACTGTGCACATATGGAATGCACTTTAAACTCAATTGTGCTCTCGTGGCCAACACTTTAGGACAAGACTTAACACAACCCCACTGCCTGAAGACCCCGACCTCACAGCTTGGACCAAGTGATGCTCAGTGATTACATACAGGGAAAGGAATAGGCCACGTGTTTTATTTGTACATGAAGCCTTGTCTAAATACTGAACTTAAGTTTCAATTCAATTTTTAGAATACAGCACTGAATATCCGGCTAGAGTGCTGGTGATTCATGGCTCTGCGCATAAATACTTCTGGTATTTTAAACACAGGCCTGCGCTCCACTGTACCACTGGAGGACTCTGAAACTGGCTCGTGAGAAGGACCCAGTGGGAACATGCTATGTTGCTGTCCAGAACTTCAGTGCTTTTGCTGAGTATTCCCCATGCCGTACGAGTAAGCTCTCTTTTAATTCTGCCTTTCTCCGCTGTTGGTAACTAACAAACCGTAGAATTCAGACTGTGTCACAATTACACAGTGGACCATGAACAGGCGCAGACAGCACGTCAGCACTGCAACCTTAGAGCTGCTGTTCTGTATTGTCCCCTTTCTCTGGGGCTCTGCAATGAGCTAACATCTCATACTCATATTCTCATGCTACCATGCAGAATACTGTAGTTATTCGTAAATGCTCTTTTTCTTTTTGTTTTTCTTTTTCTTTTTCTTTTTCTTTTTTTCTTTTTCTTTTTTTTTCTTTTTCTTTTTCTCAATAGCAATATTGATTGATGTATAGCATCAAAATGCAGACTGTTTTTAGTATTTGTTTTGAATTAAATTATTTATGTTTTTTGTGTGTTGTTATACGACAGCATAATAAAACCTCTTGCTGTCTAGGATATACTACGGTGCAAGAAAAACCTATAAGCCTTCTTCATGTGAAGCAACGTGTTTTGCATCAGTACATCATGCACATAATGTGTGGTTTTGTTGGACAAAAGTGTTGCTTTCATGCACTACAGTAAATATGTATGTGTGTACTGTTTGCAGATTCTGGACAGTTTTCACTTACATGTGCATGCCAGTTACAGTTTCTTGTTTCTGACTATGGTAACAACATCTTGCATTTGTTGGAAGCTTTTCATTTTACAACACATACAGTGACATATACAGATGAGTGTGCTTTACAATATGTACATCTTATTTTCCATTTATTTAAATGTACATTTAAGGACCAGATGATAAATTGTACATGAGGTAAATAAATTACCATTTGGGAACTGCAAATCTAATGCCCTAGAATGACTTCAGGAAACACTACCCTTGTGGGCAGAACGCAGAATGATTCACTATTCCACCTCATTCAGTTATGCTCTTTGCAAATTATTACAAGACTTAAGGACTTTAGCTTTATTTATGTCTGAAGCTAAGTCTCTTGTTAAATAAGAGAACTTATGCTCATGTGTAACTAACACCAGAATTATAGCTGTAACATTTGGGACTGTCTAGAGATGTTTCGTTTACAATTACCTTGAGGTTCCTGCAGTATTTTCATTATTTAGGAAAAAGATTTTTCAATTTAGACTTCTAAAGAAAAGAGAGAAAGGTAAGAATGTATCACTAGTGCCAGGAGTAACATCTGAAATCGTCTTGCGTGCAGTAAGCGGTTTTAAGCGCCAGTGTGTCCCACCAGTGTGGGAATGATTTTGGATGTCTGTCCATTGACAGGAGACCCAGACCCAGAGGGACAGGGATTCTGCCAGGCTGGCTTCAGTGTAGATTTCACAAAGGTACACTTCTGTTTTTTCTTTCTAAAAAGGAGTGGCATGTTTATTGAATGTCTTATATTTACAGTCACTTTGTGATTACAGCATTCATGTTTTCGCCATTACCATTTGGAAGGAAAGATATAATAGGAGTTTGAGCAGTCAAAACATTTTTCCTTTGAGAGTGCATTTCCTTACAAACATCTTGCTTTGCTAAAAGGTCAAGCATAATTTCAAGATTTATATTTCTATTTTCTGAATAGCTTAACAGATTTCATATGCTCATCATCATCATTATATACTGGATCCCACACAGTCAGTCTGTTATGGTACCTAATGATAAGATAAAGAATTAGTCTCAGGACTGTAGAGGGTGTGTTACATTGTTTCCACCCCATGAAAAACAGAATAATTACTGTCTTGACCTTTCTCTTGAAACCACACATATATTCCTGCATTTGCAGTTAGTCTTCTCAATGAAACACTATATGATGAGCTTATTGCATGTACAGTACTTATCTTATTAGGATCAAACAGAGGTATGCTCTACTGTAAAAGGTAAAACAATATATATGTTTCATCTCTGCCGACTGAAATATACCTGAGGAAGGCTCCACAGCTGAAACATTGTGTGTTTTATTAAAACTTTTTACTTTTCAATGTGAAATTAGCCTCTACTTATCCCCTTATTATATTGTTTTTTGCCATAATCATGTCTGTGATAAATATGAGCTGGGCTTTGCCTGTAATTCGAGGACTGTCCTAACAAGGGCTGTTCAAGGGTTGAAACTTTCAACCCTCTGAATCTTTTTTTAATTCTGTAGATTTGCAAATTCATAAACATATTTCAAAGATAATACTCAGTAAGTCTTTAAATATAGGCACTGCTAGATATGCTGTAATGTGATTTATATTGAAATAGAGGATTGAGCTAGTAGCCTTATCTTTGCTGATACCTACTGTATGTGTTCATCTTTCCTGAGATGCAAAGTAAAACCTTTTAACTGACAAAAATGTCAGTTGCTCTGTTATGAAATGTGATATTCAGCAACGTTATCTAGCAAACACTTCTATCTCTGATGGACATTTTCTTGGTATGCTGCTGAAGTGCCTGTCAGTGAATGTTAGGCACAGGAGTTTTTGATACTAAACATGTGGAACTGTAAATATTTGGAGGCACAGAGACAGCCTCAAAGCCACAACCTTTTCAATAAAGTAAAATGCTACAGGTATGTGTCGCAATCTGCCAGGTGCTTACATAAACTGAATCTTTACAGACCTTTTAAAAAACTCTTTGAAAATGAATGCATTTCAAAAAGGCATTATGTCAGACATTATCTTTGTTTTAATTAGGAAGGAGATCTTGTGGTTGGAGGACCAGGAAGTTTTTACTGGCAAGGTAAACTGCGTTTTAACTCATTTAACGTATTTTAAAGTAAAAGAATATACATGTATATAGACTCTGTCATATGGAATTTAGTAGAAGATCTTAAGATTCATCATTGATCAACATTATGCACTAAGAAATATTAATTTAATACACAAAATGGTAATTTATGCTTACCAATTATTCATAAAACTCATAAAAAAATTCTAAAGGAATGTGGATACAGTATGTGTACCTTTTCTGTAACTGTCAAGTTGCTTACATGGCATATTCACAAAGCAGTTAATAAATTATCAATGAAATTAGACAGTCACCTGTTTTTCTGATGTGGACTGTATATGCTGGATATGCTGCTGTGGACTACAGTTAATAACCACTGTACATTTTAAGTGAATATGTTTAATCAAAATGTGAATGCTCAAATTGAACACTTTCATGGGTGAAAGAAATTAAAAACCAGCAAATATAAACAGGAAAAATCAAATACTAAAATAGGTTGATTTCATACAATTTTACCAATACTGATTAAATTGACAAACCTAGAGTAAATTAGTCCAGGTGCACATAACTGGTTAACACCTTTTTTGACAAACCCCAAAATTAGTTAGATCAGTCAGGTAGTGAATTTCAGGCAAATATTAAACTATGAAGACCAAAGTGCAAAGTGCAAAACAACTCAGGGATAAAGTTGTAGAAATGGAAATAATCGGATGGATGGTATAAAACATTTCAAAAACACTGAAGCATGCTGAAGATGATTGGAAAATGTATGGTACCACTCACATACTGGTTAGATGAGGTTGTCCCTCCAAACCGCAGAGCTGGGTGAGGAGGAAGCTGATGAGGGATTCCACCATGAGACCCATGGCCTGAAATCAACCCCAAAACAGCTACGGAGTTCAATGGCTGTGATGGGAGACAAGGCGTCAACAATATCCTAGTCCCTCCACAAAACCGACTTCTATGGGAGAGTGACAGACCCATTTCAAATCCTGCATGGAGTTTGCAACGGAGCATTTAAGTGACTCTGCATGTGGCAAGATGTTACACGGCCAGACGTGACAAAATATTTTTGGTCTATAACTTTTTTGGTCTAAATGCACAGAGTCACCATCTTTAAAAAAGCCAAAACAGTGCATCCCCCCAGTCAACGCCATCCCTACTGTCCAGTGGGGGTGGCGGCAGCATTATGTTATGGGGGTGCTTCCCATCACCAGGAACTGTGGAGCTTTGGAGCAAAGCACAGAGAAATCATACAGTAGAACCCACTTCAGTCTTCAGTCTTCCTAAGGACACAAAATTGGAGGAAAGTTCACCTTTCAGCAGTACAACAGCCCAAAGCAGTAAGACAAAGCTATGGAATCGAGTAGTTTCACAAGAAGAAAATGAATGTGGCCCAAAGTCCAGACTTTTGAGTCCTATAGAAAATATGTGGCAAGACTTGTCAGTGATCCCCAACCAACTTGACAAGTTAATTGATAATTGCACCAAGCCAGTGCGCAAAGTAGGTATCCATCCACGTATCCAAACAGACTCACAGCTGAAATTGCTGTTAAAGGTGCTTCTTCTACCAAGTATTGACTCAGGGAGATCAAAACATATTTCAGTTTTTTATTCTTCTTTGAAGTTTTTGAGGACAATGAAATTATTTTCCAAGGAAAATTGTACATTTGAGCGTGCAAGTTTTGCTTAAAATATTTACTTTTCAAGTGTGAATACTTTGTAATTCAACAAAATGGGATGTGATTGGAAGGGGAGGAATACTATTGCAATGCAATGTAAAAATGAGAAAGCATTTTTCCAGAAACAAAAGGAAGTCTTCTTTCCTGAGTATGAATTATATTTCTCCACCTTTTATGAAAAAAAAATGCATTGGAAAGTTTTCAAAAAGAGGGAGTCATTAATTTTACTCAAATGCATTACAGTAAATGGAAGCAATATGTTTTAAAAGAAACAGAATTAAACTGTGAACCCTAGATCATGCTAAATTGCCATCCCACATAGCAGTACGGAATGTGTGTAAGAATATATTGAGTTACATTTATTTTTTAATTATGATTAATGTCTTCAGGTTAACTAGTATTTGAAGACCTAGAGTAACAGAGAAATGAATTAGTTATGAGATGGTGAATAAAGCAGCACTTATGATAGTAATGGGTATCCTCAGAGAAATCTTTTGTCCAACCATTCCTTATAATAAATTCACCCTTAAATTAGCACAGGAAATTTGGGTTGTCTATTCCTTGCTGTCTTAATGGCATTATTACAGTGAAATTGAGTGCAGTCAAATGTTCTTAATGCAGGGCCTTGCATGTATTAACCATAAAAGTGTTCAAGCCTTATTCCAACAATGTCTTTTACAGTATGTCAAGTTGCCTAGTCAGGTCTCTGTGTAGATGTCTTAGGCCCTTTTAACACCTGCTCTGTTCCTAAAAAGAAATGTGACGTTTTAAGCTAGCTAGCATCCCTTTGTGAATTGGATAATATTTTCTGGCAAAGAAATGTAGTTCAGATCACCTTACTTGTTTTTCCGACAAACATTACCCACATTTCACTTCTTAGTAGAAATGGGGCACTCTTTTACAAGGTAATTAATTGTGTCTTCCTTATTCTGAAGAATAGTAAATGATCTGACAAAGGATTCTTGGTATCTGTGCATGAAGAATGAGATATTTTTCTGCCCTGTTCGGATGCTAGGGTTACTACAGTATGTATTGCTCTTCTCCAGTCACTTTTCTTCTCCTTACGATACATTCACCAATCATTATCAATTAGGTGCAAACCATTTTAATGTTTTCTGAAAAGATTTTCTTATAATAAGATGGGCATATTAGTCTGACTAAGACTTGAAGAAGCAAATTCTCAGTCACAAACCTTAATACTGTCATTTTACTTTACTTAATGAAGCTTTGACTATTGTCGATTTATTTTTACTTATTATTATTGTATATGTAAGTCTATTTAGAATTGCTTACCCTGCCTAATAAAACCTATTAGCCACCCTGACACGTGTAAAATCGCAAATATCCACCTTGGTTTAATTTCCTCAGAACAAAGTTCATTATCATTGCCCTCTCGAACCTGACAATGGCACAGGATGTTCTCCAAAAGGGGAAATACCTAATGGAATTTTAGAGGATTCTGGTACCAACCGGATGTATATGTTTTAATATGATGACATGTGAAAAAGATAGATAGACATTTGGGTCGTTGAACTCAAGTAGAAGCAAGTAACAGCTGAAATGTAGCATTAGGTCTTTAACCTTTATGTTGACCAGATAAAAAACAACACTACTTTTTTTCCTGCTGTAATTAAAAAATAATAATTGGTGATTTGGTCTTTATTTTCAAAGCCGAAGTGATTAATTGATCATTCTGTGTAGCCGTGCAGTTAATTCCCAGCTGCTGTCTTAGAGGTAGGGATTTTAAAAATAAATAATGCTGTTAAAAACAAAGTCACGGTCTTTGGCAGGATTTTGGGATCTCTGGCTCAAGCTGGAAGGGTCTGTAATTTCTCCCCCCACCCCATTTCTAAAACTGTTCCTGCGCCTTTCCTGTTATTTCATCTAATGAAGTGTTTTAGACCTCTGAGTCTAAAGACATGCACATTGTTTTGCACATTAGCAAGCATGCAGTTAGTCCTTTAACCTCCTTCATACATTAACACATTTAAGGAGATTTAAAACAGTAGAAGAGCTTTATGTAAACAGTGTAATGCACACCACAGACTTGTACCCCCTTTGTTTGACAAAGGAATAATGAAAATAGTTTGTACAGCCTGGATGGCTTGCAGTACCAGCAGAGATTTAAATCATCTAAGTTATCCATTAAATATATAAAATACATTAAATACATGAAAATCCTAAAGGTTTAAGTGGGGTTAAAATATGGCAATGAAGAATGATTGATGTCTTTCAGAAAGTTAGTCAATTATCCCCAGGGTATCTGCTCTTATATTCTGTTGGTCATTACATGTGTTGCAGTCTTCATTTACTGTGCAAAGTTCCTGAAAAATTTTCATAGATGGTCTCTGTTTACTGTAAATCATTTTACACTTTTTAGAACAGAATCATTTGAGTCGTTGTGGTTTTGTAGTACTTCTGCATGAAGTTGCGATGTAGCTGAGACAATCAGGCTGAAATCTGATGGTTAAATTAATTCCCTTTGTAATGATTCTGAATTTGATTAAGCAAAGCCTTTTCATTATTTGAAGCGTGACCATTCAGACAGATATGGCCATTAGCCAAACAAAGCTGAAAGTTATTTTCAGAAACTATGTTGTTTGAGAATTATGTTGATACATGTTGCAAACACTCATTTTTTGTTCATTTTCAGAGTGATAATAATTAAATCACAATTAAATCTCCGGGGGTAACATTTCTTACAAATAAGATTTTTTTCTTATTATTGTTATCTTATTTCAGGATCTAATCTTAGTTCTATTCTGAGTTTGTAGTTTCTGGTGTCTAATTTTTTTCAAAAAGCATGACTTGCTGAATGCTTATGTTACCACTTGTAGCCTGATCTCAGATGGGTAACCTTTGAGCAAAACCAGGTTCCTGCTGTGAAGGGCGTTGAGGGACCAGTAGGTGGTGCTCTTCTCTCTGGGCGAGAATGTAGGGTAATCTAATGCCCCAGGTGTGATGACACTGTACTATAGGAGATGCATACTTTTGGACGAGTCATGAAATAGAGGTATGAAGAGCAGGGGAGTACCTGAAGAGCAGGAATGTTTACCTCAATGTCTCAGCTATATTAATGCTCATATACTCTGAGCATGAACAACTTGTCCTACCTACAGTTCCCCCTAATTGGTTTGTTAAAGTAATTTCTCACTCCTCCTGATCTGATGTTTAGTGGTTCAGTAATGGATGAAGGGGGAATCTGTCCATATGCAAAGTGTTTTGGGATGCATCAAAACTGCCCAGTGAATGTAGTTGATTCAATTTATTATGCTTATTGTGCATCATATCATGTAACGACTTAAAGGAAGAATGTTATTGGAAAGTCTGCTTTATTTTTCGACATGCAGGGCAGGTAATAACCACAGGTGTTGCCGAGATCCTCAATGGTTATTCGTTCAAAACCCTCCTGAGGGAAGTCAAAGGGGAAAAGCAAACGGGTGCTGCCCCAGACACCTATGATGACAGCTACCTTGGTGAGTTGTTCTACTGGGAGAAACCTGACATTTATGGAGACATGTCTTTTCCAGAATTCCAGAATGTGTTTGCCCATTCGTGAAGCCTATATACTTTATGACTTGAAATATTCTACAGATGGTTTATTTGCCTCCTGTGGTACCCGTACTTTAGGCAGAAGCCTGCAGAGAAGACACGGGACCTGTGATACAGTTTTGCAATTTCACCCATAAAACATAAAACAGGGAGCTCAGATCCATGTTTGAAGTATGCCAATAACTCTTGATACATTTGCTGACTCAACACATGCAAAATGTCCAAATCTTTCATAGTTGGCCACAAGGTTCTGCATAGGAGTAGACCCCAGACGTTGATTGCTTTACCATGTGCTTTTAGAAAAGTTTATCCTGAGTTGTGCAGCTTTTGAAAACACATTACAGTTGTTATTTGTGTGTTCATTAGGCTATTCAGTGGCAGTGGGAGAATTCACAGGAGATTCGGAGCAAGGTGAGTAGCCTTATATCGTTTATTAAGGCAAGACAGCATTGATTTTCTATTCTTTTAATTATTTACTTCATTAGAAAACGATTTTAATTGGAGGCTTCCAACAGTCAAATAAGACACTCCTGTCGTCACCAGTAGCTGGAAGAAATGAAAGTTCTGTTCCTTAGTGAATTTGAAAAGAGGTCTACAATGGAAACAATGGTTTCTTTCTAATTCGCGATGATAGAATATTCTTTTGAATATTAATGTGAATATTCTCACATGCATGGCAAATCCTCCTGCAGTGCATAGAGAAAGCTTTGATTGCTTGTATATGCAAGCTCCACAGAGCAAACAGTAATGTAGATGCTATACTGTATGGTGTAGTCCCCGAAAATGTTGCATTGAAAATCACATAATTAAACATCCATTCATTTTCTAACTACTTCATCTAATTCAGAGTTACAGGGGAGCTGTAGCCTATCCCAGCAAGCAGCAGTGCAGTGCAGGATACACCCTAGACAGGATTCCAGTCCGTTGAAGCACACACAGACACACACAGACATGCACACACTCACACCAAGGCTAATTTTCCCAGAAGCCAATTTACCTACAGTATTGTTTAAGAAATAGGAAACAGCATATTATCTTAAGGAGTACAAGTGGTGTGCTACAGGGATCCATTTTAGGCTCATTGCTCTTCCTGATCTGCATCAACAGTTTCTATTCTGATATAGTTAGCAAACAAATTTCTAGATATTACAAAAATAAGGCATTTGGCAAATAAACATAGTAGCAGGTGAATTACAGAAAAAAAAACAAACATTGTTGTGAATTGGACACATAGAGTGCATGACAAATTAAATTGAGCATCTTTAAGTCCAAAGTGATACAATGTGGTAATAGAAAAATACGCGATACATGTTTGACTGATTTTAGAGCTCTGAGAACTTACACACAAAAAGGATGAGTGTTTATGTAGATTTTACTGTGTTCTAATCAAGATGGTTTAAAACTAGGGACATTTTGCAAAGAGTACAAATGCACTAGTAATATAGCATTTAGAACTATGTGTTCAGCTTTGGTAAGTATACCACAAAAAGGAAAATACACAATAGCTTTAGAAAGAACTATGTGTCCAGCTTTGGTAAGTATACCACAAAAAGGAAAATACACAGTAACTTTAGAAAGAGTTAAAGGAAGATGAAGAATGATTTTTCCTGGACTCAAGGGGCTGTAATTTTGAGACAGGTTAAAAGAGTAAAGTCTCCCCAGTGTAGAACAAAAGAGATGGAGAGGAGATTTGGTCCAAATATATAATTTTTTTTAAAATATAGATAGCATCAAACCAGGGAACTATTTCACTCAGTGCTGAAAAAAAATCACAGGGTCACAAATAGAAACTAACAGCTAACTTGTTTAGGACAGAGAATTGGAATCATATTCTTAATCATTCTACTTGTATCAGGCATTAATTAGAAATATATTTCCAAACAGTGATTATATCAGCTTTAATTTTGCCAGTAAAGTGTCTTTTTAATGATTAACCCATAGAGTGTAACTAAAGAATAAACTTGTGATAGTCTAACCTGCTGTTCTAAAGTATATTTATTTATACATATAATATATATATATATGTGTGTGTGTAATGTGGAGGTGCTCACAGACACATCCTTAGCTGTCAGTTTCAATGTATGGATTTAAAGAGAAACTGCTCCACAGTCTCTCTGGGGACCTGATAGAGAGACATCGTGTCTCCACGAGCTTTTCCTGGTGAGAACAGCAATAACATAATCAACCTTGTTTGTGGACTTTTTTGTGACATCTGTGTACTGTATGTATGTTTTTGCGATATATTTGTATTTATGTTGCTAATATTTGCTTTTCTCCTTGTGTTCGACTAGAACTCATTGCTGGGGTTCCAAGAGGGGCACATAACTTTGGATATGTAAGTTAACTAACATATAGCCTTAAAAGTGGGAATGATTCATACATTTCTGTAGCTATAATATTGCCTGTAGAACATAGATGAAGATCTTTTTTGCAGGGGGAATATGTTAATATATGTGTCCACTGTGGGGAAAGAGCTTATCTAGCACAGTCCCAGAGGTGATGCAGGAGGGTCTGTTAATTACATGGCTTCCTGTAGCATGTGGTGTGCATTGACCCCAGGCTACTCTGCCACTGCAGTATATCAGAACCCACACAATCCAGAATGACTGAGGGTAATCCCCGGGCCTGAAGCAAGGGAATTCTGATTCAATCACTACGGACAGAACTGATGGTCCTCTGTGTGGAATCTGAGCGAGCTGTCAAATTTGGTTTGTCTTTGTAGACTGGGGGTGGTAGTGTGGTTAGACATCATGTCCCACAAAGGAGGGGGGAATCCCATTTGCAAAATCAAGCGAGTAATGCTAAAATCATGCCTCTCATATGGTTATTAAATAAGGGTTGTAAAAGACCTTCTGACTCCAGTGACAATGTTGCAATTGTAATCGGCCGATGTTTGGGTTCCCTTTTGTTTTTCTTTGCTTTCTTTTTCAGTTATGTGCTTATGTAACTTGAGAAAAAATGTTACAGATTAAACTCCTGAACATAAAGTGAATTCTGTCAGAGTAAGGTGTTTGTTGGTTTATAAAGAAAATAACTTAATTCTTTTCAATGTGATCTTTAAAAAGCAGTATATCCTGACATTATCTGATGTAATCAAGTAGCAGCAAATAAATCACATGATGATTTTATCTCCAATGTTTGCTTAAATGATTCTTTATTTGTTGCTGCAGAGTGTGGCATATGGTGATGGTCTCATTCATTTGGTCTCAGAAAATTAAAAACTAGTCGGGTAAACTTTTCTGTTTTGAATCTGGTCAATTACAGGTTGCTGTGATCAATTCAACTGATTTAACCTTCATTCAGAACTTCACTGGAGAACAGGTATTTCAATTGAACCACTTTCTTAGCAAACAATGTGTTTTATTGGACTTATATTAGTTTACATTATCTTGAAAGTTCACTCATCTGTTGTCACTGTTTCAATCTACGCTTGTGTATTTTGCAGATGGCTTCATATTTTGGCTACACAGTAGCTGTGTCAGATCTGAATGGAGATGGGTAAGTGGCTTTCTTTATATTTTTGTATGATATTACTAGGTGGGAATAAAACACCATTGTTCACAAATAAAGAAGAGACCTTTTTCACAATGTAAGAGAACAATTTCCATATTTTGTTGCCCACGCAGTGTCCTTATACTTGGTGTATTCATTTATATTATTCTTATTTCTGTTGTTTTGTATTTGACTTTTCACAAGTGGGATGTAGTTATCCAGCACACTGATTGGTGTAACTAAGGTAAGCCATGTACAGTAAAGGAACAAGTAATAGGTTTATTCCATGCTGAAAAGAGAAGAAAGAAAACACAACGTTTCGGCCACGGAGCCTTCTTCAGGTTTCAACATGTACAGTAAATAATATTCACTTATTTGGAACAAAAAATGATCAAGCCAATAGCTCCTGAATTTCAACGTTGAAGCTGCACGATTTAGGTGCAAAAGGCTTCCTAAAGACCTTATTTACCAGACTAAAGTTATGTGCTTTTAGTCTCAGGGGGGCAAAGGTATAAAAAACTTTGTTGCAAACTGTATGTAGAGCTCCCTTGATATTTTTCTATACTTTGTGTCAAAGCATGTGTAGTGTTAGCAGGTTAGAAACACAAATTTGTACAGCGGTGTTACACTAACATTCTTCACTGGGAGATGCACTACAGTTCAAGAACATTAGACAGGGCTGTTGCATTCCAAACTGCGAAAGGAAGAAGAGTCTGTCATCTCACACTCCCTGTTCCAGCTGTTTGCAAATCCATTTCTAAGGCATGTAGCTGGCACAGAAAAGGTCTCAACTTGAGTTCCAGGAGAATGCTTTATTCCCTGTCCAACTGCAATTACACTGAAGACCCTAGTATTGAAAGGATCATTCATTAGCTGCTGAGAGGCAGGGATTCTTTTTAGTTGGTGCTCAATGAGATGTATCCTCCTGTATGTAACTTTTTTAAAATAAAATGTACTGTATTTCTGTTTCAGGGAACTATATTCACTGATAGACCCATTTTATATGAAATAGACCCATTTTATATTGTTGAAAAACCCCCTCCACATTACTGTGTGATTTGAAATGAGTTATTTAGAAAGATTTATTGTGCGCAACAATCCTGAATTTCATTTGTTCCAGCTTTAAAATTGATAGACTCTCAACTGCATTTGTTAATCAAAGAACAAGGACTGCAATGAGTGTTTTCTTTTTAAGTGGGACAGCCACAGACGGGAATAGAGCTTTTTGCAAATGATGTAATGCAGAGAAAGAAGAAAAAGACCAAAACTATTGTTGCAGCTATACCAACCACTGTAACGTTTCCCATGAAGTCTTCCATCTAAGGCTATTCCTGTGTCAGCTCCATAATCTGAGTCTGACAGAGGTAGTTCTTGCCATTCAATGTGTATTAAAGACTGCTTTATAGTGGTACTGTGGTGTCTTGCTATGATTGAAAAAATGTCTAGTTCTTTTTTACTTTTCCTTGAGAAAATTGCTTCAAGTTTAACCATTTTAAAGCATAAACAGCAATTAGCTTGTTTCGAATTATGTTGTCTTTTGCTGAAATTTCCTCAAGTGCTCAAATGGTTTCCTTTGGTGCTACATAATAGCATATTATGCTGTGGTACAATAAATGATGTTCTCAGCTATCGAAACTACACAACTCAGAACATATGCTTTAATTGTAATTAAAGTCTAAAGATTTACTATTTATTTACAAAACATGAGCTTAAGGATTTGCCATTTCTGATTTCTTATGTTTATCTTACTGTGCTGCTTTTTTTATTTAATTCACTATGAAATACTTGTGTACTGTATGTATTCTGTATTTTTAAATTAAAAGTAGCACTACTACTTTAAGCCTTACCTAAAAAGATACTTTTTTAATATTAAAGGAAAAGAGAGCTCTTAAAAAGTTATGATTTGCTTTAGTCCATAAATTATTTAAATAGGGTTTTAGAAGCAATTTAAATGTCCCTAAAAATAAATTATGTGTACTTTTTCATAGAAAAGTTAGAAAAGAAAATTATAGAACATGCATTCAGGAACAAATAAAAATGATTTCATACTGTAGGTAAATATAGCATTTGATTTGGAACAATGCCATCAAATTTCAAATGTGAATATAAAATAGTTTGAAAGTTTAAGATTTTGGTAAGAAGGGCTTTTAAAATGATTAAAAAATTATCCTCAATTCTTGGAATAATTGTGAAAATTCTCTTTCACAATTTAAAAGTAATTGCGTAACTTACTGCCAAGAGTTGATACCTTGATCCTCTTTTGTTCTCTTGTCTTTAAGATGGAACACCACAGATGGTACACTTTTTCTGCTCAAAATAAGCTTCAAGAACCATCTACAGGCTGTTGATTGTTTGGTTTTGTTCTCAGGCTAGACGATGTACTAGTTGGTGCTCCCCTCTACATGGATCGTGAGTTTGAGAGCAAGCCCAAAGAAGTGGGTCGAGTCTACATCTACCTGCAGGAAGACGCCTTGTTGTTCAAGGACGCCATCATACTTTCAGGGACAGATGTATTCGGACGCTTTGGAAGCTCGATTGCTTCGCTTGGGGATCTGAACCAGGATGGATATCATGGTAAGTTGTGCACTGGACTGCTAGTGTTGTGTTTGTTGAATGGATTTTTCTGTCAAAAAAGGTGTTGCTCAACAAATAGATCAAATCTGAACCAGAACTTTGGTGCAGTAGTGCCTGTGGTTAGGAGGCTACACCGGGGGCTAAGGCACATGTAATATGGATTAAAGAGGATCCCCAAAACGTTAAAAAGAGAAAATCATCAGTACAGATTTTGTCCTTGTGTCCCCATTATAGTTCTTGTCACATAATGAAATGTGCAGAGAAACATTCTGTTTTAGTGCACCATTCTTAAATTGTGACGTGCGTAATGGGTCTCTGCTAACATTAGGATAATCTACTTATTCTTCACTATTAAAAACCCAGATACATTTTAAAACACGACAAGCTTGTCAGGAGCTATTGTCCAGTGAGCATCACTGCTTGGTTATGTCAGCCGTGCTTTGGCCAACCTACACGACTTTGTCTAGAATGTTAAAATATATAACCTAATCACTACTGACCTCCTAGTTGTTAGATGTCTCGTTATGCATGAATACTGTACAGCCCAAGTGAGAATCAAACCAGAGCTTGAAAGTCAAAGCAGAAATGGACCTCTTCTGTCATAAGTGCATGAGTGTAAATAAGACTAAGATTTTGTCCCCCAGTGTGTCTGCCTTCTTTCTTAGCTATTCCTATTTTCATGTACAATGGTTGCAAGCTGGGAGGGTAATTTGCCCACCCAAAGATGTCTTCATCCTGTATTACATTGCTGACTTTGCCAAGTAGCTCTACAACACTAAGTCCCTTTTCTTGTTGTTCTAGGAATATAAATTGTGTTAGATACTTAAAAATGCTAAATAAGTAAATGAAAATGGGTCATCGATCCACAGTTTACGCCCATGCACCATGTTACACAAAATACTCCTCTACTGAAGAGTGAAGTGTAGATTAAAGCAAAATTAACTTCTTTGCAAAACTTGTAATCAGGATCACTGCCAGCAATTCTGGGGCCCAGAACAATTATTCCCTGTTCACGCAAGCTTGCAATAATAAATGTGAAAAATTGGATGGATATTTTTTTGCTAATGTTATGTAAGCATAATGGTAATTATTAGCTATTGACGTTAAGATTGGGGGACTGCAGCATACAATATATAAACCTGTGAATGTGTCTGGATGTACAAGATTTTTGTTAAACATCAGGTTTTTCCATCCAGTGCCTGTAAGTACAGCCTAGGTACTGGAACTTTTTTTATGGGTATAACTACTAGAAGGCTGTTGGACAATGTGCACAACTCTACTAGTACTGAAGCTTAGTCTTTTGTGACTTGCTAAACTCTATACTATTACTGAAGCTTAGTCTTTTGTGATCTAAACATGATCTGATCATCTTGTTGTTCATTACTCCGGCAGCATCGGATCATTAGCTGGGAAAATCCGGAAAAGTGCCTTTGATGTTCATTTTGCGAGCACATTCACACTCCATTGGCAAGATAGTAAAAATACTTAAACAGCCTTTAGACATTGTTGACCATGAATAATTCTAGATCCAGGAGAATGTACTGAGACACAGAAGATTAAGTGCGTGTACGATTCTAATGGTTACACAGGTACATGTGTTTCTATAAATGTAATAATTCATAGGTTCTCCCTCTTATGACAAATCCCAGACAATCAGCCAAAGTGTATTTAGACTGCACACTGTCTGGCAACATATTCTATGTCTATGGGAACATAAAATCATGTGATTTTGTCACCTCTTGCTAGTAAGATATATTTTTCATTTTATTAAAAGCAATGCTGAGTAATGCTTAGAAATCTAGAAATATGTCACCTGATAGCCAAATCATGTAAGCATGCCCAGTACATTATTTTTTTCTTAAGTAAAGCCTCCAGCTGTGATCATTTGTAATGCCTGAGGAGCTGGGCATTATTGCTAAACTAATATGATCTCTAATCAGTTTTAAAAGCACTAACGAACAAACTCACTTTATACAGTAACTGATTTGTGATGTCTCTTATTACATGGAAATAAAGCTGAGCCTCAAAGATGGATCTGATCTAATTGAATATCAATCTTAAAAACTTAACATAACTATATCAAGGTTACATTTTTTGTCAAGTTGACTTTAAATAAAAAAGCATAAAACAGAAGAAAAATATAATACTGTATAAAACAGAAGGCAGAGGAAGATGTTGTTGTTAATGGTGAGATAAGGTACTTCACATAGATTTGCCATTTTAAAGCACTTCATGCTGTTAGATGGTAACACAAGTGTCAAAGGATAACCATGTGTAAAGAAATATGTGCTTATGAGATCTCAGCCAGTAAGTCAAAATTTACCTGTTTCAGTGAAGTCTTTGGCAAACATCACTTTGAACAGCTGCTGATAATATGCTGATACAAAATAAAAATATAAGGCTTTGGGTTTTACATCAGTAGCTCAATGGGTTCATTGGGTAGTATTTTTCCTTGGGATTAAAAAAATCACGTCATGTAATTTAGTCAAAACACCAAGTGCAAAATATTTGAGTATTTGCATTACGTATTTGCATTCAGTTAAAATTGTGAAAATAAGTTAATGAACACAGGAATATTGACAGATTTGACCTGTCCGTCTTGTGTGTGAAGATCAGATAGTTACTAATAGCACTTTGAAAGCAGTCTTTCTCTGAGTGTAGTTACCTGGTCAATGAGTTGTGCTGGTTCAATAATTACTGCACCAGTCCAGAGAAAGCAGAAAATGTGCTGTGTGAACAACTGTTCATGTCCTGGAAAACAGAGGGTCACCATATCAGACCAGGCCTATCATATCGTCTGATCCATCTGTGTAATCGTTTTCAGACTGAAGTAGATACAGCATGAGAAATTCCACACTGAAGTAACTCATCAGAATAGGACTGTAGTTCACCACCTGCATGAGAACATTAACAGATCACTTCATGTGTACAGCTGAGACACAAGATCACCATCTTCTGTGGGTCAGAAGGAGTGAAGGACAGTTTTATTCACTCACTCAAGGAATGCCAATTTCAGATTGTTCAAGCCAGCCGATAGGACAGTCGTAGTGTGATAATATTGGAAGGATTGTCCTTTAACACAGAAACCCAAATTGAGGGCTCAGCAATACATTTACAAAGTCCTTGAGCCAACAGATTTCCTATCCAGCATGATCTGTAAGTGTTGATATTGCAACACATTAGGATTACAATACCAAGAGCTCAACAAAACAATGCTGAGGTCACAATATATCCAGCTTTTTCTCCTGACATGTGTCTAATACAACATTTATCAAGTCCAACTTGAAAATGCCATCAACAAGAGACAACTCTTACCAGCCAGCCTTTACCAGATGGCTGCAGCTGCTCAGGAGGAGTGACAGAACTTCCCACAGCAGTCTGTCCAGAGGCTGATCAGGTCTGTGTGTCAGCACTGCCAGCATTGTGTTAATGCTCAGGAGTGTCATACCCAACACTGATGCAACAGTTCATACTTGAAAACATAACACGATACTTTTATCTGTGTTTTATTTTTTTCATTTTACGTGTTCTAGTTTAATCCCTATAGTAAATAAACCTGAGTGTCGCATTGTTCTAGATTAGAAAGATGACGTGTTACTGAAGGTCCTGTAGTGTATGAGCAAAATTAAAATACTACAGTAAATATGATGTAAACACTAGGTTAAAAACAGTTCTGTATACTATTCATTTTTCGTTATGAACCTAAAATTTTTTTAATTCAATTTTACTTCACATTTCCAAATAGGACTCCTGTGCTGCAGCATCAGTGCTGTGGATTTTGACGGATCTCCTGTCTCCTCTCTGTGTTGCAGATATTGCAGTAGGAGCCCCATTCGCAGGTGAGGAGAGAAGAGGCAGGGTTTTGATCTACAATGGGCAGGGTGATGGGTTAAAGCGGCAGCCTTCGCAAGTTCTGGAAGGAGCCTGGGCGTCTGAGTTGGTGCCAGCAGGATTCGGCTTTGCTCTGAGGGGAGACTCAGACCTGGACAAGAACGAATATCCAGGTGAGTGAAATAAGTAAAAGGAAAATTCCATATCCTTCCTCCCTCTCTGGAAAAGCCATTATGCTGTTGTAGGCCAGAGGTTGTGTCTAAGGGTTCTGTACTGTTGGTACCAAAATAATTTGTCTGTTTAAAGAACAGGATACAGTATAAAATGAAGTTTCTCTTCGTTCACAAAGAAATATACTTGAACTGCCTTTTTTTCTGTTTGGAACTACACTCATTCTCACAAGATGTGGATTTAATTTCTCTTCAAGACACAACAGTTCAAAGAGTTAGAGAGCTTTATCGCAGTGTTCCACCAAGATGCCTAGGAAAAGGCAGTCTTTTTATGAAACCATTAAAGTGAAATAAGACTTAATAAGATAAAAGGTGATATTTTATATGTAAGCATTTCTAAATAATGATGTATTTGTCCCTCAGTCCCATAGAATCTGGAATTATATTTTGAAGTTTAAAGTACAGAATTTTAGTGGCAATGGCCATGGGCTTTTATGTTAGGAATTTCTTGAACATGCATTTTGACTGTATTATGCCCAACTCCTGCGGTCTGCATCAGGATACACTCCATTTCTCCGTTTATTTATGGAGCAGATTGCTGTTGGACCATCCTAGGAGTGGATCCCTAGGGAATACAAATTGCTTTTCCGTGCATTTCTTCAATCAGCATTCCTTCAAAGGAAATGACAACATTACAAGGATTTGGGGAGAGCCATGTGTGTCATAGTTAAATTTTAGAATGACCTTACAGCCATGCAGTATGTGAAGAGACAAAAATAATGAGACAAAGGGAGGAAAATCATTTTAAAAAGTTCTTACATTCCCTGAAACATTGTTACAAACAAGATGCATACAATAAGTGATACATATTTCTTGTTCTATCTTGGGAAATACTCCCCCAGGTAATTAAGAGTAGTACAGTTTGTGTCCTTTTCTTTCCTGGTAATGATGATAGCAGAAGAGAAAGGAACAGCACATTAAAACAATGTAAAATGAATGAAGAATTGACAAAAGGAAGAATCTATGGCCGGCCAATTTATGAGCAAACATTTCATTTTTTTTCTTTACATACTATAGATATGCTGACTGTAAAAGTGTCATCGTTTATCAGCAAACACCTAGCAGTGTAATTCTAAAAAAAAAAAACAGATTTGGCAGGAGCAGTTATGCCACAAATATCACAATGAAGAACTGTCTTAAGGAACCATTTTTCTCTCTCTGGATAAATAATTCAAATGCAAAGCATGTATTTGCTATAGTTTTAATAACCCTCAGCAACCATACAGTAGAAATACTTCAGGTTCAATTGAATATTTGACCCACATATTATTGCTGTATAGATATTTATGAGTTAAAGTTTGAAGATCAAAGCTCATTTAACAAATTGTTGTTGGGGAATTTTTTTATTCAGTAATAAAAATGCTTATTTTTTAAAAGTAATTCTTAGATACAAGAGATCTTTTTTAAAAAGTAATTCTTAGATCTTTTTTTCTAGATACAGGAGATCTTCGTTTTGTAAATGCCACACCACATGCTACATGCGAGGCTTTTATAAATGTGTCTTCAATTGCCCAGGATCATCAGGAAAATAGCTTATTACTGAAAACCAGATCAGAAGTTACCACTTTATGAATCACTCCCAACTTAATATGGCCTTCAGTAGATGATTACAGAAAACGCTGTGGCAGAGCCATGAAAAAAACTACAAAACAGAATAGAATCTAGAATCTGGCATTGCATTCTAAGCTAAACTGAAGCTCTTGGGTGGCTCAGCAATAAAACCCTGCTGGAGGGTATAAGAATCAGTTTTATTTTATATTGTATAGTAAAGCTTTTCAAAGACTAGTTATTTTTTCATCATACATACAGTATCAGCAACATTTGTGTTTCATACAGCAAGAAGCAGCACTTAAAGCATTTCTGTAAATCATATATTAATGAATACCTTGACTTCACAAAGAACGTTCATGTTATACACTAGTTTGCCTTCATTTATTGGACTGTGACCTTCCTTGCTTTGAGACAGGGAGAATTATTTATTTGATCTATCTTTTTGTTAAGAGAAGTCTAATAATGATAATAACATTCCATTCAAATGTTAACCAGGTGCCTTCATTATTAGTTTCACAAGATACCTACAGTATGTACCTTCCAAGAGATGATTATCTTTTGAAAATGTGCACCAAAAAAAGGATTTTGTAAATGCACAAGATCTATGGGAATATCTTTATGACCAATACATCCTGTACAGTATATTTTATTGAATAAGTGGCCTGTTGTGAATGGAATATCATTTTCAGAGCAGAATGTCTTTAGTATCATGTGTTAATCCATTGCTTGTTGGTTTATGTTTGGGTTGTCGAAGTGAGATTTAATCTTATGATTTTGTGTAGAGCTGGAGTTAGAGTTAGTTTAACTCTTTAATTTAGAATTAGATTGGCTTATATCCAGCCTGTAATTTCTTTACCCACAAACCTAGTTTTTATTTAGCATGCAGTCTTGCTGTTAACTGACTGAGCACATGTTCCTTAAATGCACATGTTCCTTAAATACAATCTACCACAGGCAGTAGGCAAAAGGTTTATGCCTTTTAATACTCTGCATAACATGTGAATAATACATGGGTATTTATTGAACAGGCACTCCTTTTTCAATCATTTTCCCAAAGTGTAAATATGTCTCTGCAGATTAAGAAGTTCTGAAGTATTTGAAAGAAAACATTAATGTCAATGATAAGATGTGAAACAAAAGGATATTCTTCCCACCCTAGGTTGGGCTGCTTTCCCTCTGGTCTTGAAGAATTTGTTCTAAATGCAACTAAAGTGAATTACTTTAACAGGCCTGTTTATTACAAATGAAGCCCTGCAGTTGCAGATTTTCCCCTTTTCTCTTTTGAGTTGCAGGACTCTGGTTATAGTAACTACCTTCAGGACTGCAGCCAAGATGTTTTAGTTTCACTGTAACATATCTTCATGCCAGTCTGAGTGATTCGCAGATGTTATAACCAGATGTGACTCTTTTCCAATGAAACGATCCTGTCTAATCTTGTTGTAGAAAGATTATAAGAAATTAATATCTTTCAGGCTTCATTATCTGGTTTGTCAAAAGCACGCTTCATACAGAAAAATCATGGTACTGTAGCTACTTTCCTATGGCACAAAGCCAAGAAAACAAATAACTAAAGGTACTGCCTGACAAACAGCAGACTCATGCGTTACTGATATTGTCTTAAGATGAATACTTGTACTAGATGTTTAGTTACTTTTGTATTGCCTTTGCCTGCTATCTAGATGTATACCACTGTCTCATTTTAAACTCCCTGGACCTTATGAGACCTTAACGATAGTAGAAACTTTAATCTGAAACCATGGTGAACTTAAACCTTCACTATTAATTTGCTTGAGCAAAAATAATGATTGTAGTTAATGCAAAGCGTAACTGTTCTTTTCTGTGTGACACATTTATGAAGATTTCTTTGGTATGCAATGAAAATCAGACAGTTCTAAAATATAAAAAAATAAATACAATAGTGGGTTTGTTTACTTAAATTTCTCTGTCAAAAGCTCTGAGACCATTACAGCATTGTGTGTGTTTTAGTCCCTCTTTGAAAACTATTGGTCCCAATATATATTTTGACACTGAAGTTTAATGTGACAATGTTACACCATGTCTATGGACCATCTATTTTAGTGAACTGCAGAAAAACAGTATTTCCATTTCATTTCAATGGCTTGAACATTTCTTTTTTTTATTTTCTGTGGTTTATATCGCAAAGAAGTCCAACATTTCCCCAAATAACATACTGTAGTATATTCTGCATGATATACTATACAATATTCAGTGCCATGGGATATACAGCATTTTTTATCTGTTCCAAGAAAATTCAGTATACACTTAATTCTCTACAATATGTACTTGCTTAAGGAAACATACTGAATTAACGTTTTTTAATTTTTTGGCTTGAATCACATTTTCCAGTGCCTGTAGCATTCCATGATAAGATTTACTTAGGTTTTTAAACAGTTTTAGGTCTCTTGTTGACTGGGCTTAGTGTTTAGGAATAGCTGGTTTCCTTAGTACTATAACATGTTAAATAAATAACTTCCTAAGAAACCATATTTTATCATATCAAATTAAGATCTTTTAAATATGATTTTTTGGGGAAAAAATAAAGCGTAGCAACTGTTACACACAAAGCTTGTTTCAATCACAAAATTGTCAGTAATCACATGCTTGAACATTATGTAATAATATTTTCAGAAATCACTTACAGTATATTAGCATGTTGCTTGTGTCTGAAATTAATCATGGCATTTAAGGTCAAAACATACATTGGCAGTTGTTGTTTTTGTCCAGAAAAGGACTATGTTCATTAAAAATCTTTACAACCATATAATATGGAGAGCACACAGAAAAAGGTTAACCTTAAGAGTGTACATAATATGAGAACTCATGGTTTAGAATTTGCTGTGTATAACAATGCAAAGAATGACTGATTGTAATTGATTATTAACTAAGCCCTAATGGTAAAAATAATATTGCTTCATTTTTGTGTATTTGAAAAACTCTTAGAAAAAAGGAGAAGGGGGCTGAAATCTGAGCTGGATAGACTTGGATTCACACTGACTATTTGTGATGGTTAATTCAAAACTTAGAATTCTGTGAATAAACAGGATATTGTTTCTAATATGGAGCCCTGTCATTCACTGTTATGCAAAGTCACTAAAATGTAAAAAGGCTGTTACTGATGAAAATTGGTTGAGACTTCAAAATGGTTAGCAGCTGTATCCTTCTTTTGAAGCTGAAGCAGTATGTTCTCTCTTCTGACAGATTTGATTGTTGGAGCCTTTGGCGTTGGCAAGGTTGTGGTATACAGGTAGGAAGACTTGATAAGCTTACTAGTCATTGATAAACTCTTACAGCCAATTCTGGACAAATGTGCTTATGTACAGCTGAAATGAAAGCCACTTGGGTTTTTTTGTCAGTAACTGATTGTGGCATCCATTACAAAGCATGCTTTCCATAACACACACATATTCAGGTCATTAGGCTGATTGCCACAGTATTCGAACAATTTGAAGGGTTTAGTAGAACGTTTGTTTTCTCGAGAAGTAGTCATAGCTTAGAAATCCCAAATGTGACAGCCACATTTGTACAATTTTATTGCTGCAAGTTATTTTGCAGCAATAGCCATTTTTAAGAACATCAGCTGCATTTATGCATTCGTGTGGACTGGTGAACTGGAAATGGAGTGAATCTGATATAGTAAATAAGAGAATATAGTTGTATAGCTTTTCTTTGCCACTCAGTGAATTGGGTTAGTAGATTCAAAAATCTGTTTCTACTGACTATGTTAAAGCATACTATTTCTAATGAAGACAACTCTTAAATGGTACCATACAAGAATATCTTTATGACCATACACCATTTTCTCAGTTATAAAACTTGATTATGTACAACTTCCGATAAAAGAGTGCTTTTCTCTTCTTTCCCCACAGAGCTCGCCCCGTAGTGACAGTGGAGGCTCAGCTCTATCTTAACCCCATGATCTTAAACCCAGAGAACAAAACTTGCCGGCTGCAAGACACGGACACCATGGTGACCTGGTAAGCAAGAGATCTGGGAGGTGAGAAGGCCAATCGAGCTGACATGGTCTCCTTCACCTTCACATCTGACATTGGACCACAAAACATGAGTTATCAGGCATGACTGATGACCCTTCACTTCAAACACAAGTCTAAAACAAGTCTGTGAAGTAATAAAGCTGAAGGTGCAACATAAATGTACAAATGCCCACCTCTTGTTAGGCAGATACTGCAGATCAGTTTTCTCTGGATGTCAGTATGTTTGTTTGAGTTTCTTTTCAGAAGAAGGTAAAATTGGGGTCAACGTCTTTGCTTGGGAATGCCAAAAGCTTTCATACGATAGCAGCCTGTGGTTCCTTATTTCAGGAAGAGTTCTGGCTAATAGGTGGAAATTTAATTCATTCAAATTATTTAGATTTGGACTGTAGCGTTTTACTAATACTAATGCGGTAGGTTTCTGGAAATCTCATAGGATTTGTTATGGTAATCTAGGCTTCCTTGAAATACACTTTTCACAAATGGAAGGACAATGTAAAAGAGAATCTGCAGCAGACTAGTGTTTTCAAGTCCCCAGGGGTGTATATCTGCAGCTTTTGGCCATCTGTATGGTTTATGCACAGAGGCAAGTGCTGCAGAACAGAAAACTAGAACGGGAATGTGTGCACTGAGTGGCAGGAAAAGTGGTCAGTACCTAATGCCATGAATCTTGCTCCAGGGGGTTGTTAAGAGTTAAGCTCTGTGAACGTTTTATGCACTTTTATGGTTTAATGCTCCTTACAATTCCTCCTCAAAAAGTTTGCCAGATCTCGCACCTTGTTACTGACACTAAATGTAGACATTCAGTCGCATGCTGCACAATTCCTCTTGTAAAGCATGCGGTGTCTAAGTGAAGCCTTTTGGTCTGTGGATGTCCCAGAGTGGTTGGTTGGAAACAAATGTGGGTGTCTGAGCAGGCCACTCCAGGTTTTTGGTTTTTATGGACTTTGGCAGAATGGAAAGAGGCGGCTTGAGAGTATAGTAGCTGTCTAACAATCTATTTGCAATGGAATTTTAGGCAGTCGTTTTAAAACCTTCCAATATAGCACATAAAACATTATTGTGGGGCTGTGGCAGATACTTAATCACTTCTGATACTAATAAATTAAATTCTGTTTTAGTGTTTAGGAGATTCAAAAAGACTTTTAACAGTTTTAAAGGTGACTCATGTAAATTGTTCCCATACGTGAACCTATGAAGGCTTAAGTTTTACCATATTTCATAGAGCCCTTAAAATGATTTTAAAACAGTAAAGCTGATATTAAAATAATTGACTAGCCTTGGCCGGTCCTACTAGAAAATGAAGTTCTCTGTGTATTTTCATAGACTTGTGTAGCAGAACATAGAGACGAGAGAAGGCCATTTGGCCCATCTGGCCCATAGAGTAGTTAGCTTATAGATCCAAGTATCTCATCCAGCTGTTTCTTGAAGGAAGCCAAAGAATGCATTTCCACATAGCTTCCACCTTTGTGGTCTGGTTCATGTTTCACTGCTCATTTTGAAGAAGTCCACTGAGCTGGCTTAGTCAGTGCCTTTGAGGATTTTGAATACTTGTACCAGGTCTTCTCTGTCCGAGACTACAAAGGTTTGGTTCTTTCAGCCTGTCAGTGTAGGACATTCCATGAAGCCCCAGAATATATCTGGTTGCTCTCTTCTAGAATGGTTGATTCCAGACCAAACAAAACTTTTTAAAAAGTGGTGACCACAGAAAACACAGCACTGAAGCCTAGCTAGTACTTTGGCCAATTGTAACATAATTTCCCTTGATTTGAATTCCACACTTTTGACTGTATAGTCAAACTTTGTGTTTCCCTTTTTATTGCCTCCATTTTCTGGAAGTTGTAAGCGATGTATGAACATAAGCACCTGAGTCTTTGGATGTCTGCTGTCCTGTAAGAAATTGTGGCTCTACAGATATCTGCCTCTAGTCTTTAAGCAGGTCTCATTGTTTTAATGTGATGTCACTCCTTCAATGTGTCTGAGACTGTTCATACCTCCACTGCCAGTGGACCAGTCTTTCACCTCAGTGTGGTGCTAGGCAGACACCACTGTGCCTTTGACTGTGGATCCATTCAGGGTCTTATCACACTTCCTATATCACCTTTTTAAGGAAATGGAAGCAAGATGTGCCAGGACATATTTGTAACTCTAAAGCAAGAGGATTTCTAGAGTTCGTTTGATCTTGAACAGATTCACGGTTTGTGTTTAATGAGCGGGAAATTTAAAATTCCTTAATACTTTTTTTTATTAGTTTGGAATAAGACATACATTTTTTAATTTGTATCCCTGTTGCGTTTGGTACGTCACATTCCACTGTCCAAATGAGGGACGGTCATGTTTTTTTTTCCCAGGGGAAAAGGGGTAAATCTTCCAAAGGCAGAGTTTTTATTTTAGTCCATGTAGTATTTTTGCCATTAGGAGAATGAGGTATGTTCTGGCTGCTCCTTGGGGAGCACAGAAAGAAATGCCAATAATAGTCCCTTGGGCTTGCCCCAGAAGTATTTTTTTAATTGTAAAAGGCAAATAGGTTATCCAGAAGGAAGAGCTTGACTGAGGTCAGAGCTCATGTCAGCCCTGCAGCAGGGACACATGTTAATTACTTCAGACAGGGCAAAATGATTCCTCATGATAGTATAAGAGTGCATTATTTCAGATCACAGTCACCACAAAAAGACATGCATTTGCTTCCATTAAATATTCATAGTGCTGCATTAAACATTCAGTGTATGAGAGCACAATACATTCTAAGAATGCCACTCTAAGAAATGAACGCACTTTATATTTTTATAATTTAATTTAACTATGGGGTGTAATTTAGTTTTTACTTTACTGTGTGTGTCCCAGTGGCTATCCAAGTAATGCCTCTGTTAAAAAACTAAACATTTCATCCAGCTGATGAGTATGAATACAAAAAGTATGAGAAGTACTGTATGAATCACTTGTTATACATACAGTATATTGTCAATTGAAGAACACCTGATTTATCTGAAATGTTCTGTAATAAAAAGAATTCTATTTCTCTGTTTGTGGAAGGCAACTGAATGATTTCCAAGAATTTTGCAATGAAAATACCAAATCCACCTTTAAACAAAGCATTAGATAAACTCGATGTAAATTCTGTTGAATTGTCCTTTCCAGAATCCACGAATGACTTAAGGCAGAGGTCCAAAAGTACCAATAACAAGCTATTTCTTATTAACATTAAATCAGAATACAAGCTGTATTGCCAGAGAAGGCTTCATTACCAAAGAAAGGACCAATTGGTACTGTATGTGTTTTTTGCACACAAATGCAAGAAATAGTACAAAACATGTAATTATTGATGTCCTAAAGTACAATTTAAGTACAGATCTCAAATTTGAAAGTCTGCTTCCTATGTAATTCTCCGTATTGATATTTAGGCTGATAAGGGACTGGGGTCAGCCAGTGACTTTCCTCCTGGAGCAGCACTGCGAGACTTTCAGCCCAGGAACGAAATTAGTTGTTCCAGAGGAAATTGTTTGCTCCAATATCTCCAGTGGCCTTCTGGCAGGAAGTCATTTCAGCAGAACGAAGTCTAATTGCCTTCTGTACTGCCCTGGAATCCATTAACAAGCAATTATCTAAAAGTTTGTAAATTATTTCATTAAATATTTAGGCCAAGAGGGGTTCTTTTTCGTCACACAATTTAACTTAAAAATCACATCTGATACACTGTGTTCTGACTTTTGTTTGAAATGAGCGTTTAATGGTCTAACAGCTGTGTTTTGGGGTGAACGAAAGCAGTTGTGGGTTCACTCTTAACTTTGGGTTTTACCTGTTCAACATCTGCTGTTGAAACATTAGTTGTCCTAGACCGTGTTGGGTCTGGAAGACACTAAGTCTGATTCTCCTGAATATAGAAATGAGATCACAGCAAGCTGTAACAGGAGGTTTGTCAAGGTACTGGAAGCTGATTGAATTATTTGAAGGCAAACTAATAACACTTTGAAAGATACCGTCATGGGTGATAGATATCCATCTGCTCATGCTGCCCTTTAAAACAAAGGGATGGCCACTGCCTTTTCTGTTCTGTTCACAAGCCATCCACTGCTGCCTCCTCTTAACCACTGCCACCTGCTCACAATCTGAAGTCTAGTGTCACGCCCTAGACCCCGTGTAACAGTTCTAATGCTCAACATGTGTCCATCATAACCTGGTGTAAATTAGTGCCCGGCAGACAAATACAGGACCACGTCTCACTTGAACGGCGCTCTCACAACAGCCCTAAGAGTACAGCTGTGTTCATCTACGAGCTTTCTCCATTAGCCACAATGCACAAAAAAAAAACCTTTGAAAGCAACACTGATCTTCACTTCCTTTTCCTAGACCTTGACTAAAACAAGGTGTTATTTAAACATTGACTAAATTAAATTCATAAATAAACAGGAATAACATGCCTTCCGCCCTTTAAAATAAAGAAAACAGAATTATTGCAAACACAATTGCAGTTTATGCAAGTGTGTGTATTGATATCTGCATTTACCGAGCGTGCAACAAGTGCGAACCTTTTCTGAAGTTGTTATTTCTGGTGTATTGCAGTCTCACTGTGAAGGCCTGTGCAGGAGTATCGGGCAATGGCATTCCTGATACAGTAGGTAAGCAGCTGTTTTTAATTTCTTTTGTTCTGGAGGACAGCGCGCTTCCAAAAATGGAAATCGTGCATCTGTATGTCAAAAGGCCCTTGATAATCAGAAGCAGAAGGCACGATGCTAAGGAGAGATAAATCAATGCCGAGTAAAAATGGCTCCATTATTCTTTTTCTAAACAACAACAATAAAAAAGCATTATAAAAAGACTCTTTTTGGAACCAGAGGGGTCAAAACTGCTATAGCCTGAACTCTTAATTCAAAACGTTTCCACAGGCTCTTAAGAAATAAAATTGTTTACTTGCATTTTTGTCAGTTGGATCTATACAACATTATATTACTTTCAGACAGGACATTTTATGTTGTGTGTTTGTTCGTGGATTCCCTGCTGTGAAGCTATAACTTGTGTCTCCCCAGCCTTAAACACGGAACTGCAGCTTGACTGGTTGAAACAGAAAGGAGCTATTAAAAGAGTTCTGTTCCTTGACACCCACCAACATCAACACAGGCTCACTTTCATCTTAAAGAGGAGGACACCCACCAAATGCCAGAACTTTCTCGTGTATCTCAAAGTGAGTCAATCAGATTTACAGCTTATACGAAGTAATGGGAAGGCATTATGGGTTTTTCTTTGAGCTTCAGACTTCTAGGATGTCATTGTCATTACATCATTTATTATACAGACTTTTGTTTCTTCAATTGAAAACCCCATCTCCTTATTAATTATTTGCAGATTTTAAAAAATCAGTTTCTCTTAAACTAGTGATGTTCGTTATTACCATATCTGTGAAACAGATCAGTTCACTACAATGTAATTCATGTCATGTTGTTCTTTTGCCGCAATCATTTCTTGGAGTAATATTCAGTAAAACACTAGTAATTGTTACAAAAACATTAGTAATTGTTAATGGCATTCTTAGAGCAACTGCATATTGACATTTCTCATTATAAGAAACCTAAAGATTAGTTAATTTTCTGTGGCTCAAGACAGTTGTGCATTAAGATGGCCAGTTTAATCTAATAACTATAGAACAAGAATGTAACTTCCCTTAGGGCTCAATAGCAAACAATATGCAAAGCAAAAGACTTTCAAGACAGTGTTCTGCTTGCAAATTCTATTACAGTATTAATTGTGCAGCAGAGCACAGTAAAATTACAACTCCATAAAAATAATGTGACATGTAATTGAATTACTAGATCTAATCACAGAAAGAATACTAAAAAAGATTGTACAGGACCTGAAAGATATTCCATAATTATTTATACTCAGTGCAGTACTTTCTATTATGAGACATATTCACATACAATTACTGCAATTTTTTTCCTTAAGGATGAGACAGAGTTTCGGGATAAATTGACTCCTATCAGCATTGGCTTAAATTACAGTCTGGATGAGTCGACTCCACTTCCGGGTTTGAGTCTGAAGCCAATACTGAACTATTATGGAAAGTCATTCTTACAGGAGCAGGTAAGAGTCGTATCGGTCATGATGATTGCTGGACTAGTTAAATATATCATTGTGTAATCATGTATTTGATTGAGGATAATATATGTTGGATTTTCCATGCTTTGAGCTGAAATATGTACCCAATGTGCATATGTACAAAATTGCCATTCTATTTCAAACTCAGTTTGTATTACGAATTATGTGAAGAGCATTGCAAAGCTAGAAACAAAGGCAAAACCACTCATTCAAAAGCTGTTCTCTGCTTGTCCTCAATTGTAAAATAAAAACTCAGTTCAGCTCATGTACGCTCATGTAATACCATTGCTACACGTGGCATGATTCATTGAGTTTAACACAAACGTATTTTTTCAATTGTAATTATACTCTTCAGCTGCACTGTACAATTGTACTAAACGGGCAGCTCACAAGTGTTTGGATGTAAAAAAAGTATTTGAAATGAGAAAATAATGTGATTTTGTTGTGTCAATTGCTCAGGCCTACATTCTGCTGGACTGTGGAGAAGACAATATGTGTATTCCTGATCTCAAGCTTGCTGCCAGAATGTAAGTGTTAGTCTCTCGTTCAAACGAAGGGGAAATATAAGCATCAGTATATGTGATATTAGTGTAAATCAGTGTTACTAATTCTTCCATTCATGTTGCATAAACGCTACATGTGCATGGTACTGTATATTGGAATGAACTACTTTTATAAATCCCTAATACACTCTCAGGCTAAGAAATCGACTCTTAGTGTCACAACTCATGGCTAAGTTGAACAACATGAGACAGACTTCCATCATCTTTACTGTGATCTCAGTCTCGTTGTCCCACTGTAACGAACAGTTCTTTCTGGACCCTATGCAGACAACACAATCCAAAGAAGTGGGGAAACACTGGGGAAACGTCATGCAGGAATACGGGGCTGAAAACAGGGGGGGCGTGTCCAAGGTGCGCTGGTGCACGGGGGAGGTGTGGCCGAGGCGAACAATCCAAAAGAGTAATCCAAAGAGGGTATCCAAAAACACAAGAGGAAGTCCATAGCCAGGAGATCCATCCAAACAGGGAATTAAAACCATGAACCGGGTCGGAACCGGCAGACAGGGAACAGGAACGGGAACAGAGATTAAAACCTTAACGGGACCAGGCGCTTCCAGGTCCCGGACTCGCATGGTGCGGAAACCAGATGCAGAACCAGGATGAACGTCAGCGCCTGGCTTTTAAGGTGGGCTGGAGCACCCTTAAGGAGGAGGGACTATAATTGTGACACCCACACACCTCTGCAAATGAGGACCATCATCCCAAAGTAATAAGATGGGACTGGGGCCTAAATATTCCACCACCTGGGATAATACGGGATGTGCATTGGATAATATGTGCAACATCAAGCTGCTCTTCCAATCACCAATAATGGTGATAGTAAAAAATTGTATTTTTCCCTTTGTGACTACAATGACTACAGCCATTAATACCGATCGCCTAACCTGGAACACCAGAAAAAACAGCAGTGTGTCAAAGACAGCTAATAAAATGATCACATCTTTGTGAAATTTGAGGACATTCACACTATTATAAGCAGTGTGGTTCTCTGTATTTACACTGTTGATTGAGGCTAGTCAGCATTTTCTATGCACATATCCAGCAGCTCTTCATTTGGTGATGTTTTGTGCCACATGGAGAGCAATTTTCTTGACATTTTCAAGGCAGACGTTTAAAATGTTGTTAAATTTTACATGAGTCTACGGAAATATTATGGTGTTGGATAACATGTCTCTGGAGTCACATGGCCTTGCAGTTGGCTGGTTTCCTCAAACATGATGTACCTCTTGTGGGACAGGTAAAACATCTGTACTTTCCATTTGATTCGGTGAAATGAACAGTGAAAATAGACACTAGCTTGTCAAGTTTCACTGCTTCTTACTGTAAGTGATATTATTGCCAGAGGCTTCCATGACAGTCAAACATTCATTTGCAATAAGAACTCCCTTGAATGTGTAAAATGCTCAAACCAATAGCAGATTTTTCACTGCAGTAAATCACTGCGCCTCTGTGACGATCTGAACATGTATGGTTCAGAATTTCATCCTGGAGATTGTGTGGCTAATGTATAGAAAAAAACAGTATTACTTTAGGGTTGGTTCCTATGTGTGTGTTTCTATCCCATGCTCCTATTGCAAAATCATAGTGCTCCTGGGTAGAATTCCTAATTGCTTTTAACTAGCGAGAACAAGAGTCTGCCAGCAAGCAGTGTGGTTTGGAGAAAGCTCAGTAGAAATGTTACCATCACTTCTGCTCTGATGTACACTGTCAGCTGAGGGTCTGTTTGGCCATGCTTTGGCCATGCTTATACTATATATCCACCAGGTCTCTACCTTGGTATGACTATTAATGAGAACTCATGGCATGGGTGGATATGTCTGATCAAATTCCCACTGTGTTCTTGTTTATTTTTGTTGGCGTAATCCAAGACTGTTTAGTTAAAAAGGTATATACATATGTGTGTGTGTATGTATAGCTCACACTTTTATTCAAAGCAGCTTGCACTTTGTTCCCATTCATACAGCTGGGCATTTTTTATTGAAGCAAGTGACGTACCTTGCTCAAGGGTGCAACAGCAGTGTCACCTTGGATTTCATCCCCAACCTCTTAGTTAAGTGTCCAGAGGCATCACCATGACTCCATTGTTACATTCTGTTTTCTTTTTACTCCCCTCCTGTGCGGAGGTCCATTTTTGGAGGTGGGTGTGTCCCTAAATTGGGCCTCTCTCTGGATTGGTTGAAGACAGCGATCTGGGTTTAAATGCCGGTACGGGAGGTCCGGAGAGTTGCGTGGAAGAGAGGTGTTTAAAGGAGAAAGGGCGAAAACACAAGACGGATCGGATTTGTTTTCTTGGCTGTGGCGTGGGGTTGGGATTGTTGTGACATCTGTGTTTTTTTATAGTTTTCCATTATAACTTCGTTGAGATAGAGTAGACAGATATCTTATGGAAGACTTTGCTTTGGCTTTGCCACCCCTTTCTCAGGAGACAGGTTCAGAGGGTATTGGATTGTAGAATAGTGTAATTAGTGTTTGTTTGTTATTTTGTTTGTTTGTGTATTTCCGGCTGTTAAACCCTCATGTGTTAGTCCCCATTCGCCCCTAGACTGAGCCATAGTGGGGACGTAACATCCATAATGAAATGTATTGCTTTCACAGGGACAGAGAAGAGTTGACAATTGGTGATGACAACCTCCTCACGTTGATCATCAATGCACAGAACCAAGGAGAGGGGGCCTATGAGGCTGAGCTTTACGTCCTGATTCCCCCACAAGCCGATTATATTGGAGTGGAGCGCAGAAATGAGGTATCCACACTAGGGGGCCAATCTCTATCTTCAGTATCTTCAGGGTATATTTCAGTGCACTCAAACACAGCCACATTCTTGAGCTCTTGGACTCTGAAGTGACAGGAATGGAGAATATAACACCAGCGTGATACATTATCACTAGGGGAAACCTGAAAAGAGAAAAGTACAGTAGATTCAAATATAGTAAATTAAATGAAATAAAAAAGTTGGTGAGTTCTGAGATCAGAAAAAATGTTTAAGAATCCCTCCGTTCTAGAACATGATAAATCTAAAATGTGCTGAATGGATAACAATACATATTTTAATATAATTTTAGTATCTGAAAAACCTCTTAAATTTGCTGTTCATTAGTTTTTTTGTCATGCAGTGGATATATCCACTCAAGCATAGACACCATATCCATTAGCTGTTTTCACTCGTTATCAGCATTGAACAAAGGAGGGTTTTAAGTTTTTGGATTGGTTATGGGTTAGTATTTTTTTCAGAACTGCATTTTTGATGTATTGTTTTCTGGTCTTCATGATTAATGTCTATTTATTTTCTTGAACCGAGTGGTGAAAAATCCGAAAATCATGCTGTATAAAAGTTCTTTTCACTCATTGGCACAGATCATTACCAAAACAGGACTTTGTTTGCGCAGCGTACCTGTGGATAAAAAGTTGAGGGAACGCAGGAAATTAGTAGCTTGGAGTGGTCCTGTCTGCAGATTTACCATTCGGTCTTGAAGTCAGGTTTATTCTCAACTTAAAAACTTGGAACTACAGTAAAATGTCTGGATATATTATTGGCAATATGTGTGAGTGAGTCTGTAAACTAGAGGACCAGTGATTAGTGGGTTTTACTAAGTATATCCAAAACAACTTTTTTGAGTTTTCTTTATTTCTTTAAAACCTTTGGGGAGGTAAAACTGGAGTAAAACTAACAGTGATGTCAATGCCTTTTGGAACACAGAATATCACTGCAGCTGTGAAACATACTCTCTATTGGCTTAAGTTAAAATGTTTATTTTATTGTGACCAAAATACAAAGGCATAAGTTTTTCCCTCAGTACTTTAGCTCCTAGAGTGGAAATGTTTCCATTAGATCTCTTTTCTGTAGTCTAATGGTGTAAGATAACCACCTTATGGTGAATAGCTTTACTTCAGGAAACTCTTTTCAGTTTGACGAAAGTAGTATCACTTTGCAGGCCATCTGTATGGCTTCAAACAATGTTAAAATAGATTACACCATAGCATTATACTGTCCAAATGAGAGGGCATAGTTTCAAACTAAACATCCCTCAGACAGTCCTGTGCACAAATCATTGACCCCTGTAAGAGGACTGTGATAATTTTATCAGGCTCTATAGAAACCTAACATTGAATAATATCTGTGGCTTCATTAAAACTTTTTCTTTTCCAGTTTGTTTCAGTGCCAGGTACCGTATCATTAAGCACTGCAGACATAATGACCAGGACCTTGTTCTTGAATCTTTTTATTACTGTCTGTCTTTTGGCACAGCATTAAAGTTTTACTGGATTTCTGTGTTGTTTAGATATGGAGAGTATACTGTAGGTCCCACTAAATGAAGGATTTGGTGCTTAACTAAATTCAAGTTTACCCTAATGTACTGACGAGCTTTGATTAAAATTATATATTTGTTGTCTTTGATAAAAATAAGGCTTCCTTTGAACATAATACTCTACTGACTATGAGCTAAAAATACACACTTCTACAGCTCTTTTATGGAAGTTCTTAAGTTAATTTCCGGAGAGATGACAACAGCCTTTCACTCCAGCTGTTCTAAATCATAATCATTCCCAACGTCATTTCTCGAAAAATTAAAGTATACTGTAATACACAAATCCCTCTTTTTCCCATATCCTCTACCCCACCTGGGAAGCTGTCCCCTGGTTCACTCTGTGCCTCCTTGTTCAATGGCCAGGACGTCAGCCCTCAGCCAAGTGGGTTTAGCCAAATCTCACTAAACCTTGGGTGTCATTATTCCTCATGAGCTGCTTTTTGTTTGTTGTCAAGGAAGGAACAGTAAAAAGCTCCAACAGACTGCAGAAAGTATTTTTTCAAAGAAGCAGCAAAGGTACAAAAAACCCTTTGATACAACCAGGACCAAATGATTCATAACTTTTGTCTAGTGAGTCAGCACTTTATTTATTTGGTACTGTGCAGCTTTCCTTTGTTTCTCTCTATATTCTTTAGCCTGGAGCACGTGCTTAACAGAAAACCAGATACATTACTGCATTGCTGGTCACTAGAGACAGAATTAGAACCATGTAATGGAAGTGATAATAGCCATTGTTTGTTCTTAATGATCCACTTGTGATGAATGTGTATTGCTGCTACTACTGGACAATTCATCATGTTCTGTTTTTCACTCCAGGCTTTGCGGAGGCTGAACTGCGAGTACCGGATGGAGAATGTCACCAGAATGGTGGTGTGTGATCTCGGGAACCCCATGTTGGCTGAAACCAATGTAAGAGACGAGAGGATAGGTTTCAAATAATTCACTTCTAATTCAATTCTGCGAAAGAGCTAATGGGGTGTTGGCACTGGCCGTGCCACATTTAAACAGCCCTTACAGATCTTCTTCTTAAAACAGGAAACTGTAACCAGATACAGCAGGAGTGAAGGGGCATTGTCAGTGACTGATCACTTCATGTCCACAGATCAATACTAAACAGTGCGTCTGAACCACCTATGTTTTCACTAAGAGAAAGGTCTCTGGTTTCAGACTTTGAAGAGGTTAGCAGTCAGTTATGGGACACAAAACGATAAAGAAGAGATCTTATAAGGAAATATTTCCTTTTCAGTTAAAAGCCTCAGATAGCTATTCTCAATTTCTCTTCATTTGTAAAGAGATACATAAAGAGATTACACTTTCCTAACACTGAAGGCCGTTTAGAAATTTAGAATAGATTTTCTGAGGGTAAAAATGTACAAAACCTTTTAATTATTTCATAGAAGGGTACCTTGAATTTTTTAGTAAGTGTTTTATTTTTTCAGATTTTTTTAAGTAGCACTTAAATCAAATCTGTATTTGCTAAAAGAAAAGTATTTTCAAAGGGAAGATTATTTTTTATATATATAAATGAGAAAGTATTGCTTTGATTTAGAACAGGAGATAATCCTAAGAGATATTAGCTGGAACATCTTTTAAAGCCAAAGTTTACAATGAGCCTTAAGTATAAATGTAATTATTATTTCAATAACATGCTGCCTTAAAATAGACCATATCAGTTTTTTGTATGGAAAGCATGGTACAGTATACCTTATAAAATCTGAAAAGAACTGTGAGAGCTGTGAAAATATTCTGCAAAATATTAACCATAATGAAAGTATGAGGGGTGCTCTGTAAACCCTACGTGTCTCATAAATGGAAACTAAATTCTATCCTTTCTTTTTCAAGTGAAATAAGAGATTGTAGCTGCCTGACCCATCACCAGAATTGTGCAGCTCCTGTGCAGTAACTATAGTGCCCCAGCTTTTATTAACTAAGTTTACACCATGTACTTTGTTGCTGGACGCCAAAGGTACAGACATCCCATACAATTGATAAGAGAAGTAATTCAAATCTGAAATGTTTAATAATAATAAAATATGTTAATAATAAGCAAAAAACTACACATATTTGACATTGGCTCTAGTTTAAATACCTGTACACAGCAGGGCAAGGTTGCAATGATAATCTGTAAACATCACGGGAATACCTCTTTGTCAGCGATGATCTACAAGATCTGCCTCATAAAACATTTTTATTACGGTCTGCTTTTGAGAGTTTTCATAGTTATTTAAACTGGTTTTGGGAACAATGGCGTTGTTGCCCTGATTAGTGTAGATTTCTGTGCTACAGCTGTTACAGGAGTATCATGTTCATTAGTACAGTAACAAGTCTTCTGTGAGAATGAATGAGTAAATGGGTATGAATTAATCAGCATAGCTTCTGGTCTTTCTCAGAACGGCAGCCCCACATTAATGCTGGAATAGTGCCCAGGACCTGAGGAAATATACAGTCCAACAATCTTACATGGCTCCTTTAATAGTTATGATCTGGGCTCTGTTTCCAAAATGTGTGCTTGAAGCACAGAAAAGGGATGGTTTTCAGCCTTTGAGTTATTATAAAAGTGTGATGATAAACTAAGTTGACATGATGGCCGTTGAGTGAATGCAGAATGTCAAAATGTCGAAATTTCATATTTTTCAGACAGATTAAAGATTCATGTAGTACTCCACTCAGTTTGTACTCTTTATTCTGCACCTCACCTGTGCTCCATATATGGTCATGGACAGGATAATTCTTAAGAGAATTCATGTAACGTTTCCAACATTATAAACGCAGCTTTGAACCTTTTTCCCCTGTGAATTCAGGGAAACAAATCGAATCAGTCTTTTTCATTAACATGGAATATTTCACATCACAAGCTTGTGCAGACAAAAGTGGTTTTGATGTTTTATTTAAGATTGGATGTTTAATAATACAGTGAAGTTTCAAAATTGGTAGAGTTCATGTTTCTCTTATGCTACATCAAATATTTATGTCACAGTAGTTTTTCAGGCAGTTTGATGTAGTGGTCAAATGGCATTGGAATATTTTAACCTTCATTCTAAATTTCAACGATATATCAACTTTGCTCTTTCCTTGTGATTTGCAATCAATATTCTTTAATAATTCTATAATAATTCATGAAATTATGAAAGTTCTAAAAATTAAGCATAAAACTAAAAAAGGGATTACTGTGTGTTATACTATGGTGGATCAACACTGTAGTTGTGTTGTGTGTGGCTACTTAAAATGCTGTAGACAAATCCCTAAATGAGAAACAATATTTAGAACTATTTCTAAAAAAATAAAAATTAAATTGCAATCTGTCCCAAATGCATGAACCTAGCCTGAGCAGAATTTTGAACTGTACTTTTTTACTTTTTTGATTGAAGGAGTTTTACCGTACAGTTTTGAAGAAGGGCATGATTGTAGAATAAGCAGGAAAACAAAACCAACAAAACACTTTCCAGATTGATTCTGCAGTTTCATCAGCCCCTAGTCAGCACAGAAGGGGTTAAGTACAGATGGGATGAATTAACTTGTGACTAGCACAGAGGAAGATACAGCCTCAATAATGTCTCCTGTTTTTAAATTGGCGTCAGTAGCCATTTTCTTCCAAAATAAGCATGCTTTACATAACTACAGTAACATTTCTAGAGCATTTTATATTGCTGTCAAATTAAGAAACAATTTTTGAAATTGTTATCCCAATTCATAATTTTGTTATGAATTCGGAATACAAGGCAAAAATAACATCAGTTAATTTCACTGCAACAGAAACATTTGCACTTCAGGCCAGTTGTGTTCCAGAATCAGGAATTTTCTGCAAAATTCTGGCTAGCAAGGTAGTGAAAACAAAAATAGTGCAAAAATAGTATTATCAACAGTACTCAAGCAAGAAAAAAATACTGTCGCTTCACGATCACCCTGATTGAAGGCAATGCGTACCCATGAATAGCTTTATATAGTTTTATTTCTTATTTCTATAAAATTTGGATTAACATGCATTATAGCTCACATTTTTATTACTTCTCTAGCCAGATTAATACACTAAATATTTTTATTATTGTCTTTTTCTTCAGACTTAATGTAGATCCTTTTATAAAACTGTGAGATTTATAGCGCCTTTTAATGTCCCCCTCTGTGTTGTTGGATAACTTAGTAAAAAAACATCTGAAGAATGTGAATTTAAAAAATACGGACAGTCCTACTGTTTAAAGTTCTGTCTTTGGCTGCCAACACTGTCTGACAGCCTGCTGCCTCAACCCACAGATGTTACCAGTTATGAGCTAAAGGTATTAAGACCATCGCTCTGACTGAAGCTTGATTTTTCGAAGGTCTTTTTGTCTCTTCCTTGGATGACCAACCAGTGGGACAGACGTAGAACAGAAAGTCTAGTAAAAAGGTTGGCTCTTCTCCAAATCTTGTTAGCTGTCTGCAAGGACATGCATGCTCACAGGGTCAATGTAGACGCCTGTTTTGTACTTCTTTAGTGCCTCTCTGTTAGGCACAGCAGTCTGCACCACAGCTGCAAAGTTTCACTGCAGCAGTTCTCAAATGGAAAACTTGGCATTAAAATGTATATTTACAACATCCTTCCCTCTGCAAAAATTCAATAATGTTATTTGTGCAATGGTATGTATTGTATTTGGATAACAAATAAATCTATGTGCATTTATATATTACACACATATATGTTCAATTATATATTGTACAATACCTTTGTTATAATTCACACATGTAATCATACATATTGTTATCCCAGTTTTCCCTAAAATGACACTATAAATGCCTTTCTATTGTTTGTTTATAATTCCCCATATGTTTTTTTTCTCAAAATCAATTTTTAAACTGACTTTATTGTTGAAGTATCAAAGACTTCAAATGTCTTCAAATGTATTAAAGTAAACTAGTTTAATTCCTTCTTTCTCAGGGGACTATGCATTCCCTTATGAACTGTGTTATTTTTTTCTTTATACTACATTTCTGCGGTTGTGATATGCTCTTCAGGAAGTTTTATAAGAATGCTGTGAATGTAAAACCTTTACTAATCCTGATTGTCTTCATCATGGCTTAGTTTCTCTGATACATATCTATTGAAAACATTGTCAACATATCCTTGCCAACATTTTACATTATTATATGAAAATTGTTCTTTGACCGGCTTGATCACTGGATATGATATACCTAATGACATTTTGTTTTGTTGGAACAAAATTGCCAAACCACGTTGAGATGTTTTTCCTCTCTAAAGTTTTATTACGCTTGTTAATAGTTCTAATTCAATATAAAATGACTTTGTAGACGCTTTGCTTCCACTCGCCACTCTTGTAACTTCCCAGTTTCAGTGCGATATCTGAACAGTTGCTCATTACATGTTGCCCGAAAACCACTATTGTGGTTTAATAATTAACTCCTCCAGATGTTCTTTGTTGTAAATGCACATATAAATTCCTGTTTTTGGTCTGTGGTGTGGTGAAATTACATTGGATGAGCCGTTTGATTGAAGGTTTTTGCTAATGATCCTAACATATGCACGCTTCAAGAGATTCTATTTTCCATTTTCTTGTTTTGAAGAACTTATCATAGTGCTACCACAGTTAAAACAGTCATGCAAGCAGCAAAGTAAAAAAATGATGATCGTTTTGGCACTCTTCTTCACATAATACTGTATGTGAAATGTAAAAAAGAACTCAGATGTTTGTGTGCAAAGCATGAGCATGTCTGGTGCAAACCTGCTCTGCGAATCCTGGTTTTAATGATCGATTCCTGTGACTCTGTTCAGTGGGGGTTCTGTGTGTAGCACAAACAGATGCCATTGGCTCACTCTTTGATGTGCTCTTTTCCCAGATATCTGTTGGGCTGCGCTTCTCTGTCCAGCGCCTGGAAGAGGTGGGCTCTGACATTAGGTTTGACCTACAGATCAAAAGGTAAGATACCTTATCATGAGCCCAAAGTGTGGAAAAGATTATCTGTTAGCTCCTTCAGCAAGAAAAAAAATAAAGGTGAATTCGCTGGATAATAAATTAACAGAGCTACTGACAGTCTAAGGGGACATAATGTGGCACATAATGGTACACAAAGGGATTTTTAATGGTATGCGCAATAAAAGTCTAATAAGCCACAAAAATATAAGCTAAAAACTATAAAAACTATACTTCTTCGCTGTTCTGCAATTCACTAGTGCCAAATACTAACTTCCAAAATGTGTGCTTCAGTAGGCACTGAATTACTGAACGCATTTCTGTTATCATGGTAGTATTAAACACAGTTGCATAAGTTGGAAAAAAAATTGTTTCTCCTCAGGGATTCCAATTTATTTTGTGTGGAAGTCCACTAAACTGATTTATTGCAGTAATGCAGACCTCCTCCACTCTTTTCTTTCCAAACTAAAGGGCAGCCACTACAGCTTTGACACAAAGTCCTTATCAGTCTCTGAAGTATGTTTTTAATTAATGCAATTTTAAGGCATGTGCAAAAAATAGTACATTGAATTGATTGCTTCCGTATCCAGAGCTCGCAGTACAATGTAGGTAGATATAAATATCTTTGTTAATCCCTGTTCGAAATCAACAGAAATTATTTCTCAACTATCTCTTCCTTGCTTCATAGGAATTATAACAAGACTGTAGTGCATGACTTTTGCAGGTACAGTAGAGGTCAGAAGTAAAAGAGTTTTTAAGTCAAAAAGATTTTTATTCAACCAGGAAGACGTTAATGTGATGTGACCCCTTCAGAAACATAAAGTGTGAAACAACATATTTTGCATTTCATTCGACACATATGATCAATTTATTTTTTAAAGATAAGATAGTTTTCAAAAGAATACAGAAATTGCATCTTGTGTAGTAAGACAATATGCATACATATTCGTATATTGCAACTCATAACCGGCAACCCACTGAAGCTAAGCAGGTGTGTGGTGCAGATTCCTGGATTCATCACTCTGTTCTCCAAGAGTCAAATTCATTCTCATAAACAATGAATCCTAAACAAAATGTCACTCAACAGAAATTAGAAAAAATTGTCATAGTACTAGTGGGTGATGATGTGTATATGTGTGTAGTTATGAGATTCATAGCTGTGATTGTGTACTTGAAAACCTTTCTGTAATTTTCACCCGAAATGTTGAATTTTGCCTAAATCAGGAGACATTCAAGTTATTTCCTAACATATTTACATAATAATTCCATTATGAATGGGCATGTATGTAGTAATATGAAATAAAAAAAATCAGAGAGACATTTCTGGGAATATATGTTTTTTCAGAACCTTATGGGAATTAAGCAGACCCAGGAATAAATGTTTGTTAAATCATGTTTATTAAATCACTAAAGACGGAAGTAAATGCTTATCAGGATATAGGCCAGGGTCCCTTGGAGTTTAGTCATCAGCTCAGAATCCCCTTGAGTTTGTTGGGTCACGCAAAAGAATATGAAAGTGTTGTTCTAACAAAGACATTGAGTCTCTGTTGTGTTTTCTGTGCATTTTAATGCACAGCCAGCTCATATGATTAATGGGCTTGGAAAAACATTCCCAGAGGTTTGGTTTTTCTAAGGCAATGACATTTGCACCAAATGAGAAACAACCTCATACCCCCCCATTATGGCTTCCTTTGCCCTTAAACTGTGAGCAAAACCCTTTCAAGAATGTGACCAGCACTTCCCTCGTGCTCCGCATTCTGAGCTCATTCTTGTGGGCTCATGGGAGTGTACTCCAGTGACTCACTGTAAATTTTTCCAGGTGGCTAATGTTACCCATATGTCTTAACAATATTGGTTTAAAACAAACCTTCCGACAGAACCCAGGTGTCAAACTACGATGTCATTAACTCTTTGAAAAAAGTGTTACATTTTTCATGCCAGACTAACTCAGCACATCATTTGTTTGGAGAAAAATGGCAATACCTCAGGTGCTAAAACATCTTATAATTAACAAGCATTTATACTGATTGCTTAGAACATGCAGCCTCTGGGACATTGCTGTACACTTGCTTTCTAGGGTAGAATCTAAAATTTCCAGATGTGATTTTATTGTTTTTTCCCATTTTCAGTGATTCCTGTTTTCTTGTAGCTTTGTCTCTAATTTTAATGTTTTACCCTGAGCACCAATTAAAAACCAATCTTCAACGTAAATTTAAGACATAACCGATGGTCTTTCCCTTTCTTGTAAAGTATGAGGGATCCTAGCTCCGTTAATTCTGCTTACTCTGAACCATTGTTTTAGCTACAATTTGGTAAAAATGTAAACTATTGCAGAAAGTAATAAGGGGAGTAAACTAACAAAACACCAAGTGCCATAATTCTGATTGCTATAGTGATTTTACTGATTTGCCAGCATGCAAAGGTTGCTGCCAGCTGAGTTTTTTTTCCCAGTGTACATCGCAGTGAAGTGTCAATGCCAGATTTCTGAAGCTCAGTAAATTACACACAGTAAATGAGACCCCAGAAAAGAAATAAAAGACTTACTATTTGACCAGAAAAGTTTGTGTTGTCTGTACTTTAGTGATGAAAGTCATTGTGTCATGAGTCATGAGTGTCATTGTTCAGAATGAAAGAATTGTATCTGCATTTGTTAAGTCAGACAACAAATAATTAATTAAATTGTTAATGTACAACTAAATGGTTAAAATTATTTGTTTATATAAAAGTAACATCCCTAAGCCCCAGATAAATTCATGTGATTGTTATATCCCTATATTGAATCTTATTTTAAATGAGTTTTTTTGCTTGTATTCTTTAATTTTATAGTTCTAACAAGGACAACTCAAACAGCAATCCAGTCAGTCTTACAATAAACATCACTTCAAAGGCAGATGTTGATATACGTGGGTAAGAATATTATTTCATTTGTTTTTGTAGTTAATATAGTAGAATGTTATAATGTAATGACAACATTTGTTGTTCATTCATTGTCCAAGTCCGTTTTAAAAAGTTAACACACTGACTGTTTTGATGCCATAAAAAATAAACATCTTAAATTACTCTTCATCTTCATTTGCAACAAATCCTTTTTTAGTTTGTGTCTTTTCAAAATCCATTCCGGTCAAAATGTTCAGGTCCTCTGGTGTGTGTCTTTATTGTGCAGCTGTGAATTAGACTGTTAGATCACGGTCACCATTTCGGACAGATAGGACTTCACTGTGTGGAACTGTCTGAAACAAAAAAAATGTTATTTAAAATACTGTCCTATCCAGGCACAGGCATTTTTTATCCTATTAAATGTTAACAGTGTCAGAAATGGGCTTACATGTCAGCCTCTCAGCTTGACCTTGAAGGAAACAGGATCTCTATGGAGAATTGATTCCGAAGACTGAATTATGAAGCCCCCAAACTGCTATTGTCCAAATTACCGCTTCTGCTCTCTAACTGATAAGGAGTTATTTTACACTAGCAAAGATGATAATGTGGAGGAAACCCATTTCTCCAATGACAGAAAAAATCCCCCCATAGTGAGGCGTTTCGCCAAAGAAACACATTGGCTGCTAAAAAAAGACCACAGTTAATTGTAAACACATGGCCAAAAATAACCTTTTTAACTTCCACTCTGTCAGATGCCGAGTGAATCACTTTTGTTTATAACAAGGGTAACAAATTCAGACTTCGGAGTCTTGGAGTTTAGTTCTTCAGATCAAAGCCTAAGTTCTTTTATCTTGTTTGATTTTTTTAAATGGTCTGAAATGCATTCGTAGGCAAACAAGCAAGCTGATTGGGCTAAAGCCATACTGTAGCTCGCTCAGCCTTCGCTGTTTGTTGTATTTGGCTCCTAGGCGGCCTGGTTTTCTCATAACCTGCTGAATTTTCTATAGGGTGTCTCATCCGGCTCAGATCATCCTGCCTTTCCCCAACTGGGAACCCAAAGAGAAGCCAACAAAAGAGGAAGACATTGGGCCCCAGGTCCAGCACATCTATGAGGTACGAAAGCATCTTTGGACACTCCATTCCCTTTCATCACTCAGCTCTACCCTGTCTGCTCTCCGGCATACTGCTGCTCTCCACCAGCACTCCTGTGCGTTTGCAGAGAACAATAACAGCCATGTTAGAGATTTTATTCAACAATGGTAAATTGCTGGCTAGAAAAAAACTTAATAGAAATATCATTGAAATATCTGCTGTATCTACATTGTTTTGCAAATAATTCTGTTGATCTCTTTTCAGTACAGCAAGTGCTTATTTACTTTTATGATTGCATCTGATTATGAAAATGATCAATATTACGGACTTATTGTAGGTTGCTCTAGTGTCGTATGTAGTTCCAAAGAGCAGAAAAGAGCATTTTCTGATGTTCTCAACTTTTTTTGGAGTCCGCCACTGGAATTTAAATTGTTTGCATTTAGAGAATGGATCTTTGCCTAGATCAACTAAATGCATGAAACAGTTACAATTAAGAGAGAAGACAATATGTATTTAACAGGAAACATATTCTCATACAGCTGTCTCTGGTTGTTCTCTGTGAAAAATATCAGTTGCCCTGAATGTGCATTATATTTCATACCTCACATAACACAAATCTGATCGTTTCTAAAAAGTAAAGACCTGTTTTTTGTTGACCTCTCCTTTGGGGAGAGAGATCATGGTGAAAGAGGCTCCTGGTTTGTAAATAGGCTACAGCAATAAAAGGTATCTTGAGTTCTACATCAAAGGAAAGGGAGTTTCATAATGTGGAATCACTGAGTTACTTTTTTTAATCAACCATGCATCTGCTGCACAAAGGTATTTAACTGTAATGAACTCCAGTCTTGACAAGTCATACACTGCTTGAAATGATCTCTGTGAGTTCGAGCTCCAGCTAGACCAGGCCTGTTGTATAAGCTCCATTAGGTATAAGGTTTGTATTAATCTTTGGAGCTCTGTTTGGAAAGTTTTCGGATAGTGTGCTGATTGTGCAGTAAACTTGTTAGGGAAATAGAAGAAAAGTCACTACCAGCAAAACAGAGTGTGAGCAATGGATGGCTGTTGTTCAGGCTGGTAAACAACATTTTTCACATGTGGGAATAATTCACAACTGAGTGTCCAGGAAAGAGCAAAGAAGCTTCAGGGGAGAGGGAAAAAAGGGAAATAAGATAAAACAGCAGTGCTCTTTCTTCAGCTAAAATCAGAAGCTTAATAAGTGTATTAAACCCTGTATGATCAAAGCAAAACATCCAGAGGTAATTATGGCCAATAAAACGAGAAGGCACATAAAGAGCAGTTTAAACCAGACTGGTGGGGAAACTTCAAGGGTTTCAAAGCCTACCTGCAGTGCCCTCACCGAAGGTTCTTAGACTCTTGCCATGGAGGTTACAACACTGCTCTGCAGCCTTGATGCCATAATGACTATAATGGTGTCCATGTTCTCCATTAAAGTAACCTTCCAGATTAAATGTGAAGTCTGTTTTATCTGGCCTAGCTGGGAGGATATTGCAGACTTTTCTTTTTTATATAATAAAAGAAAAATGTAAGGGTGGAGGTACTCTATTGAACCTTTCTGTCTTCAAGTCCGCCATGTAGTGGTCTGTAGCACCACCAGCGATTTCATTTTTTCTTTCATCTTCGCTAGATAAAAGCATTAGGCTAGTTGTGAGCAGGCCTGTTCTTGTGTTCCAGATGTTGGAAATCTGTTTCTGATAAATGTTTTTTTTTGCCAAATGTACACATCATTGGGACTAAAATAGTACAGTCTCGCCAAGATCCAACCATTGTTTTAACTTCTGTTATTTTTACAGGTCTCTTCAAGAGGCAAGACTGAAGGTTTTTCATAGGAAAATTCTGAATAACAATTAGAAGAACGACTAGATGTTCAGGGCCTTATCTTTCTTGAAGTATTATTAAGTGAAATCAAACTCACCACTACACTCTAAGAATATGAGTCACATATATACTGTAGGTAGATACTGTATGCTCTATTACATTGATGTTAATTGAAAAGTCATTTGCCTTTAGTTATAATTTGCAGTTGTAGTGTTATTAACTGGGAAACCAAATCAACTTAAGATAAGTTTAAAGCAGTGTCATAAGCAGTGACAATTAAGAGTCCTAGGGATAGGGTAAGTGCTTCGAGTGGATACCTGCACTGTGCCGGCTTGCTGCTCACTGCTTTTTGTTGGTTCCTCTTTCATAGCTCCATAACAAAGGCCCCAGTAGCATCAGCAACACTCTCCTGGAGGTGGGCTGGCCAAATCGCTTCAAAGAAGAATATCTCCTGTATGTCTTTGAGATTCACACAGACGGACCGATAAAATGTCGAACAAACTCAACGTTAAATCCGCTGGATCTGGAGGTCAGTGGTAATTAGCTTCGGGTTGGGATTATTCACTGCCAGTGCTTTGGGTGTAAACCTGGGAATTGTCTGAGAAGGGTGTGTGACTTGACTCTGAGGTGTGTAGTTCATTCCTTACATGAGATTTGACATTTCTCACTTTGTAGTTATTAACGTAAGCTGTGGCATCGTTTTTGTTTTACTTCAGAAAGGGCCGATACCTTTCACTCTGAATGAACAAGCTTCTAAAACAGAATTATTCTTAGAAGAATAAGTGTTTCTACAGAGCTGCTAGACATAATAAGCATAAACTGCAAAAATATATATATATTTTTTTTAAGTTGCAGTAGTTTTCAAGAGAAATAACTTTGCAAAAGATGACAGATCGGGTGAAATCAATACAGAGAATATAGATATTGTTAGCTTTCATTTGTGTGTGAGGATTTACAGTATATTACCATTTACATAATGACCAATCTTCTTTTTTTAAAAGAATCTTCCTTTCATTGTTTTTTTACATTGGCCTCTTTCCAATATTACTGAAGTTGTCATTACTTTATCACACATCCCTTTGCTGCTTCAGAAAGTTTCCTCCTCACATACAGTACACTTACCTTTTTTTCATTTGTAAGCATCGTGTTGTAGTATTGTACATAATTTGGACAGCAAACAAAAGGACACATTCACCTCAAAACCTATTATTTTTAAATAAATTTTTAAACCACACTTACAGTAGGTATGCATTAGGACTGAGTGAAGAAATGTAACGAATGTTTTCTTAGAGCTTTAGACCTCGTGAGAAATGTGTAATGCTCCCACATGTTTAATTGCATTTTTAAATTATTTTTAGGTCTCTGCCATTTGTTTTGCTTGTTTTTCTGAGGATGAAATATATTTTGTAACAGAGATTTATGGATTAAGAATATAAGAGCAGTTACAAGCAAGAGAAGGCAATTTGGCCTGTCTAGCTCATTTTGAAGTTAGTAGGTACTGTACAGTAGTTAATCCCAGAATGTCCAGTCATTTCTTGAAAGAAGCCAGGGTATCAGCTTCAGCGACATGGCTGGGTAGCTTGTTCCAGACTCCCACAGAGTAATAAAGAAAAAGCGAAAGTCAATTTCTGTTTAGAAGGCTATATGCTGCAATACACAAAACCCACCTGTGATAATTCATACTTTGCAGAATTAAGTAGTTAATTTTAATGGGACATACAATGTCTGGAGTTACTCATAAACACCCACATGCAATACTTCACCACTACAGTAGATTTTCCTAATCTTTGGAGCCAAGCTAGCGAAGTTCTTACACAGTAACAAAATCTGTTCTTATGGTTAGTGTCTTAATTCTCTTCCTAGGTAGCAAGTAGAATTAGCTTTAAAATAAACATCTGTCAGTGAAACATTATATGTATAAATAGTAATTGGAGTCTGTTGAAAACTTAAATATTCTCAGGTAATAAGTTCTCATGAAAGCAAAACAGACAGTCCGGACATTGATAGAAGTTTGTTAGTAATCTGTCCGCATCTTTGTCATTTATTATGGTCAGTGAAGAGATTTAAGACTTTGTTTCCCCAGGTGAAAGAGTGTACATTATTCATTGCTCATTATACTGATGTACAGATGCGAGTTCTACAGCTGATTGTTCTCCCTGCAGTGCAGAACTCTGGGTGAACCTCTCCAGAGGTGGAGCTCATTGTCTCCTGTGGGAGGTTCTTCTCTTCTCATGCCCTCTCCCTGCAAACTGTGCACAAAGGGTCCTCGGACTGTCACAGGGCAGGCGCACAAACAAAGCTGTTTCCCTTTGCTGCCCCGAAAGTAACGTCTGCAGTACAAACATAGAACAGGTCTCCCATTGTTTCCTCGGGCATCAGTAAATAAGCTTTTCTGCCTTTTGTCCACGGTAGGCAACTATCATAGCTTTCATAGCAAGAAAAACACAAATGTTTTTCAAACATTTTATTTCCCAGTGATATTAAGGTTTTTGATTATGTTGCTGTTTTCTTGCATCGTATATGGCACCATAGGATCCTCCAGGCAATTCTCAAGCACAACAAAATATATCAATGGGAAAATAGAATGTCTTTACACAAATGCATGAAATATATATGGCATCAACAACAGTAGACTCTTTCAAACATTGGACAGAATTAGAACTTATTACTGCTGCCCTGCAGGCAGTACAACACAGACTGGAGCATTGTTCTGTATCTGTTTTTGTCAGCTGCATCGCTATGTCAGCTTCTTAGTGAGGGTACCCTTTCCTTAAAGCCTGCTCCATGATCATGCGGTTACTGTATGATGGTAACATGAGATGTTGTGCGTGTGTGATGATTGTTTTCAGAAGGGGCCGAGAAAAAGCCAATTCAGATGCACAGAGGCCCGCAAGGATGAAGAGTGTACCTACACTGTCATGGGTGTATCCACAGGCTCTGTCGTCTTTCTCCGTCTTTCAGGTGTCTGCTCGCGAGGATACTCCCGAGCTACTGGGATTCCTGCGGAACTCCACAACACCACACGAGCGCCGCAAGCGGGACATCAGGGGGTCTGAACCTCAGAACAGCAAAACTTTGGTACTTGCTTATATTATTTGTCAAGTCTTAACCGTATGACTCACTTTCATTCATCACAGGGAGAGAGTTCAGTTTTTCCCTTGTGGAAAACTGTGTTCATTTAAAATCTGTGTGCTAGTGTCATTTGACAAACACCTAAATGTGTGTGATACTGTGACCCACCTCTCTTCAATGAGACGAACAAATGAGGCGAAGCCATTTGCCCTGTTTAGCCCTTTTTGGTATTCTGTTCCATAACTATCTGAACCAAGGATGTGTTCAATCCATTTCTTGAAGGTAAGCCAGGGTATCGTGTTGGACAACATGGCCGGTATCTTGTTCCGCTAGCCATCTCCAAGTTTAAAAGGGCCCTCATGCGCTAAACATGTACAGTCTTCCGTCCTCAAATATGTGCCTGATTAAAATGTTTCACATTTCCTGAAGATGAAAAAAAAACTGTCGGGCCTGCCACATCCTCCTTCCACAAATCATATACAGACCTCTCTTCAAAAGAATAGAGCTGTGTGAAAAAAAAAATAAACCAACATACAAATCAAAATCAGAATATACTGGGACAGCCATATATAACACATTGTTATTGTTCACCTTCTTGGCCCTCTAGGATTAGAGACCAGTCCTATCATGTGTTCTAAATCCCCAGTGTATTGGTACTCACTTAGGGTTATGGGAAACTAAAGCCTGTGAAATCAGTCCACCTCTTCTTGCTGACCTTCGTGACCCCGTGCGCAGGCAGTGTCTATGGCGCTGCAGCAGAGCTGGGACGATGCACTCACCCTGTTCACGTGTGATAAGAAGCTCACTGGCAATAACATGGAGTGGAGACACACTGTTTTGCCCCTCATCGCTGTAAGAAATTAAACAGGAAGTCATAGTGAATTATTCACTGCCAAGGACTCAGCTGGCTCTGATAAGGAGCAGACGCTACCCCTCACACTTCCCTGTGAGACCTCAGGCTCGTGTCTTTTTGCGAGGCTGGAAGTTCATAGACATAATAGGGAACGTTAAGTGCTCGGTGGGGAATTTCAACAAATATTCATGTCACAGTGTTGTAGAAATTATTCAAATTCAAATGGAATTCCTCATTAAGTCAGGAAGACCCTGAATTAATTTATCATTCAAGATAAGTAATAAACTGGTACAATTAAATGAATTCAAAGTATCATTGAGTATTCAAAACTGATAAGAGAATATAAGTCAGCATTAGTTCATCATGGGTGTGTTGTGTTGGCTAGTGGTTTTAAAACCAATCCATTGGAAATATAGAAAATCATTAAACAGCCTTTAGCTTTTACCAGAATCTATGTTTTTTTCTGGCAAACCTTCTGACGTTTCTTTGTTAAGCATAGCCTAAGTGTAAGTGAATTATTCAAAGTCAAACATTTCAAAATGTTGGTGAATCTTAAAAAAGCTGGCCTGTCTGCTATCAGTTTTTCTCCATCTTATTTAAAAAAAATGTAAGACTTACTCCTTCTTTGCAGACATCATAGTAAAAATGTTCTGCAAAGAAATGCTTAGCTTTTTTCTGCTAAATTTATTGTTTCTTTGATATTACTCTTTCTGAGTAACATATTCCACATTAATCAGACATAAAAGAGCTCAGTGCCTACATGTGTGTGGCAATACGGTCAAAATTGAATCAGCTTTTCATTTAACTTTTGCTATGCAGGAAACATTACTCATAGACGAATTCAAAAAATAATTAAGAACAATTGCAGCCACGGGATGTTTCAAAGTTTTAATTAAGACTGGTGCAGGAAAACACAAAGATAACTTAATTTTCCTCTAACAAATACCACTTTTCTTTCAGAACTGCGACAACATAAATTGCTTAATGATAGCATGTCACATTGAACGACTAGAGAAAGGCCAGAGTGCTGTGGTCAAAGTCAGATCTCGTCTGTGGGCTCAGACGTTCTTACAGGTAATAATTCTGTTCTCCCACAAGTGCATTGTTTTCTAATTATTTCCATTTGTTCTTGGAATTTACAGATCGGTTCACCCCCTCTCCTTCCCCTTGGCTGCTGCAACATAGCAATGAGGTTTTCATTATCATAAAGCGAATTTTATATGGAAGGTTTTTTTCTATGCTAGTCTTTACTATAACCGAATGTTATTTTCCTGTTTTCCATATATTGTATTAACATACAGAGACAAGTAATAGGTTTATTCCATGCTGAGAAGAGAAGAAAGAAAACACAATGTTTCGGCTGGGGAGCCTTCTTCAGGTGTAAGAAAGATAGGGCAGTCGGCAAAGATAATATAGCATGGGAAAACACAAGCCAGGAGAGAGGAGGAGGAGGGAGCAGGGGAGAGGCAGTGGCCAATCAAGTGGTGCGAGGTCAAGAGAGGCGAGGAGAGGTGGGAAGTCGAAACCTACAAATGATTAGAGAGAATTAGAAGAAAACAAGTCTGTCGTTGAGAGAAGGGGGAAGGTGTGAACCAAGTTTCAGGGTAAATTTAGTTTGTGATGTCTTTCTGCTATAGGAGTTAAGAAACCCTGCTTTGAGAATGCAGACGGAGAGATCAGAGTTGAAATGAGAAACTGTGAGCTTGGAGAGATCTTTAATCTTTACTACCCTAACATGTTCTCTGAAGCGCTCTCTGAGTCTCCTCCCTGTTTCTCCAATGTAGACGGCTGGGCATTTTCTGCAAGAGATACAGTAAATAAGGTTGCTGGTGGTACAAGATGTCATCTGAGTGATCGGGAATTGTCCTGAGGGGCCTTAAATAAGTGTGGTGTTAGATATGTACTTGCAGGTGATACAGCGAGCTCTGTTGCAGGGGAAAGTGCCTGGTGTGGATGGTTGCTGAGGGCGGTCAAGGGAGCTGTGAACAAGGAGGTTAAGCAGGTTAGGTGGTCGGCGATATGAGATGATGGGGCGATCAGAAAATAGGGCCCCAATGGAGGGATCATCTTGTAGGATGGAAAAGTTGTGGTTAATAGTCCTGGGGATAGGAAGTGTGTTAGGGTGGTAGGGAAGCACCAAAGGAATGCGGTTGTTACGGCGGGAGTTCCTGATTGAGTTGATAGTCCGAGGGCTGTTTTTGGCTCGGATGAGGGCCCTGTCAATAACGCGGGCGGGGTATCCTCTGTTGATGATAAAAGAGTGTATTTTGAGTGCTTGGTTCTGGAAATTGATGTCATCACTGCAGAGTCGTCGTAGCCAAAGGAAGTGAAAAAGGGAGATCGTTTTTAGTGTGTTTGGGGTGAAATGAGCTGTACAAAAGATAGTTGTGTGAATCTGTAGGTTTGTAATAGAACAAAGTAGTCAGCGATGGTTAATGGTTAGGTTTATGTCTAGAAACGGAAGAGTCGCAGAGGTTATGTTAACTGTATATTTGAGGGACGGGTGGAAGTTGGTGAAGTGGTGCAGGAAGTTCTCTAGCTGGTCATTAGAGCATGTGGCGACACCGACGCAGTCATCAATGTATCGCTTGTAGAGCTCCGGGACAAAGCCAGCGTAGGAAGCGAAGAAGCGTTCTTCTACACAGCTATCAAAACTATTGGTATAGCTGGGTCCCATTCATTGAATCAACATATATATATAAAGACATCTTTTAATATTTACTATGTATTAAAAGGACTGTAAAACCAAATGTGGGATGCCTTTGGCACATATAGTATGTATGCTGTGGATTGATTTTGAAAGTCAACACACTGTAACATGAAAAATTGAGAAATAATGTACACACCGCAACAATGGAGATATGAGCAGTGCCATGTGGCCAGTTTTCCATTCTTTTCTTTTGCAGCTTTTTCTTTTTTAACCATATGGAGAAGAAATTTGCTACCTTCCAGAAAGCTAATTGAAATTTGGGCTCCCTGATAGAAAGAGCTGACCTTGTGAGGTTTAAGTGCTCTGAACAGCTGTTTAACAGGTTATGTTCTGTGGCCAGCCTCATTGCGTGTCTCTGTGTCTAGATCAACACACATTCGTACCTTAGGAGCTTGAGTTGAGAGCTCTTCTCTAACTCAATACCTACAACTGTATATACGAAACCTGTAAACTTCTCCTGATTGTTTTAATTCAAGCAATCAACAAATGAGATGCACTTCTAGAATGGAAAAAAAACTGTGACAGACACTAACAGGATTAAAAATGTGTGATTTACGTGTAACACATCTGCAGGTGAAAAATGGCACTGACAAGTAATATACCACTTGGGTCATTCACGATTTGTCTGTCTGAGGCAGGCATGATAATTGAGTTAAGTAAAAATGTCAGATGGGTGAGAGCAGAGCTGTCGTCTGGAGAAAGGAGTGAAATCACTTGCAGAGACAATAGAGGGTAAAATAAGTGCCTTCAGACCAGTTGTGCTTGGGGCTCAGGTAACAGAACTCCATGGAGGCCCGGTCAGAGGTGGGGTTGGGAGATGAAAGCTTACAGGGTAAAGGTCCCTGTAGTTAAATTATCTGTTTAGGAATAAAATAAAAAGAATCCCAGTTTGGATATCCTTAGAGGCACTGTGGCTCTTTAGGTGATAGAGAAAGTTTAAATGCTACCTACAGTAACATTAACAACAACAACAATCTGCATTACATAGCTCTTCCCTATTTAACATATGGTTTTCTCAAACAGGTTATTTACATTAAGTGGATAATTTTGCATACAATATATATTTTTTTACATATCAGCTAGCTCCCACATATTTTCTTCTCTCTTTTCCGAGCGCTCAGGCGGAGGGTCAAATGCAATGCAGTACCTGTACAGGATAGCCATTATTTCTGAGTGCCAGAGGAATGTCTTGGCACTGTGAACTGGTTCTTTTCCAAAGCTTGCTGGCTGTCTTTTACCACTTTCTCCACTTCTTATTTTGTCGCTCAGACAGAATGTCTACACTTATTGGATGGATTGGCCTTGTTAGTAGAGAGGAGGAGGTTGTGTGTTGCATAAGTTGTGTAAAGGTGCTAGAAGGTATCCTGCCTTTGTTTTTTTGTGTTTTTTTTTATCTATAATCACAACTTGTATAATGGTTCTTTTTCTATACCCTCCCCCCCCAATTTGCATTTTATTATTTTTAAAAGAATATCTTTAAGATCCATAAAATCAACAGCAATTTGAAGACTTTTTGAATATTAGGTTCTTTTTCAGGTTGTGACACATTTGTCTGGTATTGCACATTGTTAGAGGTGTGGAATGAGCTCCAGATTTGCTCATTTACAAACCATTAAGATTTTAGATAGATGAGTCATTAGATTGTCTAAAACAACACTTAGGAATTTTCATAAATACTTATCTGTTTCAATATCTGACCTTTAAATGGCATTATTGATACAAGTGGGAGATGTTGCTTGCCTGAGAGTCATAAATTACAAGCAGTTAAAAGCTTTTTATCATCACTGATAACCCCCAGATGTGCTTATTGGGGAGTTTCTTCTGGGAACTATAGACGCCTTTGCTAGAAGTGGGAATATAACCAACCAGCCCATTATTGATTCTTTCCAGGTTTGAACCTGCTAAATAGTGCTAAAAAAGCAAGATGTTGAACAGAAAACTTCAGCAAATAAATTTTGATGAAGAACTGATGTGTTCTAGTATAATAAAATATTTTGGTGTTAATTTTTAAATGTAATATCTGAAGACACATTTTTATTATCAATATACTGGACTGATAGGTCCCATAAGGTAACCCACCCAAGAATAGCTATTGTATTATTATGCAATCATTCTGCAGCATTTTTAGGTAAAAACTTTGTATATATATATGCATGCAGCCTGAAAGATTCCTTTTGGAGTCACACAGAAAAAATGTCTCAAGAATCCTTGCACAGATAAAATTGGAAAAAAATGTTACAGGGATCTGTAAGGCTGTAGACTATGTCTGTATATCCAGACAGAATTTTAGTGGGATTTACTGCATATTTGTGTGTGTGTGGGGGGGGGGGGAGGATTGTATCAACAATATTATTGTTCAACATTGTTTTGATGAGAACATGACTTTGAAAACCAAGCAAAAAAACTTCAATAACTGAGGAGGGCTATACTTTGAGATTACGTCGGCAGAGAATGTCAAACGTGTCTTCTGTATTTAGTTTTAGTATTTAGTATTTAAAGTATTGAGTCCCTTTCTTCTTTATTTATTTCTTGTTTTGGGGAATTGCTGCTGTTCAGATTCACCAAGCTATCTCTTCCAGCCAATATTGTTTTATAAATGATTAGGAGTGATGAAAAAAACACGGCAGAACACTGTCATGCAGGACTGAGTATTCTGTGGCATGAAATTAAACTTCACCACCACACTGTCACTTTGCATTTCTTTAAAGCTATTGCCTTTATATTGTACATTTGGGTTTTTTTTTTAACAAAAAAGCTTTCATTAATCCTGTTATAATTCTCTTTCAGAGAAAGAATTACCCCTATTCTGTGAATTCCACTGTTTCTTACAAAGTGATGGACATGCCTTATCGCATCAAACCAGCTAGACTCCCGCAGGAGTCTAAGTCAGTAAGTTGTGCGGACAGCGCTTGTAGGGGTGTGGGGGTGGTAAAGTATGGAGTCTTGAATAAACAGCGGAGTTGGCTCCAAGTGAATCTGAGAATCTCTTTGTAACATGAAACAGAAATTATGGAAGCACAGCGTCCTGCAGCCTAACCAATGAGAAACATCCCAGATGTTGGTCTATGCATTAATACTTTGATACACAAAAGATATGCATCTCCTGCTGCAGGCTTATTTTTGCATGAAATTCCCTGGGGCAGATGCACTAGAAACAACAAACAGTGGACGCTGTGAATGTACTGGCTTTTCTAAAACAAATATTACTGCGTTACACATAAGGTCAGATGTTTTGTTTAGGAGCAGATGGAAGAAAAATTTATCTTTGCTTGTGCAAAGAGATAATGTTGCCTGAGGGCTGTGTTATCATTTTTATTGCTAGGAACGGGCCATTTCCTTTATAAGAGAATACATCTGGGGCCCGAGCAGCTTCATTTTTAAAGCCGTTTTTTGAACATCTGAGGAATGAGGTGATGCTTTGTCTTCCCACAGCTACAGGGTATAAGTAAATGCTGCAGGGTCCTTAAGCACAGAAAAAAACAGTGTACTTTAAAAAATCAAGGATGGTCTTGTTTTCTCTTTGAATGCATAAATGATGTGATCCATGACAGAGGTCTCCTGTTGTTTGCAGATAGGTACCCTTGTGATTTGGGCCACCCCAGATGTCTCATTTGCAATTCCCTTGTGGGTAATTATACTGGCCATACTGCTGGGACTGCTGGTTCTGGCTATTTTGACCCTAGTCATGTGGAAGGTATGTTTCCTATCATTTGAAAATGAATATCTCCAATTATGGGGCAAAAGTGGGGCATTTTAGTGTATTCATGTCATCACCAAATCATTTATGTTTAGGATTCATTTTTGCAGCAAAGCATCATTTGAACAAATGTGCATATCACACAAGAAAAAGAATGTGTTACTCAATATTATGCTAAATTACGTGAGGGGTTTCACTATAAATAAAAAAAACATACACAGCAATGTTCAAGGAGACCTTGGGGAAAACTATTAATTCTGACTTAATTATTACAATGAGTTCAGATTGCCCTGGCTAGTTATGTGCTTCATTGCACAGATTTGGTGAGTTTGGCTTTATTCCCTCAAAGAATAAATGGCTCATGTTGATCTTATCAGTGTTATGTCTGTGTCTGTGTTTTCAATGAACTGATGCAATTGATCTTTGTTGGAAAATTAACGTTTTCCTTTGTAATGCCAAATAGTTATGTTGTGTTGCATAATGTAATCATTCAAGAACATTGAACTATTGGTCCTTTATCAACACTAAATTGTGAAAATCTGGGTTGAAGTGAATATCTGAGCAAGCACACACTGTATAAATGCATAGTAACGGTATATGATAGTTGCCTGTCATGCTAGTCATCCATTGTGAACCTAAGCAGAAAATCCATTTTACTCCCCCTAGTGGTCTATGCCAATGAGGTAAAAATGTTCACAAACAAGTGCTGTTGTAATGCTGTCTTATAATAAAGCCCTAACGGTTCTGTTTTATCTCCATTTGGCAAACAGTTATAGAATGCTTGGAATTCAGCCATTGTTAATGTAACTAAAATACATCCTTTAGGATTTAGACAGCTATTCTGCATTTTAATCACTCCCCTCCCTGTTGTCAGATTTGTTTAGTTTCGTGTCCCAGTAAACACATTTTAAAAGTTCAGGACCGTGTTTCATCCACATTTCTAGCTCTACTGATTGCCTTAGCCTGTCATCAATGCAGAAAAAGACAGAGAGAGTGGGTTCCGTAAACTAGTCTCTGTTGTATGCTCTCTGACAGAACTTAAATTCCAGATATTCAATGAAACTGTTGGTTTAACTACTGAATTAATACCTACTGTATTACTCTTGTCATTATTACTTAACTGCGGAAGTCTCTACATGGTATTTGTAAAAAGTCTATAGTCTTCTTTCCTAAAAGGACCTCAATGTGCCTCACTTTGCTTCAGAGGTAATCGTTTTCTCTTTGAGTAAAGTTTTACAGGATCATTACATTTTCCTTTACTGCACAGTAGTGATTGGGTGACTTTTAAGCAGGTATTTTGTTTCTATCACTTAAGACCGAGCAAGTGTTTTATTATATAGATTCACCAGGGCTGATATGGAGTGATCAAGATTGAAAAACAAAAACAGCGTTGAGAATGAATAGGGAGAGATGTTTTCCATCTGCTGCTTGGATAACCTTGATCTCTTTTCTTCTCAGTGTGGCTTCTTTGACAGGGCACGTCCTCCAAAAGATGATGTGTCAGACCGAGAGCAGCTTACATCTGAGAAATCTACAGAGGCGTGATGGAAAGACTGCAAAGCTGAACTGCTGTATTTGGGATAATGAGGAGGATTTACCCAAAACTGTTCCTTCCAGTCTTCTCTGTGACGTCTTATTAAAGAACTACAATCTGTGAGATGAACTACCAGCCAGGTGCCTTCCTTTTCAAGTGCCACGAGACTGGAAACTATGCAGCACAGTTTTGAGCACGGAGCATTGCAGGACCATTGCTACACTGACCAAGCTGGGGACGCCCAGTCTCTCTCAGATCTGACCTGATGCACACCAGGAAACTTTCTGAAGATCCCATGGAGTGTGCCTTGACAGAAACATCCTAAAACCTTGTGCACATATTTTAATATTCTTTCAAGATGTGTACAGTCTTTTGCAACATTTTTTATTATTTCATGTTGCATGGAACATGACTTGAGACATCCTGAAGAATGATGCAAGAATGTTATACAGTCCTATAGAGATGAGCAATCTCTTACTGTACAACGTCTGTTCTGCAAACAGGAGGATCTGCCACCTGTAGACAGCAGTAGACATTTTCGAACCATTTGAACCTCCAGGAAAGCTTGGCAATATACAGTTTTTTTTTTCAGTTTTCTTATAATTAAGTTGTCTTCTCAACACCTGTTTAAAAGAAATCCATACACAGAAGCTGCAGATTGATTTGGAGCTTTACAGAGAACTATATGGACAGTTTACAAGTTAAGTGCATAAACCCTGTTAAGAAATTGTCATTTTATATGTCATTTGATTTTTGGTCATTTCACTAGAATGCCAGCAGTGTGCTGTTGATTCCTATACAATATCAAACAGAAGCAATACCTCAGAAGATGTCGTAAGATTTTGTTTGTCCAAACAATATCTTGTGGTACAGTAAATGAAAAACTAAAGACTTTAAAGGGTGTTTTTTCAAGCTATCTCGAAAACAAACATTCATCAAAAAATTGAAGAAAAAAGGACAAGACAAATGTAAAAAGTAAGCATTATAGATTATTATAGAGAGCTAGAGTTTTTTAATGACTATTCTGCTAAAGCACACGGAGGACTAATGCAGGAGAGTGTTAGTAACCTACACACTATTGTTTTTTTTTTGTAAAATGATGGAATTAAAAGGGATTGTTTAGTGTTAGACTAAGGATTAGAACCTTGTATCTGAACCCCTACATTCCTTCATTTCCTAATGGAAAACTTAGTAGAATCTCTCTTAAGTTTGTGAAATCGTTTTTTAATGTTGCTATGCTAGCTAAAAACAAGTCAATGTGTTTTTCAGATTTAACTGACCATAGTGAGGTGCCTTTCCAGCCCTGATTTTTTCTGATGCTTACTTACTGATCCTGGCTATTGGGAGAATAAAATTAAAAGCTTTAAGTAAGGTGTGTGCTTCACTGCCAGCAACTAGTCTACAGATTCAAGGAAATGGTTTTATTTTCTTAAAAGAGTACAAAACATGAAAAAGTGGCAGACTAGGTCCATTTCTTTGGACTTTATGTGGAATACTCAACGTCCCCTGGCTTCAAAGCGAAATAATAATTGCTTGCATTCGACCAGCTCTTTTCATTCCGAAGGATCCCAAAGTGATTGACATACTGTACTCTCGGGGGTCTGCTTCATCCACCACTGATGTGCAGACCCCACCTGGGCGACATGCCGCCGGTATCCGGCACCAGCAGCAGATCAGGCAGAGAAGTCCGGAATTCCGGAATAAAATCTGATTTAAGGGAGAAATTAAAGAAAGACCAGATTGTGCAGCCCGGTGTGTTTTCGGAGGCTGCTGCTGACATTCATGAGAGAATTGGTCCTGGGATAAAGGAGTCCCATAGCTAAGGTACTGCACTGTATATAACACAATTGTAGCACCCAGTTAAACCTGAGTGTAGCAGGGACCAAAACACACTGATTCTGCTATACCTGTTTAAATACAGAATAAACTGGGTTTTGGGTTTATAAAGTTATTTGCTTGTTTTTGTGATTCCTACTGATATCCACCAGATGGCAAACTTGAGATGAAAGTCCATTTACAGGTCAGAATAAATATTAAGACACATTATATTTCTTTTTTTTTTACAGAACTAACATAATAAGTGTGGATCAATTCTAATCCTGAACCACATAACACCAGGGACTGACCTGATACCTTTTTTGCTGCTGCTCTTAGTTTGGAACTTTGACATGAAAACACCCCCTGACACCAAGTGGCTGGATCACAGTTTTGATTTTTTGGCCATTCTCGTAGAAGGATGGCTTTTTCTAACCGCAAAATGCAGCATACATGACCTTTGCCATACTTATTGTGTGATATCTTGAAAGTGTGCAGTGAAGTAAATGAGGCATGTTTTCAAAATGTGTCAAAAAGACACATGCAGAAGTACCCAGCTATAGAGGGCTGGAGGGATATATCCATTTATATGTGCAATATTTGTATGTATGTAAGTTCCTGAAGCATGTTTACACTGGTATTATGGTTTTCTTCTTCTTCATTTGAAATTTTAATTATTTTTGTATGCGGTGTTTAGTGAGTTTAATGAGTCTGTGATTTGGGGGCTTACTGTAATCTTGAATCCTCCCTTATCATCAAGAGGGTTATAATCTTATCATAATAAAAGATTGCATAATAAGTGCATTGGAAATGTTTTTTGAACCAAATTGAAAAATAGTATTGAAATTAAAAATACAAATGCTCTTAATTTAGCACACAATTTCATGTCAGAGCAGTTTAATTCTTTATGAACAAAGATTCAATCATTTCTCCTTCTTAATAAATAAAATAAATAATAGATTGGGATTAAGCATAAGATTCATATCCCTGTTTCACCTAATATATAGTTATAGTTTATAACTTATAGTTCCCTCTCAAAGAAAGGTGAAACAGTGCCTCTTGCAGATGTGGAATTACATTTTGTGAAGGAATTACGGCAATAAAGCAATGTCATTTTCACATAATCAAAGCTTTTGTTTTTGGCACCATGTACAATACCAGGAATTTCACAACAGATCAGGAGCTATTAACCACATGGGAGCATGTTGCCCTCTTGAGGATTTGAGTAATGTTGCTGTGCAGAAGGGCTGATTTCTGACTATTTTCTTCTGTCTATGTCTACTGTGAAGTAAGACAGACACAGGTCAGCTTTATGTTACAGTGTGAGATGCTGAGTTTGAAAGAAGTGAAAGTTGTCACTTTGACCTCTAAAGTATGTATGTATATATCCCATAAGCAGACCATTGTTAAATATTTTCTTTTGTATTGAAGAATAGGAACATTCAATAAATGTTAAAGATTAAAAAGGCAGATTGTGTAACTGTTATTTGATTGTCCTTGGTTTCTAGCAGACACGTACTGAGAGCAGATTTTAAGCATTTGTGAATCAACATGTAACATTGCATACATCTGTAAATGCATCACTTCAGAGTCATAGCCCAGCATGTGGGTGTTTTAAGGAAAAAAGCTACAATTTCTATATATTTTAATCTTTAAAAAAACAGGATTAAAGTCTTTCAATCTACTGTATTAACTTTGCTTATTTTCAGAAGCAAAGCTTCAAACTTAAACAAAGACGACTGCTTGTAAGAATTAATTTCCATCTTAACAGTCTCAATTATAGATTATTTCATCTCCCTGGACAATGCATTAGCACAGCTCATACGTTATGTAACTGTACAAACAATTATCTGAACAGCTGCAGATTCTTCCTTCTGTGATGCTCCAGTTTTTTTTTAATACTGGCTGTTTGTGACAACAGAAAAGACAGAACTAAAAAGCGTTTAAACATTGCAATTGTTATCAATAGGAGTTTTAGTCCTTCATTACAAACTATGCTATTGATAACATGTAACAAAGGATAGAACTTGTTGAATTCACGTGACTTGTAAATTAGCAATGAAATATGGTGTGACTGACACTTAAATCACTTAAAATCTAGGTAAGCAGACAAAAAATTAAGTATCCGTACTTCTTTTATACAACATAATATAAAGCATTTTTGCGGCTGTTCCCAGGGTAGCAGAAACTCTTAAATAGAAGAGAGACACTGTACTTATTACAGATATAAGAGTGATTGTAACAACAACAATCATCATTTTTTTGTATAATAACCGGCTGCTAATTAGAATTCCCAATATGATTTCCAAAGTTGGCCATGTTTCTTCTTCTCTTTCAGTTATCTCTTTCCACTGAGAGGTAATTGCTTAACTTGTGATCAATGCTGGCATACAGACTTAACAAGATGTCCCATAATACACTGGACATCTATTACTCTTCCAAAGACGATTTTGTCTCTCCTGTCTCCAAGCTCTGTTTTGGACCTAAATTTGTTCAGTGTTTTATTTCTATTTCCATTTATTTTACACATTACAACTATGTTATATGAGTAACGATGATGTGTGGTAATGCTGTGATATAGTGTCTGTGGCAAAAGGGATGTTGCATGATGCTCCATCTGATACTTTGACTTCAACGGAATAAAAGGCTGATGTGCAAGAAATCCATCTGAAATCTTCGATAAAACCAGAAACAAACATTTCAGACAATGCCGCCTCACTAAATGAAAGCTTTATTTATTAATGTTTTTGAAATCTTTTGAATTAATACAATACCTGGTATTGTCTCCCTTATTCTTTTGCATTATGAAGCAAGCTCACTTTTGCTTGAAACCTTTAGGTCACATTGCCTAAGGATATACAAACATTTTCTATCTACAAAAATATCAACTCAAATAACTACTTTTTCTACATTACAATCTAAAATATAAAATCCTTTTGCACAATATTGATGATTCTAGTGCTTATTTAGACATGCACATAAAAATACTACTTCAATAACGTGGTCAATAGTGTGAAATATATTGAAAAGCAGAATTAATTATACTAATGGAGCACACTTTCTGTGATAGAGAAGTACTGTATATGTACAGTATGTTGTACAATGAGAAATCTATTTCAAATAGGGTTTTTAAAAAATAGATAAGATCACTTTATTAGCCATATACAATTTCTTACATTAGGAATTTGTCTTTTTCACATACCCCAGCTTGCTCTCCATGAGACACACAGACAGAGAGAGAAGCTTGGGGTCAGAGCACAGGGTCAATCATTGTACAGCACCCCTGGAGCAGTTGGGGTTAAGGGGCTTGCTCAGGAGCCCATCAGAGTAGGATTCCTCTGCCCACTGTGGGATTTGAACTGGCAACCTTTCAGCCACAAGCACAGATCCTTAGCCACAGAGCCACACACCAGACAGAAAAAGACCATGGAATCCTAATACAATTTTATGAATTTCTATAAACGTTTATTTGTATTTATATAGTTTGCTGGAATGACAATGAAACATTTTATTTTGGGAAATTCAGCAATAGTATGGGAGGTCACTTCCTTCCACACTCAAGGAAAGAATGAGAAATACTTCAGAAAGCAGATGCTGTTCTTACATTTAACCACATGGTGCCAGCGTAGCATTCAGTGAAGAAACATGGGGTCATGCAAGGCAAAAGCTCCACCAGATTCTTTTACAACAAATATTTAAGTGGGTCAATAATTTGCAAGGAAAATGTACTGAGAGTGGTTTATTTCCAAAACATTGTTATGCTGCTGAAACAAAATAAATGCAGTGTTGAGGGACTTTTACAATTCAATGCTTCGAAATTGAAGAACGATGGGCTGTGTTCTGAGAAGAAGCATTCAACACACATCCTTGTTATTTTCTGCACTCGTTTTAAACAGTATATTAAAGAAGAAACCCCCTGTCCAATACCGGTCCCCTCTGTTAGCAGAATAAGTGGAAAGATTCTTTCTTTTTGTGCACTGTATTATTACATTAGGAAAATGGTGCAGACACTGCCCCAGGGCTAGAGGTCAGTGCACTCTAAAGAAATCGGTAGCTTATTGAAGACCCTGCACACAAATCACTCAAATATGTCACAATAGGTAAGACACAAAATGGGGAACCCAAGAGATTTTTAAACCTCATTTTTGTATGAACCATCCTTTAATCAAGGAGCACTGGAAAGGGTTGGGCTTGATTAGGACTGGGAACCCCCTCCTGAGCTGACTGATTGCAACAGTCTCTTCTGGGTCAAGTGTGTAATACACAACATCTTCTCTTACCACAGAGTCAGACCCACTCAATCCCATTTGAATGCTTCATTGGATCTCCTTAATGTTACGGCCTCTGGAAGTGTTCGGCACCACACACCAAGCGTGGGCGTCCTCAATGGGAAAATTAATTTTCTGTTGTTGGTATTCTAGCTCCCACTTTCAGTCACATATAAGCATCAAAGGTGTGATATGAAATGACGCAGTGCACTGCTTGAGAGCTTTTGGCTTTATTTTTCTCTGGCTTTTATCACAAACATTGTGCCAAATATAATCGAGAGTTCATTTCTGGCAAGGAAAACCTTGGGTGGTGCTTTAGAAACAATAATCTTGCCCTAGGAAGGACTGAGAAAGAAAAGTAATGATATTGAGCTGCAGTGACCCAAGAGAAGTCCTGTGGGGACAAAGAGTGACCTCAGCTACACTGTCTTAACACTGACAGATCGGAGAACAGTCCTCCCTATTCAACAGTGGGCAAACTGCTCTGGGCTGAGATACATCTCGCCTGCTTCCTAACAAGCTTTCTCAGCTTCTTCTATTTTCTGTTTACAAAAGTAAAAATAGCATTTAGTCAGGACTCTTGGTGTGTATTTTTACAGAAGCAAAAGGTGGTAAAGTCCCTACTAGAGGCACAGTGGCTCATCCTGGTTTTTGCAGTGTTAAGCAGACAAGAGGAGCACACAACTCTCCCTTGGCAAGCACACCAACCCAGAGCAGGGATTACCCCAGCAATGCTGGTCCCCACTTAGATGACTCATAAATTATTTTTTCAAATGTCAATATCAGAGGTTAAACTTGACCTTTGTCAAGTTAATTCAATATCTTATACTTTCTTTATCCAAATCAAATATTTAAGGGGGAGAACAATGAAAGCACAGTGAGTATTATTCATTTAGAAATCTATTAATTTACAGAAATCTATAAGTTTAGCAGACTCCCCTGAGAGATTAGCCCCAGAATCCGGGATACATTATATTATGTGGGATTTATTGAAGTCTGCACCTTGAAGGTGCAACCCAATAGTTTTCCTCATTCAAATAAAACACTGTAACAGTACCTTCACTGGGAATTTCCATGTTCCTGGCTTTTGTTTTTGACAACGGTCTTTCTGGCAAATGTGATAATCTAATATACTACTTTTTATACTAAACACATCTACTGTAATTCATACTCATCTTTGCTGTTACTAGCATCCTAAACACTAAGCACACGTCTGTAGAAACTGTTACGATGCGGCAAATAGATGGGAAAATCCCATCAGCTTGATCCCAGTGGAGGCAGAAGGACTGATGGGAGCTGACAGAGATAGCCGACCAGGTTCAGAGCTGAGGTGGCAGGCAGAGACAGTCAGCCAGGGCAGGTGGAAGCAGACGGGCTGATCCGAGACTGAAGGCGAGAGCAGCTCCATGGGTAGGCAGGTGAGTGCGGCTGTGCTGTCAAGCAGGGCTGGTTAGACAGGAGGTATAGCTCTATGCTGTTGGTCTGGTGGACAAATGGAGCACTGGCAGGCAGTACAGGTTCAAGACAAATACTCAAGCCGAGTTCAGGCTGGTTGTCATTCCAGGAAGCGGGCTGGTTGTACTGTGAGCACTTCCCTTGCCAGGAGGAAACTCAATGACAGAGCACCAGAGCAGTGGCTGTACAGGATTTACATATCCTGGACTAATGGGATTATTACCTGTTAATTGGGGGCAGGCGGATGGGACAAGCATCCTGAGCAAGTCCTTATGTCCCCAGGAGGTGTTCGACTCCTCATGAGGAAGCAGACAGTTTCCGTGGAGACCAAGGGCTGTGAGCTCTGACTCATCATGGCATAACAGAAACAAACTATGTCAATTATACTTCCTTGGTGACTTATTGACCAGAACCGACTGTGGAATTGAAGAGCAGGCATGCACAGCAAAGTTTAGCAGTTACAGACATAAGAATTTGGTTGTGATACAAAACGCAGCTGAAATCAGTCATTTTACTCACTGCCAAGAGCATCAGTCCTGGATTATTTCTATATGTCTCACTCTCCCAAAATGACAAGTGCATTAGCATCGAGGTGTGAAGTGGGCTGAGGAGACACTTATGTTGAAATCCCTCGCTCTTGTACAACAGTAAGCAATTAAACCTTAGAATAATATTTTTGTTGCTACAAAATACTGTGTTAGTAAAAGCCATGTTAGTAAAAGCACTGACAGCTGCAGAACCCATTCACTGCCATTCAGTGTGCATTCTGGGAAACCCACCTTAGCTGTTGAAAAAGATCATGCAGTGTCCCTGTCAGGAATAACCTGTGCATTGTCACTGCCCTTGATAAAAAAGAATTTTGTGTGATGAACAGTATTTTATTCCTATTGCAAAAGATCCTAACAATATCCTAGGAAACACTGTGTTCCTCTGCTGTCTGATTGACTGATTGATTATGAAAGTGAAGTCCTCAGGCCAAACCACAACAGCTTTGCTCAATAAACGGTATACTGAGAGACACTGAGAACACAACAAATGCCATATATTTTATATATTCGAACAAATATCTGAAGAAGGCACCCGAAACGTTGTTTTCTCTCTTCTCTTTTCAGCATGGAATAAACCTATTATTTGTTCCTTTGCAGAATATACATGCTGAGGCAGCTCCCCACCTAAATAACCAACTATTCTGTTTCCCCTCTTGATACTTCCTACACCTCTGCATTGAATAGTCTGATAGAGTGATTCCTTCCAGTTTGTGTTTCAAATTTTGTGTGACAAAATTTTGTTTCATTTATTCAAAATGTGGCCTGTGTTGAGTTAGAAATTGGAGTGGTTCTGTTAAATTAAAAACACTCATTCATTTGGAGTCTAAGCTGTTTTGCACATCAAAGGAACAATTAGCCAGATGTCTTACTTTAAATAAACATGACTCAGGAACAGTACCATAGGTGGCAAAATGTCTTTTTACAAGGACAACTGCGATTTAGTCAGCAGAAAAGGAAATCTCCAGACTGTATGTCCTAGTTAAGCTGAGATGAAAAAGAAGCACTGGAAAGAAGCCAGCTATCATTAAATTAACATGATGAAACCCGACTAATCACCCACCCATTGTGAATAAAATACCAGTGGCATCTTCTAGAATGACAAACACAATTTATCATTTTAAAATCTGTGAAACGTGACAGACTAGAGCAAGGAATATTAGCCCAATGCCTGTTCCAATACATACAACATGCTTTTAATACTTTGACCACATGAAGCAATGCCTTTAGATCAGCTTTGATTATATGCTTAGACCTGTTACAGCACAGTAGGTATTGTTTGGTTATATGCTCTCAATATAATGTGTTTTTCATTGAATTTCCCCCGGGACTCATATTAGGTATCACCCAGCTTCTCAAATGCTAGTGTGAACAGAACGTTCTACATACCTGCAGTGCCTGCTAAGCAACAGCCAGTATCACAGCGACACGCCACAGTCTTCAATGCACTGCACTCACACCTACTTTCCCAGATACCTTAAAAGCACTTCCTCAGCAGGGCTGAGAAGCTGTGCTGTGATTTCACTGAAATCATGAGCCTCGTAGTCAGTTTTCCTTGCTTCAATGGAGAAAGCTGATTTCGTGCAACAAGTAATATTAGAAATGATTATAGGAAATGAACTGTCAAACCAAGAGGATAGCCTACCTGTGTAATGTTCATTTTATTTTACTGCATTACAACACATAACAAACCAATAAGGTATAGAATTGTCATTCTCTGTCTGGCTTCAAAAACAAATATTATGTCCCATGAATCCACAATCCAGACAGCACCTAAATGAACAACACAAGAGCTTTTACATTTTCTGGGTGACAATTGTTTTGAGTGTTCCCATGCAGCCCAATAAAAGCATCCTATTGTTCAAAAAACAATCCATTTTGGAGAGAGAAAAGAATTGCATGATAACTTAAAGTGCCTTCGTGTGTTGTTATGCAACACCAGGAACAGATTTAGACATGTCGCTCCAGAAGACCAGAAGGCAGAAGGAACTTAATGTTCTTGGCATGAGAGACTTAACAGCAAAACAAATTCACAAAGAAAGAACGTCCAGAGTACAATTTAGCCAATACGGAGTGCAAAGTAAAAATACATCAATTGCATGCATTGTTACATAAATTGCTAAGGTTATACTGGTGATTAAGCCATCTCCAATTTCTCCATAACACATATTTCCAGAAACATGGTGAGTTACTTGTCATTTTCTGCAGTATTGAATCTTAAAGCTTTTTAGAGTGCTCATGTGAGCATAGTCTTCATGTTTCTTTAAACGTACTGTTTGGGGATGGTATTCAAGGGGTTTACACCCTTCTGTACTTCTTGTTCAACCAGACCTCGAGTAAAAGCAGACGCATGGCCGTGCATGTGACGAGGTGTCTGGCCGGTACCCAGCAGGTACTGCCGTGCCCGTGTATGAGCTGCCGGTCAGAGACAGCTCGCTCTCTCAGCACGGCAGAAGAGTTTAGAACTCGAAACACTTGCCATTGAAGTGGCTGACTTGTGCTGTTTGGGTTTTTTTTTTTCAAATCAGCTGCGAGCTAACCCTCCATAGAAAGAAGCCTTGGCTTTCGAGTGGGGGTTTTATAAACATAGACGATATGCAGATATCCCTCAAATATGGCAGGCAGGAGGGAGTAAGGATATAGACCGGCCCGCCGAGTAGAAGAAGCATTGGTGAATTTCAGCCCATCTTTACAGCCACGTAGGTCATTCTTTTTCGTTTTTAGCCGCTGCTCAGCGCTCATGTTTTTAATTTGGGCATGGTGCGGACAACAAGACACAAGAGGCCTGCAGGTGGCGTGTTCGCCCTCTATTATGTGCGCAGCCGGGGGAGGTCTCCGGTAGCGCAACGGTTAATGTTGGTGGAGCTTCTGCTGTAGCTCTTTTTAGGAAAAGGGAGCCAAGCGGCGAGAGGGACAAGAGGGATGCAGAACTAGGATATAGGAAATTCAATACAGCAAAGGACTAATACAAATAGAAGACAGGGCTTGCGGATTAAACCAATATGGAAGACAGAGAAATGCACCAGATTGCACCAGATCAGTGTCTGATGTGAAGGCATAAACCTGAGTTACTGCTCCCGATTTAAAAAAAAAAAGGCGTGAGAATGCGGGTGGAAATAAGCAGGTCCGCAGCGATTCTGCTGTGTCTTCTGGGCTGTAATGTCTGGAAAGCAGTAACCAAAACCTTGCAGGAAGACAACGCCGCTAAAGGTGGGTGGATTGAAACAGTTTGAGAAGACACAATAGTGACATTTTGAAATGGCAGTACAGACCCCCCCCCCAAAAAAAAACTGAATGGAGACAAAATGCGTTTTGTAAAGGCAATAGGCAACATCTGCGAGCACAGTCGCTAGCGGTGGGGGAGAGCAGAAAGGAAGGCGGACAGAAGCATTGCAGTGATTTTTGTTTTAAACTTAAAAGGATGCCGTCCAATTGTTTTCGATTTTTAGTTAAAAAAAAGTGTAAGCAAATATGTACATCCGTACTTGCGAAGCTGATAGTTGGCTCGCATGAACTGTGTAGCGTCCTTTGCAGTGGCAACGTAATCTTTAATTATTTTTAAATTTCCGCCAATCGGTGGTTGTGTGAGCAAACCCTTCAGCAGACCTTGAAGACGAAACAATTAGTCGGGGTTTTGTTTTGGTAGATAAACGAGGAAAGTTAGGTTTACGTGCAGTTAGGCCTCGGCTCTTGTCTGAAATCGTCGGCAACTTTCAGTTATTTATTTAGTTACTGTAGTGTGTCTTTGTCTTTTTTTTTTCTGTGACCAATGCGGTAACTTGCATTGTTGAATAAAAAACATATGTGAAACACAGGCATGGTGGAGGCTCATTTCTACATTTCTCTCAATACCTGCTATTTTTACAAACCGTGGCGTGATTATCATTTATGCTTCCAAATCTCTTTTCAAAAACGTGTGGCCACCACTGTATGGAAAATAGAAACGGGAGATCGGGGCGGGCTGTTCCTGTTTACGAAACTAAACTTTTTTTTTAACTCGGATTTGAACACCTCCGACTATTAAGCTAAGGCGTCTTGCAGTGAGTTCTATTAAAATGTTTAATAAAGCTGTTTTTTTTCGCGAGCTGCTTCTCTGAGCGTTTGAAGCACTGCTGCAGTAATCGACGGAGGTCATATCATTCCTCTGGGGAGACTGGGGCGAATGAAGACAACAATAATTCACATTAAGAGGTACCTTTTACCAAAATGAGTGTCTAGTGTGCCGGTGCACACCGGTGTGAAACTGTAATTATTTACGTGCGATGCATTAAACTGTAACCTTCTTTCATGTAGCAGCGTGCAAAACCTTCACCCTGGTTTTTAATCCTGCTATCATGTATCATTCATTACAAAGCCTGTGCGGTAGTTCCTGTCCGACTTTCCCACGGTGCAGTGTCAACTGCCCGTATCGGCCCACTGAGCCGCTGCTGATACTGTACAGTCTGTCGTTTTCAAATCGGCTTAAACCAGAAATAGGGAGAGGGACGGCAGAGAGCCGAGCGATTAAAATAAAACCGGTTGCCGGTTGTCTTCGCATCCCAGCTCCGTGATGGACCGGAGCTCATGGGAAACTGGGAAACTAGAAACTGGCTTTCTGTTAGTTTTGTGTGTGGCACAAAGATAGGATTAGTGTGGCGCAACGATAGCCATTAATCTGCTCCTACTCTACCGGTGTTGTCAAGCAGGCGGAGCGGGGGAGCGTGTTTGCCGGCCATGTGGTGTATTGTTAAGCATTGTAGAGGCCCGACGAAATTAACACAGCTCTCCATTTTGCGGTGTTTTCAACAGGCTTCGGCATGTGGTCTGGTGTACATCCTAGCGCAGGATGAGTTTTCGCTGGTAATGTTAAGATTTGGGGGGGGATATGTCTCTCTTTTCGGAAGTCGAAAGTGTGTAGCTGGTGTACAAGTGAGACAGAAAGAGGATACAGGAGTTAGTTGTCGTATATACCACAATTATGCTTTTAATATGTTTTCTAGTTTTCAGGGGGGGGCAGTGTTCTGAGGTTTAGTGGTGCTGCTGCATAGCTCTTGAGTCCAGGGTTCAGTTCTGGCCTGAGGTTTCTTCCATGCGGAGTTTGCATGCATCACTCTGTTGATGTGAATTTTCTCCAGAAGCTTGAACTGTCAAAGACCTGTCTGTTTTAATTGGTGGCTGCAAAGTGACCCCTTGGTGGACTAACAGTAATCCTGCCTGGCACCTTTGTCTTGCAGAATAGACTGGTTTAGCACAACAGCTTAATCTCTGTAGCGCTAGAGCAATCATTGGACAGGAAAAGGATATCGAGCTGCTAGTTTTGTTGCTTCACATCAGTGAAAGTGTATCTACCACTGCGTTTTGTTTTCAAGTACCTCCTGCACTTACCAAAGGAAAAGATAAAAATCTCAGTTTCATAAACTTTTCTCTGTCACCAGTCAGTATTGTAATCGGAGTGAGCTCTGCGAAAAGGGCCCCATCTTTTTATTTTCAGGGTAGGATTAAGCCATTAGGGCTTTCCCTTTCTATTTACATTGTCTGTGTAAGGGTGATGCCCCTCCCTTGACAAGATTAAGGCGACTGCTGGAGACCACTTCCCCTTGTTCAGTGGGGCAGTGCTGTGGAATCGCGTGGTTCCAGAGCTGGCGCTGTGGAGGACTGTGTTGATACCCAGTACAGATCTGGTGTCCGGTGCTTTGTGCTCAGTGCAGAAATATAGTACAGTGCTGTGAAACTGCTGGAATTCACAGAGAGCTGTGGGCGAATATCGGTGTCCCAGGACTCCAGGGTTTAATCTACAGCAGAAGTATAGGGCATTGAAGGTTGCGTTGAAATCTGCTCTGGTCTTGCTTCACTTGAGGAAAATGATAATTATAATAATAATAATTGCTTACACTTATATAGCGCTTTTCTGGACACTCCACTCAAAGCACTTTACAGGTAATGGGGACTCCCCTCCACCACCACCAATGTACAGCATCCACCTGATGATGCTCCTGTGGAGTTAAACTCACATGATCGTATTGTGGTTTTGTAATGAGTGATGCTACTGGTGTTTTACTGTACCTACTGTACTATACTGGCGGAGCTACCCCCATGCTTTCAGAGCCTGGAAAGGGGGCATGCCTCTTGTTTATTTACTTTTCCAACTGACTCTAGAGAGAGCTGTTGACAAGTGGTCTGTCAGGCATGGCGTGGCCTGCGTGGAAAATTAAATGGAATCAACAGAAGGAACGATAAAGGGGTGAACTCGGAGAACGTGTTGATAGTGAGTTTGCAGTACAAGAGTTAAGACTGGTTTGGTTCATATGAAGTCCTCTAGTTGCCCCACTGAGTTCTTCTCATTTGTGCAGCAGCTCTGTCACTTCCTAATTTTGATCCTGTTGCACATTAACATGCTACCTAGCAACATGTTTCCCCTGATAAGCTTGAACGTTTACCAGTGCCGTGGTGCGGTAGACAGGGAAAAGAGCACACAGGCAAATTTGTGACGTTACCTGTGAAGAGTTGCTTATAAAGAACAACAATTTGCATTTCTGACTGTTCCTACTGCGGGAGTTATTACTTCTGTCAAATTCAAGGTAGATGTATTGTTGCAACGTGATCTGCACAAAGAAGTAAGATGTATGTGGAAAACATAAGTAGTTTTCACTATATGCTTTTGAAGTGTTTCAGGAAACAAAAGCCACAATTTCCAGTCTGAGGAGTTGTAATCTGTTTCCCTTTGCATGACATAAACAGTGGTTAAGAATTGCGCTCACTTAAAGGTGTAGCGTTATATAAAGAGGACACTTGCGGTTAACCACAGGCAATCCTTTGTGGCCTTTGATTAATTCTTAAAGCATCATTAGATATCAGTAATTGTGAGGCAAAGTGAGATGTTACAGTATGTGAACAATTTTCTTTAAACTTTTCAGAAGAAGTTTGAATAATTTAATTATACCTTTTAAGTCTCAAAACAAGAAGCTTGTAAAAATCATTTAAGTTTTTTGTAATACATCTCTTGCATTTTTAGCACTGTATTGAATAAATATTACAAATTATTTGGGTCCTAAACTGTTTAGAACATAAGAAGATAGTGGTTAAAAACAAGAGCAGGCAAGTTTCTCCCATATTTCAAATGAAAAGCTTTATTATTGTAGAAAGCACAGTACTGGATCGCTATTGTATCTATCGCTTTCAGAATATTGTGTTTTTGTGTGTGGCTGCCTAGTTTTGCTCTCTTCACAGGATGCCAGGAAAAAGTATAGTTTTGACAGGCTCCGCACTGAGCTTGTACATTTTTGGACTGAAAGCTTGCTGACTCGCTGAGCAGACTCAGTGCAAGAAAACAGACTCCTTGGTCTGGAAATAAAGAAGGGATGTAGCTTATTTGGAATTCATTGTTATATCTATAGTAGTTGTAATATTTGGAGCCTGTCCTTCAGCAGCTGGCATATGCGTCCTGAAAATCGCGGGATGACTTTTTGGTGACGCTGGTGTTGGTTTTTAATAAAAATAATGGTAATGATAATCACAATTCCTTACTCATATATAGTGCTTTTCTGGACACTCCACTCAAAGCACTATACAGGTAATGGGGACTCCCCTCCACCACCACCAATGAGCAGCCCCACCTGGATGATGTGATGTCAGCCATAGCGTGCACAGTACACTCCCCACACACCAGCTCTCAGTGGGGAGGAGAGCAGAGTGATGAAGCCAGATTAATTGATGGGGATTATTAGGAGGCCATGACTGGTAAAGGCCAATGGGCCAGGACACTCCTACTGTTTTAGAGAAATGCCCTGGGACTTTTAATAACCACAGAGAGTCTGGACATCAGTTTTACATCTCATCTGAAGGACGGTGCCTTTTTACAGTGTAGTGTCCCCATCACTATTCTGGGGCATTAGGACCTGCACAGACCACAGGGAGAGCGTCCTCTACAGGCCCCTCTAACACCGTTACTGTTCATTCAGTGGACTTGTGTATGTACAATGTAAAAGAAGTCTCCACAGAAGAAGGCTTCTGTGAAGAAGGGTCAACCGCCAAAACATTGCGTGTCTTGTCACTTCCTTTCGGCATGGAATAAACTTTTACCTGTTCCTAAATATAGTGTACTTCACTTCATCCAGACCTGGCTGCCTTCTTACTCACGATGAACAGGGAGGCTGAAAGATGTGTTAAGCCCTTGTGAATAAGGAGCCATTTTCAGAAGTCTATGCCGCAGGAGGTTTTGTTTGGCTAGGGTA